GAAACATGGTATTTGATGATCCTCTGGTTTTCAATGATTACGAGACATACATTACAGCCTGAATGGGACCAAAGTCTCAATTTTATATTAACTCTCATTATTGTTTGCTTCAAATCGATGCGCTAAAGCCATTTAAGATAGATTAGTAGTCGGCACATTATACCAATAGTAACTAAGCGCAATAGCGGTTGAAACTATTTAAAAATAGCATATATGTAATTAAAAATATCCAGAGCCATTGATCCAATCCTCTCTGTGTTGTTCTTCTACTTAATTCTAACTCTAACAGCAGTCAAAGCCCAAATCACGGTTGAAGAATTCGACACGAAGCCTATAACAGCAATCTGCTAAGTTTCTCGTCAGATCTCCCAAGTGGATCTCAATTCTGACCTGATTATTGATACATTTGCATAGTAGCTGCCCTTGCTAATAAATCTGCCTCAGGACTACTCTAGTAATTATTAGCTCCCTTCCATTCCTCCGCTAAGGTAAGTCGTTGAGAAAACCCGTACAAGTAACCATCTTGTTTATTTTCGCTCTAAACCGTCATGTATTCCGTTTTGGGGGTTAGCAACTTCATATCTTAACGCGAGTAGTGGTGTTGACGTTGGGATGCCCACGTTTTTGCTGATGGTAGGACGTCTTCTGAGTCCGCGCGGATAGGTATCACCACCCTGCCTGTTTCTGACGTAAAGCAGTAATGCGTTTCGGTTTGAGGGGCAAGGCAGCCGTTGTACTGTTAAAAGTAAGACCTTAGAACTAATATCTCAAGGTGAGTGGCGGCATTTACGTTTTAAATGTCTAAGGTCTCCGGTAACCACTCAACACCAGGTGGGCCATGAGCTCGTCCACACAGCTAAGCAATAAAAAAATAAGCATATCAACTAATAGGTACTACGTTTTTAGGTTAAGTGATTTTCGATGATCATGTCTTAGGACTCTCTAATCTCTGTGATTTTTTCATTCAGAGCCCCATAAAAATAAAGTTTCGATCTCTTCTTAGATTCATCATACAAAATACATTTCAATAACGCGATCTGGGATATGGACGCGATTGTTGAACTTCGCGTTTTATCATTCAAACGTCAGAGGTCACTAAAGCGCGTCGTGCCATTCATTGATGATAAAGTACGCGGAATTTTGTATCATAAATCATCGTAGTTATTGTAAACATATTACAACTTAAAGATTTTAGGGCGTACCGCGTACCTTTACGGCGCGCACTGCGGTACTGTAAGTTTCGTGTAGTCGGTGTGGTGGAGCTCGATGGGGTTTAGTCGGTAGTCGGTTCTGCGGAGCAAGTGCCTCACGCGCCTTTTCAAGACGTAGTCTCCTGTGAGAAGTTGAGAGAGGTGGAGGACCTCGGTCCCTCTCTTCTCCCCTTGTTCCTCTCAGGAGGCGCTGGAGTCCGACATAATCCGGTCCGTTACCCCGGGTATCCGTAAATGGATTACCCAGCGTTAAAAAAAAGGGCGTACCGTAACCGCCGGCTTTAGCATCGACCTATTTCTACCGCGAGCATTCGTTCCGGTTCGCTGTTTAGGTCAGCCTTTGTGCCATTGTGACTTACATAATATCACAATTGCGAATTTTTTAACGTTCTCGATAGCGTAAAAGTTAAGCCAATTTTGTATGCAGTTGGAACAGCGCCTCTAGCGGCAAACGTTGGCAAACGATCCCATTCCATACAGCTATGAACTAACTTTTACGCTATCGAGAAAGTTAAAACACTCGCACTAAGCACACTGGTCTTGTTTGTCCACTTACAGCAAATATAATATATATTTTCTTCGATTTTCGTGAATCATATACATTAATAAAACTGCTTTTTAGTTGTTCTTACTTATTATTATTTCTGAGGACTATAAAAAGAAGAATTTATAAAAAAATTTTTTTTGAAAAATAGAGGATAGTTTGCAAATTATACAAACGTTGACGAATAAAAGCCGACTGCGACCACGAAAACTGTAAACTAATCGAAACTTCGGAAGCAATTTCAATACAGGACGCAGTACATACCTTAATGTCGTGCCTCATTTACAATTAGAATACAAGCCCATGATATTTTCATTTGCGATATTCATATGCACTTCTAATTTAAAGCACCATCTCTCCTCCTCCTTGCGTCGTTTTCCTCAATACTGGGGGTCGTGACTCCCCCGCCGCATCAGTTTCTCCCGTACGATTTCCCTCCATCTGCTGCGATCCTTAGCTTCATGAAGGGCATTCTGGAAGTTGATGTTTAGAGAAGATCGTGTTTGGTCCGACCATCTCGTGGGACGTTTGCCATCTACCTTTCCTGTCACCATTAGCTGTTCTAGATTGTGACCCTCTTTACGAGCAATATGTCCGAAGAATTCCAGCACCCTACGAAGGTATACAGTGAAAAGTCTGGTTTTGATATGAAGCTTTCTCAGAATGGATACGTTTTACGACAGTTTTCGCTGAAATAAAAACGGTATTTGATTCTCCATGGTCTGTTCGCGCTTAAATTCTCTAATTATTTGAACAAACGTGAAACTGCATGACGCGGCTCATAAAAATTCACTCCCCTATATCCATATGTCCGTGCTGACAATCGGAACGTAATCAGAACCCAGAAGCGATTTCCGCTGACTACACCACATCTGGCGGTTCACATACGTGATCCCATGTCTAATATTGGTCCAATGTCATCCAATCTCAACGAACGATAATTGGTGTTTGATATTGTAACAATGAAAGATTTACTGATACTCTTTGTTGAAGATTACATTACTTAGGATATCTATATAGATAACTAGCGACCCGCCCTCGCTTCGCTTCGGAAACATTAAAACACACATGAAACCAAAAAAAAAAAATAAAAAAAAAATTAAAAAAAAGTAGCCTATGTTCATCAGGGACAATGTCGGCTTCTAATGGAAAAAGAATTTTTCAAATCCGTCCAGTAGTTTCGGAGCCTATTCGAAACAAACAAACAAACAAATCTTTCCTCTTTATAATATTAGTATAGAAAATGAATTGCTGTTCGTTAGTCTCGCTAAAACTCGAGAACGGCTGAATCGATTTGGCTAATTTTGGTCTTGAATTATTTGTGGAAGTCCAGAGAAAAGGTTTAAATTAAATAAAAATAACAATTTTGTTTTCCCATTGATGTGTCCCCCGTCGGACGGATTCCTTTTGTTTGTTTTAAGTTTATTTTGATACAAAAGTTTAGGTCTTTTCTTTATCGATTAAGGCACTACGAGGTCTGCCGGGTCAGCTAGTTAAATAAATAAATAAATAAAAATAAAAAGCCTTTTATTTCTTGCATTTAAAAAAAGTTACATTACAAAAATTATAAAAAAAATTGTTGATAATACATTAATAATAATCGATATTAATTATGATGAATTCTTAATAAATTGTGTATAATATTAGTCGGATCAACATAAAATATGTAAAAAAGGTTATATTAATTTAGCATGCAGGCNGTGTTTTTGGGTGTTTTGTGCGCTACGTAGACTTTTTTCTATGCCTCGAATTATATTATCGTAGTTTTCTTGTATAGTAGCATCCTCTTTATTTTGCAGTTGCTCTTCTTGCTTTTCTAAACATAGTTTGTATGATGATATTTCCATCTCGGTTTTCAATGTTTTTCCTAAACAGTTTGTGTATTTTGCACGGCTTTTCGTAATTTTTTAGGGTCAGCTAGTTAAGGAATAAAAAATAATAAATGAGAAAGAAATAAGTAAACAATATGAATATTCGCATTTACATTTTTGACATTTAATTTGTGAATTTACAGGTTACAATTAAACAGTTTTTAGGGATTGAGCCTGTATTTATTTTCATTGTCACGGACGACTAAAGTTTTATCGTCGATTGAATTTTTAAATTTTTCTCCTTTTTTTACGTTCAGCATTTACTGTTAATAAAACGTCATATTCAAATGTGAATTCAATTTACTAACTACGAATATGGATATATAGGTAAATATTTTAACATTTTCAAAAAAAAAAAAATATATAATAGTACATGGTTTTTTCTCAGTCTGTCTTTTGTACTGGTTTCCAATAAACTGAAACAGCCCACCGATTTTGACAAAACCTTCAATGGCAGGTAGAGAATTTCTCAAATCATATTCCCAGCTATTTTGCATCCTGAAATATTAGTGATACAAATTGAAAAACTCTAAAAGGAACTTTTGTTTAATTATGATTTACCTTTCAAATATTAAATCTACTATAAATTGCGAATTTCAGACTTTCACTTGGTTGATGTCCAAATATTTTTAAAAAGAACTTTATTTATCTTTTATCTCCAATATACACGGCTACCTGATTCTCATTTTAATACGCTTTTATTAGCTTCAGACGTATGTATCTTAGTATGTAACGGAATTTTTGAACATGATTTTGACCCCCTCCAAAACGTCGGATTAACTCGAAATTTGGCATACTTATTAAGAAGCGATGACAATTCAATATTTAAAAAAAATTTAAAACATAGAAATTCAACTAAAAAATGAAAAATAAATAATGGTTTAAAAAAAAAAAAAAAACGCTTTTATAGAAAATCTAACTACAAAATTGAAAAAAAAAAAAAAAAAAAAAATTTCCTCGCTTTTTTTCCAATAAAATCATTTTTTCTTACACTACTTTTACACAAATTATTAATTTTTTTTTTAATTTTTATTTGGATTTTCTATAAAAGCGTATTTTCTTAGTTTTTTTTAAACTATTATTTATTTGGTTTTGTTTTATTAACGCACGGCACATCTAGTTACAAATAAATCCAACTAAACGCCAATTTCATCTATTAAGTTCTAACAGATAATATTTAATCAATTTTGTAATGACGTACACAAACAGCCAGCAGCGCTATTATCATTAACGATTCCTAACAATTACTACGTAGTCTATAGGTTCGAGAGTTCCGTCAGATAATTAGTTGATAAAATTATTTACTTTGACCCCTCTCTGCGACCCCACGATAAATAATTATGTTATTCGACGTTCGGTGGGCGAAACGTTTGGACATGGATATGATTGTGTGATAGAAGTGACGATAATGTATTCGTGTGTGATTATCTGGTGTATGTGCTACATTGGAGTCGTCTATGGTTCAGCAAGTATGTTTTATTTTATTTTAATGCAACCTTTGCCATGGCTGCTGTTGTCTTTTTCTTGCTTAAACCTTTCCTGTAACTAAGCAGCTCACATAGTAAATGGACGTTTTATTGTCGTTGACTTGTCTTACTTGTATGACAGTAAAGAATATCGCTTCCTTAAGCAAGCGCTTGATTGCTTCCGGCAAGAATGTGAAACCGGGCACATGTATATACATTTATCAGTACAATATTTAAACATGCTTTCAACGGCTTTCGCGAGTCGTAAACATAATTAAAACAAATTTTACGGTTTGATCACGCGTTTTTTTTTAAATTATTATCATTACATTATTTTCAATGTTTCGAATATTTAACAGTTTTCGTGGTCACACGTTGTATCTTCTTCTTAGTCGAATACTTCATTGCTGAAGGTCGTGTCCTTGAAAGCCCTTCGTGGCTCTTTGTACCCTCAGCTTCCATTTGCTTCGGTTTTCGGCTTCTCTCAGGGCGTTCGCAACAGAGAGTCCAGTGAGCGCAGTTATCAGATCCGACCAACGGTATGGTGGCCGGCCGGCGGGTCTTTTCCCTTCTACCTTGCCCACCACAATCAATCTTTCAAGGTTGTCTGGTGGCCGCCGAGCAATATGACCAAAGTAACCAAGAACCTTCTGGTAGCAAATCGTCGACAGTCTCGTTTCTATACGAAGTTGCTCGAGGACAGATTTGTGTGTGGTACAAATTTAATTTGTACACGTGGTATACAATCTTTAAAAAAAACCATTGTCGTTTCAATAAAACTAGAGATCCCGCAGTAGTCGAAATTCGACTATAATTAATTGGAATTGTAAGTTTGTACACTATTATGATTGTATTTTATACTTCTATAATCACAAATTTCGCCAAGACTACACTATAAAAAATATTAACAAAGACAAACAATATTTAAATTATTCTCAATTTGGCAACAAACGTCAAGAACAAAAGTTTGACAATAAATAGTATGCATGCGTGTGTGCGTCAAATACATGGTATGCAGTGTGTGTAATGTTTTCTTTATTGATTTAATGTATTTTTTATGCATTATTTTAAAAAAATATTTGCGTTATGCACTTCTTCTCTATATTCTCTATAAGTGTGGAAAATTTCATACTCCTCCGTCCGCGCAATTTTCGTAAAAAGGGATACAAAGTTTTTGCTTCACGTATTAATATATAGATATGTTTAAAGTGTATATAAAAGCTAGTATTGCTTTTCGTTAATTTGACTAAAACCTGTTAAAAGAACTCAGGGGACAACAAATGAAATTCCAATTAAAGATTTAACACATTCTAAAAGCAAATGTGACATTATTGACAACGGTAGGCACCGGCTTGGCTCTGCCCTTGGCATGGCTGACGTCCATGAGCGACGGTAACCACTCACCATCAGGTGGGCCGTATGCTCGTCTGCCTATACGGCAATAAAAAAAAATTACATTCTTATAATTTTTTATTAAAAAAACGTAAAATTATTGCAAACACTGAAATTCGGTGACCCTTAACGTCATGACATTATCCAATTCATTATGCTCAGTCCTTTTAGATCAATCAATGTATCTTCCATAAAAACACAAATAAAAAAAAACTAAACCTTATTAAGTAATATAGACAAAATAAAGCGATGGTAAAAATTGTTGGAAACCCAACAAAATTGGTATAAAACCTTTTTTATTGTTGTGATTGTGGTTTCTGACATTACATTTGAATTTTGATTTTTGGAATGTCTTAGGTTTTGTAAATTCTCTTTTCATCCGTGCTTATTGTACGCGATTTATAAAATTTCTAAAATATAAAAAATTTATAAGTGCAATCCTCGCGAGTTTATTTATCAAGTTCCTTGCCCATCCTAATCATACAGTCCACTACAAGAATTACTGTTACACCCTAAAATGAGATAAAGAAAGTTGTTTTTTTAAACTAATGCCATAAATACCATAAACGGATGGAGTCCCTTTTTATTGTCTATAAAAAGGAATTTACGGGCCGTCTGATGATGAGATATCACGGTCGCTTACATATCCTCAATGGGAGATGCAAAGCCATACAATGGCCTAGCCTTTTGCTTTGCAAGATTTTCCAGCGTAGTGGACTATGTAGATCGTTCTGTATCAGCAGTATTTAAGGGTTAAGTCAGTCAAGGTCCGCCGCCATGTTTTCTACTAACAAGATTTTCGGCGTCGCTACCTTAGAATTTCCAAACATAATGATGTCGATTGTGGAAATCAAAATATATTCAATTCAAAATATCAAATATTCAATATCCATATGTATATATCATGGTGTATAGTCGATCAAGTAGGAATGCAGCTCGGCGGCGTATTGAATTAATGTGGGGCCGAAATGTCATCCCCTTGTCGAGAGTCACGCTTAAGTACTTAACCTTCGAAGCCCACTGTATGGGCTGATCAAAGATTTTTATGGCGAGCATGAAGCTACCGCGTCTAATTAGTGACGAGACACTAACTGCTAGTGTCTCGTCACTAGTGTCCGGAGAGCGACCCCTTAAAGGAGCATGGCTGTGCTTTTCGTTGGGTTGATGTCTTTTTTTTTATAACACAGTTATTTGACGGTATTGAGATATAATCCGAGGAGGATTGACGTTAGACAAGCGATCGGCCGTAAAATTAAACTCCTGCCATATCTCTGTGCAACATGATAGGACATACTGCGCCAATATCGCAAATTGCCTTATAAGGCCAAGAAGAAGAAAGAGGATATCGCATTGACGGTTCATTCTCATAAACTGACATGACTCATCAGATGGCCAATTATTAGGTCCTTACATAATAAATAATATGAAATTGGTGTTTTGTACAAGAGGAATATAAAGTCAACTTTTTTTTGGAAAATATATTTAATTAATCAAAGTATGCACCGTTGTTATCTATGCATCTCATAGGTAGTTCATTGATCCCTTTACTAAAAAAATCATGGGGGCGAGAATCAATAAACTCTTTGAAGGCGGCTTGGACTGCCGCATCGGAGTTGATTTTTTTTCCTTGTAAGAAGTTGTCCAAATTCCGGAAAAAAGGTACATGGTTGGAGCAAGGTCCAGATTGTAGTTCATCTAACTTAGTGGTTGGTTGTTGTGTAGTGTGTGGGCTTGCGTTGTCGTGAAGCAGCAGTGGCCTAGAGCGATTGACCAATCTCGGTTGTTTAACAGCTAGTTCTTCCTTCATGATTTCCAGTTGCTGACAATAGATATCTGCCGTAATCTGATCTGGCCAGAGTTTAATAAGCGACGTCAAAGAAACAAAACGAGGAAACAAAAATTAATGTTGTTTTCAAAAGTCAAATGTACCAGCTAATTGAATTTATAAATTTGAGTTTGGAATTCTTAACCAAAAAGGTGATATTTCAGATCAATGTGGTCAGTACGACAAAACGCTAATTTGATATGTAAGGACATAATAACTGCTGAATACTTTTTCGAGCCTCACTGAAAGAACAAGGTCATTGCGCTCAGGGAACAACGTGAAGGATATTTCATTTCATAGACTGTACGTTGCAAACTGGCTGGTATGAGCTCGAAAGGCGGATTGCGTGATGATCAAAACGTAATCGTCTCAAACAATTCATGAAACAGATCTAGCTCCCCTATTTGCCTACCGTCCTTCCATAATAATAATATCATTTCCTAGTTAAATTCCAAATGGTCAGCCCTCTAATTCCTATTTTAAGTACTGGAATGATTTTAGATCGTGTTGCGGTTGTAGGTATGCTAACAACGTTCCTATTTCAACCGACCAAGCTTTTTGGTTTTCAAGGCAAAAATAAGATGCTTTGCTATTGTATTTAAGACTTTATGTAGCTTAGAGGGTAGAAATGAAACTTAAGGCCGAGAGCACATTCGATCTATCTTCTGCTAATTGAGGCCGTCAGCGCAAATGTGGCTTAACCCACAATCTTTCAGTATCATGCTTATATATTATATATATTTCAATTTATTTAAAATATAATAAATTTTGAGGCAAAACCGGCCTATCCATAGTTTCACCCATAGATAACAGATGGCTTTGTAAACATTATTTTTGTGCGTATTGTTTTTTTTAAATTCAAATTCATGAAAACTTAAACCTTATTGCTCCATAATAACTATGGTAAGATTAGGCCACTTTTGCGCTGACAGCCTCAATTATCGTATTAAAAGAAAATAAAGATGCTTACCAAACAACCAGGACAGCATGAACCTAGGCTAAATTGTAATTTAAAAATGACTTTTGAGAACATTAGTCGAATCATGGAACGGTTTCCTCTTAAAATAAAGTAGGTACCTACTTCATTAACTTATTATAACTAATTAATCGTAATCACTTAAAAACAAGTTAATCTTAATGTAGGTATAAGACATAACATCTTTTCGCTCGGGTAACTGTGACCTATCAAGCTTAGTATAGATTGATAAGATTCGAAATATTTGCATCATTTCGTATGAATCATACGACTATGGATAAACAACGTAATGATATTGCGGTGTAAACATAGCAATGATTTAAAAAAAAAAGAGGAAACATTACAATCATTCAATTTGTTATGTTAAGTTTCCTCGCTAATAATAGACAACCGGATAAAAATAACATATTTAATATTAACAGTAGTTCTAGTTAAAAAACTAAATTAATCACTTTTTAAAACGCGTTTTGTTAAAGTTTTTAAATTAAATAAAACTAATTTTACGGATCGTCCAAGACCATGAAATTTTTAAATCATTCGAAACATAAGAAATAATAATTATAATGACAATAAAAACCAATTTAATTACGGCACATTAATAAATCGTCACGGTCGTACAGTCACCGAGATTTTATGCAAAATTACTACAAATTGGGAACGATTTACATTTTATTGTCTCGTTTACAACATTAAATTTATTTTCTTGACAAACTCAACGTCACGTCGAAGCTGTACAAGTCTTACCAATCCGGATATGCCAGAAAAAACTATCTATCACCGGCATAACGGGAAGCCTATTATAACTTTAATGCCCCTAATGTTTAACGGTAAGCAGCGGCTTGGCTCTGCCCCTGGTATTACTGAAGTCCATGGGCGACAGTAACCACTCACCATCAGATCAGATCAGGTGGGCCGTATACTCGTCTGCCTACAGGGGCAATAAAAAAAACTTGATTTATCATAAAATTAAGATGAGTGCCGCTACACACTTTGTCGTGGATTTAGCGTCTAAGCCCACGAGTTTCTCGCCGGATCTTCTCAGTGAATTGCGATTCCGATCCGATAGTAAATTTTGAAAAGCACTGCTCTTGTTAGGGTGTTATGTTAGCAAATTCTCTCAGGTTAAGCCCGTGAGCTCACCTAACTGTAGCGTAGTGGAATAGCCCCCTAATCTACCAACGAATAGGTAGGGAAAAATTCAGTCTCAACATTATTGCAATAACAGCTGTATTTATCTTTGAGCCCGAACCAATGGTAGTCTTATGGCATATCGCGCGGCTTGAGGTCGAAAACCCATGGAACTTGATATACCCAGATTTACTTCGCTTAAATTACATCTAATCTAATCATAATTTTTTTTTAATATTCATTTTTACAATGAGTATTATAACGTAACAATTATTACAATATTTAAGTGCCCGGAGCGAGCAACTCATTCCCACTTTGTGCAATCTTCTAGATAATCATTGACTTTATAGTAAGCTTTATTGCACAGATGTTCTTTAGTAGTTTTCTTAAACCTATGTACATATATGTAGGTTCTGAACATCTTGTGGGATTTTGTGGTACAGGCGCACAGACAAACATCCGAATGAATTTCGTATCTTATGTAACCTACTCATCAGCAAAAGAAGCTTGTGTTTGTTCCTAGTATTTCTATTATGTATGTCCGACTTTTTAGGAAACTCCTCAATATGCTTACGAACATACATCAAATTTTCAAAAATGTACTGGGATGGCATAGTGAAAACTTTAATTTCTTTAAATTTTTCCCTCAGGGATTCCCTTGAGTGCATGTTATAAATAGCACGTATAGCTCTTTTCTGCAGAATAAATATCATTTCTACATAGGCCGCATTGCCCCATAGCAAAATGCCATATGACGTGACACTGTGGCAGTAACTAAAGTAAACTAAGCGAGCCGTGTCCGCGTTTGTTAACATTCTAATTTTTTGTACTGCGTATGCTGTAGAGCTGAGCTTACTCCCCAATTTATGAATATGAGGTCCCCACTGCAGTTTGGAGTCCACTGTTATACCAAGAAATACGGTTGACTCAACAAGCTCCAATGATTCCTCAGAAACAATTACATTACTTACAAAGATCTAAATAATAGTAAATGAACATAATTTAATTAATAAAAGAATTGAATTCATCAGCAGCATTCACGTACATGTCTTCTTAGGTCAATGGTTGGCAACCTTATCTATCAAAAGAGCCAAATATAGATAATACACAATTTGAAGTTTATTCAAGGAGCATTTTTTTTTACATATATATATTTTTATAGCCTTGTGTTTCAAAAACGTTTACACGTCTCTTACAAGGCAAAAATAAGCAAACTAGCCCATGCCTGAACTAAGCATTTCGCGGTAAATCCAAAGGAGTCAAAGAGCCGCATACACCTCCCGAGCCGTGGTCTTCCGACTCCTGTCTTGTATAATGGAACGTATCTGTCAAGTGTCAATGTCATGTGTTTGTTTGTAAACAAAGTCCTAAAACTGAAATAGATGAAGGTTTTCGATTAATATTGCGAATATACTAATATTGACAATTATTTTCAGATTCACTAAAAGATCCGTTCATTTGTGGACCGCCATCATGTGCACGTAAGTAATAAATACAATATCATGTAAACTACACTACAGTACCGCTTCATTTCAATGCAAAATATTGTAGTGAATTACCTTAAAGTTGGAACCAGTGTATAATTTAGTTTTAATTATTTAGGCGTCTTAAGAAATGTCGTTTACTATTAATTACTTATAAATATATTTTAAGCTACATCTTCTGTAATTAATCTTTTTGTTACTGAGCCCAAACAAACTTCTTCTTCTTCTTCTTCTTTGTCGTTTCCTCATTACTGAGGGTCGTGACTACCTTGGTCCAGTTTTTGCACCAGCTTCCTCCAATGTTGGACAATTAACAAACTACACAAACAATTAAATTACAATGATACTGATTATCTTAAGTATTTATGTACTTTATGCAATTACTACTGTACTTACTACAAATACTTACTGTAGCAATTTTGTAGATAGATAATTTTTTCAATTTTGTATGTAATGACTATTAAATTTAATAGTCATTACAAAATTGCTAAGATTTAACTAATGATGACCATTTTGCTGGAAGAGTCCCAGGCAAATTATTTTTAGTAGCTTTTTTGTATGGAATAATTTTGAAAGAAATAAAGGTTTAACTAAAGAAAGTTTATTTTTTATTTATTTTTTATTGCCTTTGTAGGCAGACGAGCATACAGCCCACCTGATGGTGAGTGGTTACCGTCGCCCATGGACTTCAGCAATGCCGAGGGCAGAGCCAAGCCGCTGCCTACCGCTTAATACTCTCCACAAGCCTCGTTTGAAGAAGGACATGTCATAGCGCTCGGGAAACACCGTGGAGGGGAGCTCATTCCATAGCCGGATGGTACGTGGCAAAAAAGATCTCTGGAAACGCACGGTGGATGTAAATAATATGTATAATATTGATGAAACATATAGCTATTGAGTAGTATCTGGCATGTAAATGCTGCTAGAAAATGGTTAAAGAGACTAAAGCTTTGGTTTGTAGGAAAAGAACATGAGACTAAGAATAAAGTAATAACAAAAACTATTTATGTCCTCCAAAATTATACATTTTGAAAATTTAACTAAACAAGGCAAATATAAATTTACTCAATGGACTTTAATTTTTTATTTGTCTATGATTGGAAGTTAATTTTAATCTGTTATTGAAATTTGTCAAATATGTTTTTATTACATATGGGTAATATGTTGTCCGTTCCCTTATTTCACCATCCTTAGTGGCCTTTCTAATTACGTAATTACACATGTATTTTAAATGTTATTAATAGGATGATAATTCTATTTACAGAATCTGAGAAATTCAAATACCTGTCTGATATTGTTTATACCTATGAATACAGAGTTAATGTTGAAACATTATTTGCTGGCTCGAGCAACAACAGGTCTACACTTGATATTAAAGCACAGGTAAAAATTGCTAAATACTTTCATAAATCTCTATTAATAATTGCATCTACTTTCGCCATTTAATCTTGTGTTTATTATTGCTATAATATTTTTTTCCGAAATTTAAAATACTTTACAGCTTTCATGGTCACCACATGGACCTCAGTTTCAAAAATAATTAACATACTCGCGGTCTCACTAATGAACATTTGTGACATATTTAAAGTTCACAAAATATCTTTACAGACCTCAATACTATTTATAAAGCCGTGTGAAGGACTGCTTCAGCTCAGAGACGTAACTCTGATCGATCAAGACGAGTATTACCCTGTTGATCGTGCGGAGAAATTCATAGGCGCCGTCTCATCGTATGACCTAAGGTAATTCGCATTTGAACTAAACTAACTTAACAGACTACTTTCAGACATTTTGACGGGAAATCGTGGAACTGAGTGGCGTTCATTGTTTAATTTTATTAATTTAGTGTTTCTTCAGGCTTAAACGTGTAATAACGGTCCTTTATTAAATATTCAGCATCTGTAAAAGGGCACAAATATGGAAAATTTAAAGAAAGGCGCCGAACGCAAATTCTCAGAAATATTCACAATTGATTTCCACGGTGAAGGAATAACATCAAATAATAAATAAATATTTACTAACAGTCACGCCACGTTAACTGGTCCCGTGATAAGTTCGTAAAGAACTTGTGTTACAGGTACCAGATAACGGAAATAAATATAAGATTTTTATTATACACATACACATATTTAATTTACATCCATAACCCTGGAAAAGACATTTATATTTATCATACAAATATCTTCCCTTGGCGGGATCCGAACCCGCGACCCCCTTGTGTAGTGACCATGTCACTTACCACTACACCAGACGGCCGTTATATAATAAAAATAAAAACAGCAAAATTAAAAATTGTGTAATTACTGGTGGTAGGACCTCTTATGAGTCCGCATGGGTAGGTACCACCATCTGCCTATTTCTGCCGTGAAGCAGTAATGCGTTTCGGTTTGAAGGGTGGGGACATTAGAACTCATATCTCAAGGTGGATGGCGGCATTTATGTTTTTGATGTCTATGGGCTCCAGTAATCACTTAACACCAGGTGGGCTGTGAGCCTGTCCACCAATCTATGCAATAAATAAATAAAACTATTTGATTGTTAATTTCAGGTTTGCCTTCCACGATGGTCTTATCACGGAGATTTGTCCGGACGAAAAGGAAGAAGACTGGGTGCTCAACTTCAAGAGAGCCATATTGGCACTGCTACAAAACACCATGAAGAGGTTCGATATCGACTTCAAGGGCGTCGAGGTAACTTGCAGTCGGTCAAATTGTAAATGATTACAATCATTTGATTTAAGTCTACTAAGCGAGGAAGAATCTTTTGACTGGTACTTCGTTAGCGCGCTCTGCCTTCATTTACTATTGTACCCCATCATAACTTAGCTTAATTACCTTCGCTCGGTCCATTCCAGTGCCTAACTCTATTAGTTTGAGGTCTCTTCTACTGGTGAAGTTAGAAAGGCCTTCCTTCAGAACAAAGAAAGTGATCTATGCTGTGCTGATGCCCAAACCATTTGCACAATTCGGTTAGCAAAGCCTACCTATTGTCTGTTCGGTGATATCCCTTGAAACTTTCGAGGTTTCATAGCAACGGTCAGCATGTAATACTGCCTGCCGGGTCACTTCCTTACGGATCCCTCAGATCTAATAACCTTTGCCTTAGACGCCTTCAGCTCTAATACTAGGAGCAGGCTTAGGGGACCCCGGTAACCGTACTCGTCGAACTCGGCAAAGAGTTCGACGTGCAACCTAACCAATGCAACAGCCCGCTGAGTTTCTCGCCGGATCTTCTCAGCGGGTCGCGATTTCGATCCGGTAGTAGATTCCTTCGTGAAGCAACTGCTCTTGAGTTGTTAGGTCTCCTTCGGAGGCGCTCGGGCAGCGGTTAGCTAATCCCACTGCCCCTGTCTAAGTGTCTAAGCCTTTACTCGCCCACCTGTCCTGGTAAAACTGGAAAGGCCTCCAGGCCACCAGTAATCCTTCAATCCTAAAAAAAAAGAAAAAATACTGCCTGCTGCGAATATGTGTTGTATATTATTTCAATTTACGGATTAGTTTCGATAGATTTGTAAATATACTTACCTACACTGCCATAGTATTACTTGTGTTGCGTTAACACCTCTGAATGTTCACAGCGCTTATTCTTCTTTAGCCAATAGACTGACTATTAATCTTGAATAGTTTGCACGTAAAGTAATGGGAGCAAAACTTAATTTTTAATCCGACATCTGCGCAATTCGTTGTTTGTTTTTTATTGCCGAGCAAGCAGACGAGCATACGGCCCACCTGATGGTAAGCGGTTACCGTCGCTCATTGACGTCAGCAAAGCCAGGGGCAAAGCCAAGCCGCTGTCTGCCAGCAGTTTTGTTAATTTTGTTTCAGAAATGAATTGAAGTTTCAAGGTTTCAAAGGTAGGGCAGCCGTTGTAACTATGCTGAGACTTTAGAACTTATATCTCAAGGTGGATGCCGCATTTGCGTTGTAGATGACTATGGGCTCGAGTAACCCCTTAACACCGGCTGGGCTGTGAGCTCGTCCACCCATCTAAGCAATAAAAAAAACGATATCCGGTGCCTATTTCATGGCCTATTTGACGCCGACTGTGCCCTATCAGCTACGATAGTGGATACGATAACGGAATTACTGTTCACAGCAAGACATACACGGAACTTGCAACGTCGACTACTCCGTCCGGGGCCAAGAAGACACCAGCCTCATTCTGGTGAAGAGACGGGATCTATCAGAGTGCACGAACCGATATAAATACATGTCAATACTGCAGACAGTCAGATACGACTTTCAGAGCGTAAGTTTTTATCGTTTTAAGGCTTAGTTGAAGATGTCAGGATAAACTGGTTTATAAATACCTAGCGTTTTTCTAATCCTTTACAAAGGGATAAGTCTAAAGTATGTTCAAACTTCGGAAACTTTAGAAACTACACTTATGGGGTCGACTTTAAGGCAAGATTATGAGGCTTCAAGCTTACAAATCACACACACACACACACGCACACACTGGCTCACTGGTGGTAGGACCTCTTGTGAGTCCGCGCGGGTAGGTACCACCACCGCGCCTATTTCTGCCGTGAAGCAGTAACGTGTTTTGGTTTGAAGGGTGGGGTAGCCATTGTAACTATACTGAGACCATAGAACTTATATCTCGAGGTGGGTGGCGCATTTACGTTGTAGATGTCTATGGGCTCCAGTAACCACTTAACACCAGGTGGGCTGTCAGCTCGTCCGCCCATCTAAGCAATAAAAATTAAAAAAAAACACACACACACACACACGTGTATTTGTGTGTGTATTGTTGTATTGTATTGTGTGTATTTGACACATAACAATCGGAACTTTGTTTTTTTTTATTTTTTTTTATTACTTATTTGAGTGGACGAGCTCACAGCCCACCTGGTGTTAAATCACGGTTTTGTTCCAGAAATTTCAAACATGGCCCGTTTTGAAATCTGAAAGCAAATGTCGCATATCGATCGACCATCACGTTTACAAAGCGGTGAATTGTCGAGAGAGGCACCTCTTCGAACCGTTCTCGGGCAAGAACTCCGGAGCTATGACCACAGTGGTACAGGACTTGGTGCTTATTAGTGAGATAAATAAGAGCGACTTTCAAATAATCGCTGCTGCACCTAAGAGTGAGTGTTTTTTTTTTGTTTTATATGTAGTAGATTTGGATCATCATCATCAGCCTGTATCTCTCCACTGCTGGATGTAGGCCTCTCCCATAGTCCGCCACAATGAATACATAATAGATGTGGATATTATAAGCCGCGCCAATAAAGAAACGAATCGAAAATGGCGTCTATGTACCTGCACTGACAGATGGTAGAGTCAACAAATAAAATAAAGAGTTTGTTTATTGTAAAAAATATAAAAAAAATATAAATGTGGTGTCGTGGGACACCAGGTAGGAACGAAGTTCCTTCGGCTAATGTAGAATCGACACAATTTGCAAAAAAAAAATCGTGCTCAATTTTATGTTGGTTTTCTTGATTTTTCTCTTAAATTTTGCTGATTAGTTTTTATTTAAGTACAGGAAAGTATTTAGGAAATTCAGTATTTTAGGAAATAATAAATTACGTAAAATAAAAATAAAATCGTAATTCAAATTATCAATTAAAATAACAAAATATGTCTCTTTATTTTTGTTTGACAACATAAAATTACATAGAAATAGAAATAATTACAAAATAGAGAGAGAAGGGATGAGAGAACGAAAAGAAAGAAGGAGAAAGAGAAAGGTATTATACACTACTCGCTTGTGTATACGACTGTCGCGCCTGCGCACGTCTCATTTAACGGTTTTATTGTTACTGTTAATTGGTTGATGCTTAGAAGAGCATTTCACGCCCCTCACTGGTTGATAAATGAATTTGCAATAACATTTCTTGTTCAATAAATGATTTTTCCATGCCTAGAGTGCAATAAAGTTTTTTTTGTTTGTTATTAAAACATCACCCTGTGTTTATTTATAGCTTGGGCCGAGATACACAAGCGTTCTAATTTGCTACACCACCACACTACGTATATAGGAGACGACAGCATAGGTCTAAGGAATGCCAGGGAATTGCTCAAGTTATTATGCTTGTGAGTATAGATAAAATAATTCGATTTAATAATAATCAAATATTTAGGCTTCATTCAGAAAAATGTAAGTTTAATTTAAAATATTTATGTTATCGACAATATAACGTATATTTAGATTAGCATGAAAAGAATTACGACTTTATTTAGGGTCCGATAAATTGTCGACAATCAATCACAACCCTATTCCAAGACTAACTACAGAAGTATGGAGGGTAGAGGTAAGGAGAAGCGTCTCATGGGAGAAACTTGAAAAAGTATCCCACTTTCAGCACTAAATAACAGTTCAAAAATCCTCCAGAATGGCGCTAGCATAGGCACAGGGTATGATATGAATTGAGCAGTTGTTAACTGAAGTATGCTGAGTTCGAAAATTTAATATATTTAATGACTAGAGTAGTTAGTGACAGTGTAATATACAAGACCTCACATGCTTACGTAGTTCAAACTAATTTCGTCAATATAACTTAAAATTATTGCTGTCGTAAAACGTGGAGACATCGATTGCATTTTTTTATCAGCTTTAAATAACATACTTTTTGTGATTTTGTAAGGCTTACAGTTCTTTCGTCCTTTTTTTATCTAATATATAAAATTCTCGTGTCACGGTTGAACTCCTCCGAAACGGCTCGACCGATTTTTGTGAATCTTAGCGTGCATATCGGCCAGGGTTGAGAATCGAACAACATCTATTTTTCATCCCCCTAAATGTTAAGGGTGGTCCACCCCAAACTTTTTATTTTTAGGATAATTTTATTTTGGTTATAATGAGGTATTATGTGGTTGAATGAGGTTTTTTTTCTACACTAGAATTTCCCTAGAAATCTTATTTAAGGCAACACAAGGTTTGTCGGGTCAGCTAGTTTCTCTATCTTATTCTAATAAATCTCAGCGCCTTTTTTTAAATTTACCCGGTTGCTACTGTAGCGCCACCCTTATTTAGCAGATTTTAACGGACACTTTTTCACACAGAGACGGTTCTCCTTACCTCTACCTTCCATACACAGAAGCCACTAGCTTCTTTTTTTTTCTTTTTCAAAAACTTTGCATGAGTAAATATCCTTTTTAATTCGTATAGAGTGAAAGAGACGGGCGACGAGAACTCGCAGCCGAGCGTGGATGTGAACATGGACAGCAGCTCGACTGTGGGGCTGTGGGGTCGGTTCGTGCGCGCCGCCCGACCCTTGGACTTCCCCTCGCTCTCGCAGCTGCTGGCTCGAGCTCCCACCATGTGTGAGATAGCCACGTACGTATCACCATACCCTTCTCCCAGTCACCTGGGGTCGGCACAACATGTTTTCTCCTTCCATACTCCTCTATCATATACCATTTCTTCGCTCACTCCCCTCTTACACATATCTTCTTTCACGCAATCAATCCATTTCTGCTTAGGTCTACCTCTTCTTCTATAGCTTTCCACGTTCATAGTAAACACTCTCTTACCAACCTCATTGTCATTTCGTCTCATCACATGTCCATACTGAATAATATGTGACCTTTATATACAACGTGTCCCAAAATTCAACGATAAATCGATACCGGTGTATGGTCGGGTCAATAAGTACCCATGGAAAAATAATAAAAAAAGATGTGTGGTGTCGTGGGACACCGGATAGGAACGAAGTTCCTTATTATAAAAATACTAATTTTAAGTTCTATTCGAGGTATAAAAAAAATAATTATTCGGGTATACATTTTTTATTATGATTTTTTTATTGATAAAAATAAAAAAAGTACTTTACAAAGTTATCAACTTTATTTTATTCACAATGATTTATAAAAAATATATAATAATAATATACAAAGAAACAGCTATTTATATGAATAATAATAATAACCGTCATCACGTAGACTATACATTAGACACTGTATAGCCATCATACTAAGACTATACGTTAAAAATAATGCTTTCATAGATTAGTAATATATTTATTTGAGACCATAGAGTATTAAGCGGTAGGCAGCGGCTTGGCTCTGCCCCTGGCATTGCTGAAGTCCATGGGCGACGGTAACCACTCACCATCAGGTGGGCCGTATGCTCGTCTGCCTACAAAGGCAATAAATAAAAAAAAGATGACAGATCAAATACAGGGTGTAAATAGACTATTATCAGAACGGCAATTCGCTGAGCTCAGATATTGTCTTTTCAACGCGGAGACACAGCTCTTGATTCACAGAAGGACTTATTTCTGTCCCATGAAGGGTGCTCTAAAACCTGGCAAACCTCGAACCGCTGGTCATTCAGGCGGCATCTATAGGTACCATGTCTCCACAGAGCTCCCCGAGAGAACCTATAACACCCTGTATAAATCAAATCTCAGGCGGGTACCAATTTTTCTAATGAAATACGTACTCAACAAATGCTCACGATTCACTTCCACGTTGAAGGAAATAACATTACTGGTGGTAGGACCTATTACTGGTGGTAGGACTTCTTGTGAGTCCGCGCGGGTAGGTACCACCACCCTGCTTATTTCTGCCGTGAAGCAGTAATGCGTTTCGGTTTGTAGGATGGGGCAGCCGTTGTAACTGTACTGAGACATTAGAACTTATATCTCAAGGGGGGTGGCGCATTTACGTTGTAGATGTCTATGGGCTCCAGTAACCACTTCACACCAGGTGGGCTGTGAGCTCGTCCACCCATCTAAGCAATAAATAAAAAAAAAACCAAGATTTACTTCCGTATCCTTTTACAGAAAACACATGCTGGACGCTCTACCGTATATCGCCAGCACCGGCTCAGTGGAGCTCATCAAGAACATGATAACAGAAGCCGCTATCGACACCGAGACCAGACACGAGTGGCTAATGTCCATGGCAATGATACCGAGGTACGTTGTGATAAACAGATTATGTTCTTACTAATATTATGCGTATTGGAGTGATGTAGGTCATGACGTCTTACATAGCATGGGTGAATGAACTCCTCAGCATTGGACTCCAACTGACTCCTAGCTGCCCCACCTCGAACCCGTACAATTTATCTCCCGACGCCCTGCATATCCTCTCATCATAAGGGTTGAGCATTCTCCCAGCTCCCGGCAGCAACACCCTTTTTCTGGCTTCTTCTATTGTTCTCATCGCTTCATCCAAATCCATCTTCTGTGAGAGTTTTTTTTTCATCTTCTGTAATGATTTGAAAATCTTCTTTCCTCTTATTTCTCGTCTTCGCAAACTTCTATTCTTCATAATTGTATTTCTTCATAATTGATTCAGCTACTCTCGTATTTTACGTAAATTTCAAAATTTTAACTGCTCTCTAAGGGTCACCATGTATTGGAGTGATGTAGGTCATGACGTCTTAGATGAATATGATAGTATCTCTGTTAGGTTGTCACGGAAAAATCCCTAAATCAATGTTAACGAAATTCAGTATGGAAATAGATTGAGATATTTCCAGAATATAGGCTACTTTTCATTTCGCTTCTGACCGCGATTTTGCGATCACGACATAGTAGTACGGCCAATTAACTAATACCGCGAAATTTTATTGGCCTGACCATTAGATTTATAATTGGTCATCACTACATAGTATAAAACAAAATCCCTTTCTCTGTCCCTATGTTTGCTTAAATCTTTAAAACTACGCAACGGATTGTGATGCGGTTTTTTTTAATAGATAGAGTGATTGAAGAGGAAGGTTTATATGTACAATAACATCCATTTAATAGTGGAGAAATCAATAATAAATTACAGTTTCCGAAGCGAAGCAAAGGCGGGTCGCTAGTGTAATGTATAAATACACAAAGGCACATATGATGTTTCGTCGAATAAAACAGCGTATGATTTTTACTAGATGCAAATTGCCAGATGCGGTCGTCAATTCGAATCGGATATAACGTAGTACAGATTGATGCCAATGGTCTCTAAAGTACACTGTTCGTTTCTTTCTTTGCCGTATAACTCTTGGCAGAGCGGTCGTGGTCTTCAGTCAGTATCGTTGCTGATAGCAGATGTTATGTGCCTCACGAGCAATCACCACTTTCCCGGTTTTGCCGACTTGACTTTATCGGTCCATCGCATGGGCAACTTTCTACGTAGTCTGGTGTCTTCTACCTTGCTGTGAACGTATACCCTTTATAGACGCTTTCAATTTTTATTTTTTATCACTTAGATGGGTGGACCAGCTCACAGCCCACCTGGTGTTAAATGGTTACCGGAGCCCATAGACATCTACAACGTAAATGTCGTCACCTACCTTAAGTTCTAAGGTCTCAGTATAGTTACAACGGCTGCCTCACCCTTCAAACTGAAACGCATTACTGCTTCAAAGCAGAAATAGGCAGGGTTGTGGTACCCACCCGTGCGGACTTACAAGAGGTCCTACTACCCGTAATTAGGTAATTACGCAAATTATAATTTTGCGGGTTTGATTTTTACTACACAATGCTGTTCCTTCACCGTGGAAATCAATCCTGAACATTTGATAAGTACATATTTCGTTACAAAAATTGATACTTGCCAGCGGGATTCGAACACCGGTGCATCGCTACACACGAATGCACCGGTCGTCTTATCCTTTAGGCCACAACGATAAAGCTGTAGTCACCCACCGATATACAAAACTTTTTAAGTAAATACGTATTTACTTAACGGGGCCATATTTTTTTGTTTATGAGAACTTCTTTTTCAGACCGAAGCTATCGATGTTGGAGAGTATGTTGGAATTGATCAAAAAATACAAGAACGATAAGGTGGTTAGTTTCACGGTCTCATCCATGGTCCACTCCTACTGCAAGCACAGCGGGAAGTCGTGTGAGTTTCCCATCCTCAAAGCATAAGCTTTTTTTTTTATTGCCCTTGTAGGCAGACGAGCATACGGCCCACCTGACGGTGAGTGGTTACCGTCGCCCATGGACTTCAGCAATGCCAGGGGCAGAGCCAAGCCGCTGCCTACCGCTTAATACTCTCCACAAGCCTCGTTTGAAGAAGGACATGTCATAGCGCTCAGGAAACACGGTGGAGGGGAGCTCATTCCATAAGCCCATTGTATTGGTATTTGGAACAGCGCCCCTAGCGGCAAACGTAGGGACGCTGTTTCAACTCCATATAAATTCGAGTTAACTCTTACGCGATCGAGAAGTTAAAAAACTCGCATTAAGCACAATGCATATCGGATATGCGACAAAATACATATCAATTAGTGCTCTAGTGAATTGGTAATTGTAATATATTTCTTTCAGACTGGTTCCTATTCTTTTATTTACCTAATATGACTTCGTTATGAATGAATGAATATACTTCACTACTCAGTCCAGATTTATAAAAAGTAGGAAATAGTATCGATAATATGAATAATATAATAGAGATGTACCAACCATATAATAACAAGGAAATTGCATCTTATAAAAAAATATTCTTTGATTTGAGTAATTATTGGTCATAATTGGTGTTCTGGGACCAGAAAGGTTGTTAATGCTATTTCGACTACGACCTCATGTCTCAAGGTGGGTGGTGGAATTCACGCGATATCTATGTGCCTGATAACTACATAACAGCAAACCTTGGATGAGGAACATTACGACTTACTACTCCCATACAAAAGGTCTAAAATAATTTGTGATCTTTGAGAATGCTACACACAAGCTACCCACAGACAGCCCACTGAGTTTCTCGCCGGATCTTCTCAGTGCGTCGCGTTTCCGATCCGGTGGTAGATTCTGCGAAGCATGGCTCTTGATGTGGCTGGTATTAGCAACACTCCCTCCCGGTTTGAGCCTCGTGAGCTCACCTACACTTTAGGGCGAAGCTGATATAACCTCTCAAGGCTATCAGCATAGGTAGGAAAAAGAAACAAGTATCTCCGTCTGTAAAGGCAATAGGAAAGCTTAACCTAAATAAATTTACAGTGCGCGAATGCTGCGAGGAGGAAACGCCGAATAAGATTCTAGAAATATTCCAAAATATAGTGAAGGAGATATCTAAGAAAGGTGCGATCAAGACCCGACAAGATAGGGATAATGTAAGTAATGTAAGGGCCCAAGAGTTAATTTATCAAAAAAAATTGTAATTTTCATTCATTTTAATTAACTCCTTCTTTGCCATTAACTTCCGCAGATCGTGATAGCAATAAAGGCTCTCGGTAACATCGGTGGTTTCAAACTAGAATTCGCCGATGTATTGATGAGTATCATTGGCGACTCCTATCTGCCTGTACCCATACGATTGACGGCCATTGACGCGTTCAGGAGGACGCCTTGTGCGGAAACACGGTAATGTACATGAAAGTCTTTAAAAATATTGTCTTTCTCACTAATTTTGCTAGGCCGGGAGTTGTGGGTTCGATTCCCATATCGGTAAAACCATTCGTGTGATTAACAGGTTTCTTTGCTTTTATTTGGATGGTTAATATCTATATATGGGTGTATATAAAGTATATATATTGTTTTCCGGTTCCCATAGTAGTGTGAATCTTCATTTGGGGTCGGATGATGGTGTCTAATTTGTTCACGGTCTTTTTTAGTGTTTTAAGTGCTCTAAGTGTTAATACAACGTTAACTTGTACTTTGGTGGAATTTTATGTATCCCTAACCCCAGCGCGTAACATTATTATTATTAATATCACCATGCATCAATTAATAATATAAAAAAACTGTACAACTGTTCCCTTCTAAATTTTATGTATACTATATTATTTGTTATTACATTACAAAATTAATTCGTTTTTAATACGCTTTTACTCGTATTCGCTTCAGGCGTGTGTTAGTATGTAACGGAATCTTTGAACATGATTTTGACCCCCTTCAAAACGTCGGATTAACTCGAAATTTGGTATACTTATTAAGGACCGATGACAATTCAATATATAAAAAAATTGAAATTCAACTAAAAAATGAAAAATAAATAATAGTTTAAAAAAAAACTAACAAAATACGCTTTTTATAGAAAATCCAACTAAAAAATGGAAAATAAATTTTATAACGCTTACATCCCTATCTTGTTCTACTCGTGGGTCTTGGAGGGGCATGCATGCGGGCGGAGCGGCATAGACGTCGCCTGCCAACCACACGAAGCTTCGGAAAACGAGTCACTGTCAGTCGATATAGCACCAACGAACCATACCTCACATCGATATCATTAAAATTATACACCTTAAACTGGGATAGTTTTAATAATTCCTTATAATTTTAATTGAAAATAGTGTAAGAAAAAATGATTTTATTTTTTTGTTCGTTTATCACAGCGAATATTTCTTGGAGACGTACCGCGAGGACTTCGTGAACATCGAAGTCCGTATAGCTTCTTACATCCAGGTGATGCGCTGCCCGGACCTGACCACCGTGAGGACGATATTCCACGCGCTGCGCCACGAGCCGGTTAACCAGGGTATGTGAAACGAATTTGTTCATCTAGAACAGGGGTCCGCAATTAAAATCAAACCCGCAAAATTATATTTTGCGTAATTACTGGTGGTAGGACCTCTTGTGAGTCCGCGCGGGTAGGTAGAACCATCCCACCTATTTCTGCCGTGAAGCAGTAATGCGTTTCGGTTTGAAGGGCGGGGCAGCCGTTGTAACTGTACTGAGACCTTAGAACTTATATTTCAAGGTGGGTGGCATTTACGTTGTAGATGTATATGGGCTCCAGTAACCACTTAACACCAGGTGGGCTGTGAGCTCGTCCACCCATCTAAACAATAAAAAAAAATCTTTGAATCCACTAAACTTCAATAATCCTAAAAGCGTGATAATTCGCACACAAACGAATGCTATTAATACATAATTAACGATTGAAAGTTTCCCTCCAGCGGCCACATTCGTGTGGAGTCACCTGAAGAACCTGGGCCAGTCGTCACTCCCGTCCAGGGTGGAGATCCAGGGTCTGCTGTCCGGGAACACCATGCCGCAGCTAGAGGACAGCCCCGACTTCAGAATGTTCTCGAAGAACTACGAGCAGAGCGTCTTCTTCGACCAATACAACGCTGGTAAGTCTAGGCTGCTATATCAATCTACTCCAAGAATTCCTCAGAGTTTGAAAGACTACCTACCACCAATAACATTAATCCTGTCGAGACTAAATTATCTATACTAATGTTATAAAGAGGAAAGATTTGTTTGTTTGTTTGTATTGAATAGACTTCGAAACTACCGAACCGATTTGAAAAATTATTTCATTGTTTGGAAGCTACACTATTCCCGAGTGACAAAGCCTATAATATTTTTTGAAAAAAATTAGGGATCCTTACTAAAACTCAGATAATGTAACCCAAGGTGTAAAAAAATTACCTAAAATATTCTTTACATCGCGTGCCCTGCGAAAACTATTGATGATAGAATAAAACAATGTATTACGACTTTGTAGAACACATTATTATTTACAAAAAGTGTCGCGACAACATATGTGTAACTATTCTAGTTATGCCGCAATAAGTGTTATTTTATTTAAAAAAATGAAACAACGTCAAATATCGTTGAAATTTTTGTTAAAGACCCGAGCGAGCCGGAGCGGGCCGCTAGTGTATAATAATCATCATCATCATCTTACTTGTTTCAAAGCAGCGAAGCAGTTATGATCATTGAGACTACGACCTCATGTCTCAAGGTCGTAGGCGCTATTCACGTTCTAATTATGCTTAAGCTCAAGTGGCTTCATCGTATATGTAACTTCCAATTTATAATTGAAAACGTTGACAACTAAACTAAAGGAACAACAATAATTGTAACTATACTGAGACCTTAGAACTTATATCTCAAGTTGGGTGGCGCATTTACGTTGTACATGTCAATGGGCTCCAGTAACTACTTAACACCAGGTGGGCTGTGAGCTCGTCCACCCATCGATGCAATAAAAAAAGAAAAAAAAACTTATCAAACGTGCCAACGTTGCAGATATAAGAGCGAATAGACACGGCACGAGGTCGAAATCTAACTATCTAAATAATTTGCTCCATTCAGGTGGAAACTACGAAGCCAATGTGGTGTTCTCACCGGACTCTTACATCCCAAGGTCGCTGTCGCTCAATCTGACTGTCGATATGTTTGGCGAGTCGATCAACGTTTTCGAGGTGAGTTATAAGCGTGCGTCAAAATGTGACATGCCCTTCGACTAACTAACTTTATTTACCTGCTAGTGAAAACTGTGCTCTTAAAGACACTTTTTATGCGAGCAAGATCAGTCTCAGTCGGACCCGGTGAGATTTTGCCGGGGGCAGCGGCTTGGCTCTGCCCCTGGCATTGCTGAAGTCCATGGGCGACCATAAACACACCATCAGGTGGGCATACGGCCCACCTTGTAGGCTCGTCTGCCTACAAGGGCAATAAAAAAAATTGCTAACATCTGCCCGAGCGCCTCCAAAGGATACCTGACAACTAGAGGGCAGCTGCTTCGCGAATGCATGGACTACCGGATCGGAATAGCGATCAGCTGAGAAGATCCGACGAGAAACTCAAAGGGCTTTTAAAAACTCTTCTCGTGTGTACGACAACCAAATATATAAAAAAATATTTGAATAGTTACAACTTTGTTGTTAAAAGTGAAAACCCTTGAGCTCAAGTTTTAAAAAAAAAAAAAAAAAGGTATGTTTCAAGGTGGGTGGCGGCATTTACTTTGTAGATGTCTATGGGCTCCGGTAACCACTTAACATCAGGTGGGCCGCGAGCTCGTCCACCTATAAAAGCAATAAAAAATATAAAAAAAACCATAAATCTTCGAGATACGTACTCAGTGACTTCAAATTTAGGGTTACTATGTTATTATCTGGTATTTCAATTAACTGTTGAAATCAAAATCCTTAATGAAAAGTAAAATATGATATAAAAGGCCATGTTATTCCATCCCTCAGCCACAAAGTGATTTTTGTATTACTATTCATATGACCGGTGAGAACAATGACGTCACTGTATCATACGCTATGTTTGAATCGATCTGAACGCATCGAAATTTTTCTAGATGAAGGCCCGCGCCGAAGGCTTCGAATCGTACTTCGAGAACTACTTCAGCCGAAACGGACCGTTCAGCAAGAGCAACATCATGGAAAAGATCAACAGCATGCGTTTCGCGCGTTCGCTAAACGACACTGAGGACGTGAGAAGCAAGATCGACGACTTGGGCTACGAGAACGAAGCTCTCAAACACAGGCTCCCCCTGGCTGAGCTCGGGATCAAGGTCTTCGGTAACGAGATATCGTACTGGAGCGCCGAGGGTGACGACGAGATACGTAAGTCTCTGGCGAGGCTGAACCCGGAGTTGAGGATCATGGAGATCTTGTCCGGAAAGGTGAGTAACTTGGTGTGATCTGTTTTTTTTTTACCTATGTTGATAGCCTTGAGCTAAAAATCGCAGCAGATGGAGGGAAATCGTACGGGAGAAACTGATGCAGCGGCAGAGTCACGACCCTCAGTAATGAGGAAAACGACGCGAGGAGGAGAATAGCCTTGAGAGACTATTTCAGCTTCGCCCTAACGCTTAGGTGAACTCACGGGGCTCAAACCGGAGTGATGCTAACATGTTCCGCCTGAGCTTGCAAGCGACAGCGCAGAACAAGCGATAGAGAGGCTCGATCGGCCCAAGCGTTGGCTTGTGACACATTTATCTCTCCTCTCGCGTGACCTCAGAGCTAGTAATACGAATAGTTCTGCTACTGAGGCTATCAAGTAAAACTATTGTCTGTAAATCGACCTTACAGACAACCAATTATTTTTACTAACTACTGAGGAACTTTAGTGTTATCAATACACAATCAAAAGAGAAAATGTGATTTAATTAAATGAATATAAGACTTTCCTCCTCCTCCTCGCGTCGTTTTCCTCATTACTGAGGGTCATGACTCCCCCACTGCATCAGTTTCTCCCGTACGATTTCCCTCCATCTGCTGCGATCCATAGCTTCATGAAGGGCATTGTGGAAATTGATGCTTAGAGAAGATCGTATTTGGTCCGACCATCTCATGTGACTGCATCCTCTGGGACGTTTGCCATCTACCTTTCCTGTATAAGACTTTAAGTGTCAGGTATTACGGACGAATTTCGTGTGCTAATCGTTCGAACACTAATTTATAACTGAAATTGATCGTTATCTTTCAGGAAATTTCGTACAACAAAGCGTCGTTGTTCTTAGACACGACCTACTCGGTGCCGACCGGGTGCGGTCTGCCTCTGAACATGAATTTAATGGGAACGAGCTACGTCAATACCAGGATGTCGGGTACAGTCGAGTACAAAAATTCGCGATCCGGTAACTTGGACTTCGAGGGGAAACTGAGGCCGAGGTAAGTTAACGCTTTTGTGATTGGTAGTACTATGAGCACGCAAGGGTTGGTATCGCTGTTAACTACCACAGCCTACTAATATATTTGTTATCAATGACTAGACTAGATCTTTTGAGGCGTCTTAACTTTTTTTTTATTGCTTATGTAGATGGAAGAGCTCACGGCTCACCTGGTGTTAAGTGGTTCTTTACATACAAACATATCTGAGGAACTGTTGGAGATGATACCATCATCTCGTTTTTACCATCGCACTGCCCGCCACCGGAGTAGAGTTCATCCATACTACCTGGAGCCACTGCGGTCATCCACAGTGCGTTTCCAGAGATCTTTTTTGCCACGTACCATCCGGCTTTGGAATGAGCTCCCCCCACGGTGTTTCCCGAGCGCTATGATATGTCTTTCTTCAAACGAGACTTGTGGAGAGTACTTAACGATAGGCAGCGGCTTGGCTCTGCCCCTGGCATTGCTGACGTCCATGAGCGACAGTAACCACTCACCATCAGGTGGGCCGTATGCTCGTTTGCCTACAAGGGCAATAAAAAAAACGTACCAATTTTATTGCCCATGGACATCTACAACGTAAATGCGCCACCCACCTTGCGATATAAGTTCTAAGATCTCAGTATAGTTACAACGGCTGCCCCACCCTTCAAACCGAAACGCATTACTGCTTCGCGGCAGAAATAGGCAAGGCGGTGGTACCTATCCGTGCGGACTCACAAGAGGTCGCACCACCAGTAATTACGCAAATTATAATTTTGCGGGTTTCATTTTTATTACACGATGTTATTTACCGTGTATGTACTTCACCGTGGAAGTAAATCGTGAACATTTGTTGAGTACGTAATTCATTAAAAAAATTGGTAGTCGCCTGAGATTCGAACATCGATGCATCGCTCAACACGAATACACCGGACGTTTTATTCTTTAGGCCATGACGACTTCAATTTAATAAAAGTGTGTTAAAAAACAGTATACGGTTCTAACAGTGTGGCTGTGAACGTGGCTGCCACCATGAGCGTCGTGGCTGGAGGGCTCAGCTCGAGCGGGATCCGCGTCAACTGGCGCCTGTACACCGCCACCGCGGTCGAGGCCCGGCTCTCCGTGCGCGGCCTGGGGCTGCTCAGACTGCACCTCTCCCTGCCCATCGACAAGCAAGAGATCTTTGCTGCCAAGTGAGTATACGTGGGAGTGGGAGTAAACGAAATGCGGTAGGCAGCGACTTGGCTCTATCCCTGGTATTGCTGAAGTCTAAGGCAGACAGTAACCACTCACCATCAGGTGGGCCGTATGCTCGTCTGCCTAGAGGCAAGCAAGGGCTTTTTTAAACCTAGGCTGATCGTCTTGAGAGACCATTTCGGCGTAACCTTAACAAAGTAGGTGAGCTCACGGGGCTCAAACCTGCCGTTGTTAGTCCGAATGTTGTTGTTTGGAACTTGTTTATGTTATATGCAAGCTTCTAGTGAAAATTTCAAACGTCTTTTTGTTTTATCATGACTATAACCACACATTTTTTAAACTAAGTGTGACTCTGTATTCCTCATTCGATATAGTAGTGATCTAGGCATAAAGTGAATATCAAAGTTCACCATCGTCGGATAGGTTGCGATTAATAATATTACCACACAACACGTTAAATGATTTTACCGTTGTGCCGTACACATAATTAAAATAATTTACAGTCAACTAAGACTCTTCTCTTAATGGTCAGTAGCCACGAAAACTCTTAAAGTATTCAAAACGTCCTAAATAATAAAAAAAATAAGATAAAAGATATATGATAATAAGAAACGCGAAATTAAGCTGTAAAAGTAGTTTTGATTACATACAGAATTCCACCTGAAACCGAAATAACTAAATACGTTTGCATTTCATTACATAGACAATGGAATCGTGGCCCATACAGCCAAATCTTATAAAGAACATTTCCACAGATAATCTTGTAATGTTTTCCATTTATTGATTGGCACAAAATAGGACATAGCCTGTGTATGCAAAAATCAAGATACATATCGACGCTTAAAAGGTGCGCGACAAACGTGACTAAGCGACAATAACTGCTTTGTACATAAATGATAGGCAATAACCATATTCGATGCGCAAAAATATATATTTCTAGGTCTATTAAAATAATTTCAATCCTACAGCTACTAGCTAGATTCTACTACAGCTAAATTCGTTAAAATAGAATTTTTTCAGGTATTTTTCATATATATTTTAAATTAATTTCAACTTTAAATTAGTCTACTGTAAAGTTCACGCATTGTCGCTTAGTCACGTTTGTCTTTCAAGCGTCGATATATAGTCTAAAGAACAGATTTGCTAAATTAAAGATGTATTCAAAATTGATCCTTAAACCTTTGTAATACAGGTCGGAATTGATAATACTACACGGCGACAAAGAAATACAGCAAGGTGGATTGAACAAGAACAGAATAGAACAGAACACTTGCAGTTGGTCAACTTTTGATAACGCTGTAGGGATCAAAGTATGCGCATCCTATCAGGTATGACTTTTTTTCTTCAATATAAAAAAGTTGTCTTTAGATTTTCAGCAAATATATTAATAGAACGTGTACTAAAAACAATAATAGATGTCGGCTCGCATGGCTATGAGATATATTTGTCGCGAGTTTATTGATATTCAACATAAATCACACGCTACTTGAACGGTGACGTCATTGTGCAAAAGAATGCTATCTCTGTCTACAATTAAATTAAAACGCTTATAAATTATTGATTTCCGATTCGCGATGCGCGTTTTTATGAGATTTATTAAATTTCATAAAAATATATAGACCGTCATATATGTGGAATTTTAACATATAACTACACTGATAATAATTAATACTTTAGCGAAATGATAGCGAAACTTAATACGCCTAAGTTCAAGAGTCATCACTATCAAGATAGACAAAGTTCATCGTCATCACCATCGACCAGGGTCGTCGACTTACCCTTCCCTAATTTATGCCACTAATCAGGTCATCCTAAGTTAAAAGTTATTTAAATATGTCCGGGCGTAATAACATACCGATCCAATAGTATCCAATACGTTAATTGTTACATAATAGTAATTATAACTTGTTACTTTTATGAAGTATATTTTTTTTTAATTTACAAGGTTATTTTACAAATATATTGGTAACATTAACAATCGAACTAAAATTATAAGTAATTTTTATTCTTTTTTTTTTATCTTATCAAATGAAATAAACACATAGGGACACAGAAAAAAATAGTAAAGGTGTGTTTAAAAAAAATCACACGAAATCTAATAATGTTTTGGAAATTATGGGACATTTTAATATTTATATATATATTTTTTTTTACAGTTCCCAAATATGACAAATTTAAGAGACGCACCATACTTCCTAATGAGTGGACCGGCCAAATACATTATGTCCTTAGAAAAAGCCGATCCGTCAGCTAAAACATATGCCCTTGAATACAAGTGGGATAGGAATAGTACAAATGACGTCATAAGTTTCTCATTCGATACTCCTGATAGTCAAGTAAGTTACATTTTTTTTTTTTTTATTAAAAATAAAAGATAATATTTGTGTTAACAATTATATTTAATAATATAATAGTTATAAAGAATAGTTTTATTTTTTAGTCTGGGAAATGCATGTTTTGGTTAAAAACGCTTCTTTCAAATCTATTCAAATCTATAAAAAAATTAAGAAAATATTTGAGAAAAAAAAGAAAAAAAAGCCCGCTGAGTTTGTTTCGCCGGTTCTTCTCAGGACTGTGGCTTTTTTTGGAACCGGTGGTAGAGTTAACATTTTCTTTTACATTTTGACATTCAACAAGTGTGTTTTTGATGACATCCAAGTTGAAATAAATGATTTTGAATTTGAATTTGAATTTACTTTTTCATTTTCTTGTCTAAATTTGCATCCGTATACTAACCGAAAAAAATCATTGCAAAAGTTTTCCGAACATTTTTGGGACACGTGCAATAAAACATCTATACTAATATATAAATCTACAGTGGTTTTTACGGATGTTCCGTTATAACTACTGAACCATGCATCCCGTTGACTTGAAACTTGGTATCCATGTAGAAATATAATTAATCGATAGGCTAATATTTATATGAGTGTCGGACTCCCTACGCCAGAGAATCTTTGTGGGGGTGAGAATTAACAATGTTAATTTTAAATGCCCAGCGAAGCGGATGGGTACAGCTAGTGTTCAATAATTCTTTAATTTCGACAGGAAAAGCGAATGATTAATGCAGCTTTAAGCTTATCGAACACGTCGAGTACGGCGGTGCTGTCGTTCCAGTCGGCCAAAAGCACATTAAAAGCTCAGGCCCTGTACAGGAACCAGCAATACGATAAGTCATTAGAGGCGAGCTTAGACGTGGACGGGCGGAAACAGTTCGACACTAAAATGTCGGTGAAGCGTTACAACATCAAGAACGGCTACGTTTGGATACCGAACGCGTACTGGGTCGTCGACAACGATCGCGTCGCAGAACTGTCTGGTAATTGTTTTTTTTTTATTGCTTAGATGGGTGGACGAGCTCACAGCCCACCTGGTGTTAAGTGGTTACTGGAACCCATAGACATCTACCACGTAAATGCGCCTCCCATCTTGAGATATAAGTTCTAAGGTTTCAAGTATAGTTACAACGGCTGCTCCGCCCTTCAAACCGAAACGCATTGTGCTTCACGGCAGAAATAGGCGGGATGGTGGTACCTACCCGTGCGGACTCAAAAGAGGTCCTACCTGAGAGGTTTGATTTTTATTACACGATGTTATTCATTCATCGTAGAAGTCAATTGTGAACATTTGTTGAGTACGTATTTCATTAGAAAAATCGGTACCCGCCTGCGGGATTCGAACACCGGTGCATCGCTTCAACACGAATGCACCGGACGTCTTATCCTTTAGGCCACGACGAACTCTTAGTCGACTTTAACGACCAGAAAACTTAGACTCACGCCTTCAGAATCAATCGAAGACAACATACATTGTCGAAATACGAACTTAAGAAATCTTCACAATTGACTTCCACAGTGAAGAAATAATATTGTGTAATCAAAATCAAACCCGCAAACCTATAATTTGCGTAATTACTGGTGGTATGATCTCTTGTGAGTTCGCACGGGTAGGTACCACCACCCTGCCTATTTCTGCCGTGAAGCAGTAATGCGTTTCGGTTTGAAGGGTGGGGCAGCCGTTGTACTATACTGAGACTTTAGAACTCATATCCCAAGGTGGGTATCGGCATTTACGTTGTAGATGTCTATGGGCTCCAGTAATCACTTAACATCAGGTAGGCCGTGAGCTCGTCCAACCACCGAAGCCAATAAAAAAACCAAATTTGAACAGGATTAACAGCAAATTAAACATATAACTAAATTAGGGACATATATCAGTGTGCTTAGTGCGAGTTTTTTAACGTTCTCGATAGCGTAAAAGTTAACTCAAACTAACTAAGAACGTTAAGTATGGTGTTGGAACGTTTCGCCTCGATGACTCGTCGGTCGGGCGTCCTCGGGGTGGCACCGCGTGTCTGGTTGTAGTGTTGACCGCGGGAACCCCGCTAATCTGACCGGGTTTTGACCCCGGATGGAGATCGGACGTCGGGTGTAAGAGTGCATGGGAGTCGTTTAGTGCGGTAGGACCCTAAAATTCTTTGGGCCCGCGGTCTGCTCCCAACACCTTGCAGATCGTCAAGTCCCACATACCCTGCGCGCCCCCTAGGCGCGTGGACCTCGTAGAAGGTTCGGCCCCCGGCCCGAAAAAAATAAAGGCTTTGGAACGTTTGCCAAATATGAATTAACTTTTACGCTATCGAGAACGTTAAAAAACTCGCACTACGGCCACTATTGTTATCACGTAACACGGGTATTTCCTTATAGGCGTCTTCAAAGTCAAATCTAAAGGCGGCGTGTCCCAGTGCGACATAACAGTGGACTTCCAAACGAAACAGCTGGCCAGTCGCCTCACTGGCTACTACATACTGAACGGACCCACGCACGGCGCCAACCTCAGACTTGACTACCGGTTCAACAAGAACTCGAACCAGACGATCAAAATGGAGGGCCTTTTCACGGAGAAAGCAGCCGGTTACAGACACGACATTTACGCGGAAGTCGAAATGCAATTCACCGCCTATCCCGTATACAATTTTTATTCGGTCTTCAAGAACGTTGTAAGTATATTTTTAATACGCTTTTTTTTTATAAGCTTCAGATGTATGTATGTTTGTAAGGGAATCTTTGAACATGATTTTGAACCCATTCAAAACGTCGAATTAACTCGAAATTTCTTATACTTATTAAGGACCGATGACAATACAATATTTAAAAAAAATTTAAATTCTGCTAAAAAATAAAAAATAAATTATAGTTTTAATAAAACTAACAAAATACGCTTTTATAGAATATCCAACTAAAAAATAGAAAATAAATTTTAATAAATTTGAATTAAAAATAGTGTAAGAAAAAATGATTTTATTGTAAAAAAGCTTGGGGTTCTTTTCAGGATATTATCAAAATAACCGTTCTACTCCTATCTGTTCAAAAAAATGTAATAGGTAATAAATTAATATATATAAACAATTGAACTTCTAACAGTTATACAAAGTAAACCTCTAAAGGTTTATTTTGTACCTATCTAATTATATTGTGATTAATAGTAAAATAAAGCAAAAACAAATTAAGTATATGAAATTATTCTGAAATATTTTAATGATATATGAAATTATTTAATTAATAATGTACTTATATGAAATTACTCTGACATATCCTCTGAATCATTTGATTCTGAACTCTCTGAACTTGACTCAGAATCATCTTGTAAGTTTATAATGATTTCGTCCGTCATAGTATCAAATCTCATATCAGTAATGGCAGCAAGCCCCCCCCCGCCTTTCCGTCCCCCCGCTCACATACCTAAGGCGTGGCCAACTAGTTCTGCGCGCACAATAATCTAAAAACGATTTGCGAAGATTTGATCGAAACAAAATTATCTTTAAGTTCAATAGCACAAGATTTATTTTAGATCGTTTTGTATTTGTATTTCGAAAAAAAAAAATTTGTTTCAGAAAACTCAAAGTCACGTCGACATTGGCTTCAACGTGAGCTCGTCGAAGAAAGAGAAGGAAGATCCATCGTTTATGCTAAAGTTCATTCGAGTGGATAAGCCCAATGGTGTTAAAATCGATACTGGACTCAATTTACGCCGACCGAAGACTATTGATGTTAAATTTCAATTCGAAGGGGTAAGGCAGTGTTGCCGTGTTTGGCAGGACCTCTTGTGAGTCCGCACGGGTAGGTACCACCGCCCTGCCTATTTCTGCCGTGAAGCAGTAATGCGTATCGGCTTGAAGGGTGGGGCAGCCGTTGTAACTATACTTGAGACCTTAAAACTTATCTCAAGGTGGGTGACGCATTTACGTTGTAGATATCTATGGGCTCCAGTAACCACTTAACACCAGGTGGGCTGCGAGCTCGTCCACACATCTAAGCAATAAAAAAAATAAAAAAGCTCTCCTTGTTTCAGTGTCAGCTTCTTATTATTCTTATTCTTATGTCATTATTGCCAAAGTTGAGCTTTTAATAAACTTCAATATTTATTTACACACGTGTTCTGTTAATTGCATTAAAAAACGGAATGAGATGGAATTGTTTTAATTCGAATATCAATCTATTAATTATGCTGTAATTAAAGTCTATAAGTCAAAACGAACGTATTTAAAAAAAAAAACATGGAAGACAATACATTGTTACTTAAAAACTTAGAAACTAATTTTACGAAAGACGAGACCGTAAGGACTCAGTCCATTGCCTGCTTGCAAGAGCAAAACATTAAAAAAAAGCATTAAAAATCAAATTAAAACCAGATGAGATTTAATTTAATAATGTCCTAGTAATATAGTAAAAAGTTACTGAGACTTCAGTTACATATTTTGGGAGAACCCGAGAAGCTATGAATTCCTATCTAAATTGGACTGCTTTCAACAGATCGGACCGAAGTATACGACTTTAGCGCTTTTGAACTTCAATCCCAAATCAAGGGAGATACTCATATCGGGATACCTGTTCCTACCCCCCGGGGCTCAACTGTATCTGGACTCGGAATTGAACATGACCCTGCCCACGCTGCATCCTTGCAACATCAAAACGAAAGTTCACGAGAAACAACCTAATGAATACCAGGTAAGGTCCGGTTTTCTCTGGCGATCCTTAAGTCTGTAGATCCCGTTTTCTAACAGTATATTTGAGGGCTCTTAAACATAATACTACCCTATATTAAAGGCAAATAAGGTCAATTTTACTCTAACAACTATTTAGCGTTTGTTCGACTTTTGACATAAACCATACGACTGTACATAAAGACAATTACTTTTTACGTTTACTGGTGGTAGGACGTCTCGTGAGTCCGCACGGGTAGGTAACACCACCCGACCTATTTCTGCCGTGAAGCAGTAATGCATTTTGGTTTGAAGGGCGGGGCAGCCGTTGTACAGTAAAAACTGAGACTATAGAACTCGAGGTGGATGGTGGCATTTATGTTGTAGATGTCTATAGGCTCCGATAACCATTTAAAGCAATAAAAAAAAACTGTTTGTACCAGGTGAATTCTGTTGGCATATGGTTCACGGGCGTCGACTTCAACGTAGACGCCCTGTACCAGGACCAGTCCAAGACCAACATGGCGTCGCATCGTCTGAAAGCGATGATAAACAGCAACCACTTCAAGAACATAGCCGTCGACGGGCGATTCACTCAGGACAACCGACAAGTCACTTTTATAGGAGTGGTGAGTACTCCAATCTTACCGACAGGGGGCGGCTGTGGAGCACGCTCGCGCTCCGGCCGGTCATTGACCCTTGGGGGGGGGGCACTACACGGGGAAGTACCGCCGGTTTCTTCGGGCTGTCAAATACAGTAGATTGGGTCCCCCCATAGAGACTAGAATTAGAATAGGGATAAATCTGGGATGTCACAATTGCCTTTGTTTAGTTGTTAGATTTAACTTGTTGAACTGAAAATGACTTTCATTTAGTGTTTAAGAATATTAAATAGTTTAATTTAGTCTACAAAGTTTTGTAACTCATTAAAGATATTAAAAAGTTAATTTTCTATCCAAAAACGATTGTCCTCATACGCATCCTGATTCACCCCAAAAGCCAAGGTGAATCGGGTCAAGTTAGTCTTTTCTGTTTTGTGTATATTTTGTAACTGAAATATGTACATATACAAAATTCTCCTACCTACGCCGAAAGTTCAGTTTTCGTCCCGCTGTACAGCGGGAAGAAAGTACCTTTTCCTCCCGCTGTACAGGGAAGAAAGTGTAACTTTTCCTCTCTGGGTACAAGTGCGCATGCGCGTTAGTGTCTACGTCTGCTCTCACGCACCTAAAATTTTCCGCCATTGTTGTGCTCGGGTAATTTGCAATATTGTGTTTAGTGTAAAAGTGAAATAAACAAAAGGCAATAAAATTTTATAGTGAAGTATTAAAGAGAGATGAGAGACAGTTCTTATTCAAATAGTAGTAGTTTATTTAAGAATTAAATTAAACAGTTAAATTGTTTTTTTATGAGTAAGGGGGGGCCTCGCCCCTGGACCCCGGCTCGGTACTCCACGAACTTTCGGCCTGGTAGGAGAAAAAATAGTATGTGCACCGCGGGAGAAAAGTTAGACATTTCCTCCAGCGTGTTTGACACGGCAATTTTACACGCGGGAGGAAATGTCCAACTTTTCTCCCTTGGTGCACAATGTACTATTAAGCCTCCAGAACCATTTTAATCTCAACTTTATTGGTTTCTAAAATTTAAAAACTTGGTAAAATTTGTGTTGGATTTGGAAAGGGTCCCGATTCCCTCCAATCTGCGGTAAAAAGGAAATATTAAAAAAAAAGAAAAAATGTGACAGGTACAATAGGAATACATATGAATGAGGCTTCGATCTTTTGTCTCGATATTAATAGCGGCGAATATTAACTTCAATAACCACTTAAAGACAGGTCATCAAAATAGCTGTGACCTAATTTCTTAAGATCGCGTTGATGTTGACCTGGGACCAGGTAGTATATGGGTCAAGTATCTGAGGCAAAAAAATAAATATAAACCAACATTTAAACTATTAAAATTTCCACAGGGTGAATACAACGGGGACATCTACAGAACCCTAATACGTCACGTCGTGCTGTCGGAACAGAATTTCACGACGTACGCCGAATTGGACGTTAACGAGAAGGCATACAGTTTCGATTTGAATGCCGATTTGAACAACAACACAAGCGTCAATCTGGACATACACATCGACGAGTGAGTGTTTTGAATTGAACTAACGGAACATATATTTTAATTAATTTTTGGAGCGAAGTTCCTTATGGGACGATGCGGAGGGGTACCCTAACCGGGAAAAAAACGTCCTTAACCTAAGATTTTTAATATTAATGCACACAGTGTACGACTTAACTTTGTAATAACGTACAAAATAACATATTTGTTTATCATTCATTGACCACGATCTCAGAGAGTTCGTTTGCGCAATATAGTCTTAAGCAAACAACCGTGAACGAAGTGTACCACAATAAGTTCGCACGTTACCGAATGACCGTGGGTTGTTGCGAAACCTCCAGTATGGCTCGCAAGCAGTTGTAACAGCTCTCCTCAGAACATACTCAATTAGAACCTTGCACGAAAACCATAAACTAACTAAGATTTTGAGCTGGTCCCTGGTCTCTGCGCTGGTACCACCGCCCTGCCTGTTTCTGCCGTGAAGCAGTAATGTGTTTCGGTCTGAAGGGTAGGGCAGCCGTTGTAAGTGGGCTGTGAGCTCGTCCACATATCAAAGCAATAAAAAAAAAAAAACGCAAGGAAGAGATACTAAAATTTAAATTTTTGTAGCTTAAGGGACGTCCAGATCTCGTACCACCGCTGGCTGTACGATCACCAGAAGCGGCTGAGCGTGGCCGTGAACTGGGACGCTAACCGGAACCCATCTCAGAAGGTCAGCGTCGACGTGCAGCTCGACAACAAGGGGCCCTGGCACCACGCCGCCCACCTGTCCTTGTACTACCCGGGCAGGATGGTTACCGGCGAACTCGAAGTCCTGCTCAGAGGTCGGTTTGAGTTGTTTCAGAAGTTTAACTTCTTTAATGCTAGTGCGCTATTTGGGCACGCACAAGCAATAGCCACCAATCCAACCTATTTCTGCTATGAACTTTTAGTGCGTCCCGGCTGACCGAGTGGGGCAGCCGTAGGATGGTCACCGGTGACCTCGAGGTCCTGCTCAGAGGTCGGTTTGAGTACTAGTTGTTTCAGAAGTTCAACTTCTCTAATGCTAGAGCCATTTGTGGGCACACACAAATAATCACAACCATCCAGCCTATTTCTGCAGCGAAGCTCTACTGTGTTCCGGTTCACAGGGTGGGATAGCCGTTGTACCATAGAACTAAGATTTAGATCTCATATCGCAGTATTGCTGATCTATATGCCGCTTTCTAATGGTAGCCATTTAAGCACAGGGGGCTAAGCAAAATAAGTTAAAGTCCTTGATGACACCAGGTCAAAATATCGAGGAGAGAAAGGTTATTTGGTTTAAGTGGCATTTCAGTTAATACTTGACATTTATGTTCATAATTAAAGGTGCGTCTTATTTGGTATTAGTATCAACAGTTCGATGTTTTTAATTGAACTTCAATTATGTTTACCATGTTCAAATAGCTGAAGAAGTTTTTTGTCACGATATTTTTTCCAAATTTTAAACTTTGAATGGCTCTCCAGTAATGTCGCAATGTCGCAAGAATGTCGCTTAAACCAAACGCTCTTTCACCCCGCCATATGTGTTTTTAATAATCCCAAAGACACCACCTCTCCAAACATTGTATCACGTCCTTTCGGATCCATCAGATCCAATGACCCTTGCTTAGACACCTTCAGCTCTAATACTAGGAGCAGACTTAGGGACCCCAGTAATCGTATTCGTCGAATTCGATAAAGAGTTCGACGTGCAACCTAACCTAAACATCAGGCCGCTGAGTTTCTCGCCGGATCTTCTCAGCGGGTCGCGATTCCGATCCGGTAGTAGATTCATTCGCGAAGCAGTTGCCCTTGATTTGTTAGGTCTCCTTTGGAGGCGCTCGGGCAGCTGTTAGAAAATCCCACCCCTCTTGACTGAGCCTTTGCTCACCCACCTGTCCTGGTGAAACCGGAAAGGCCACCAGTAATCCCTCAATCATAAAAAAACACTGTGTTTGACCATTAGATTGGTTCTGTCAATGGCACGTCCGCATGGGCTGGGCTCACGACGCCAACATCCTGTGGAGGGTGAAGATGTACTCCGAAGCGAAGAATGAGACTGTCTACGCGCTGCTGTCCAGCCTGAGCACGCCCTTCAATGGCTGGAGGGACACCAGCTTCAACGTTATGTAAGCACCAGTACAACCATAGGTTTTCATGATTTGTCCCACTTCGATAAAGCGGCACGACACGAGAACCCTCTCATCGTGGCCGCCGGTAACTACATTCCCGATCCTGCGGACAGAATGGAAAGCAGTCGACGTCGCCCAAAACACGTCATTTCGGATCCTCCCGATCCACTAACGGTGCTTTTAGGTACCTCACCGGTCATCGTTCTGGTCGCACCCGTCGCTTGTGACGAAGGGCTCGACGAGTAAATTAACCCTCAGACACAGCCCACTGAGTTTCTCGCCGGATCTTCTCAGTGGGTCGCGTTTCCGATCCGGTGGTAGATTCTGCGAAGCACGGCTATCTATCTGTATGGACGAGTTTACGATAAAGTGGCTACCGTAGTTCATTGACGACGACAACGTAAATGCCGCCACCCACCTGGAGAAATGAGCTCTAAGATCTCAGTTTTTACAGTACAACGGCTGCCTCGCCCTTCAAACCGAAACTCATTACTGCTTCACGGCAGAAATAGGCAGGGTGGTGGCACCTACCAGTGTGGACTCACAAGACTCCCTTTGTACAGCTATCGTAGTTTCAGAGCAGATTAAAACGTTAATTGTTTTAATTACGATTGCTTTCAATTTCAAATAACTGCTTGCTTAGAATGTGTAAGTATAGCAGGATTTCTTAAACACAAACGTTATAGGATGAACGAGCGAGTTCTTAGTAAATAACAACGTCAACAAGCACACAAATAAGTGTCCAAGATTGAGAACCGCCGGCATTATCAACCAATAACACCTTAGGACAGCTTTAAAGTGATGCATTTATTGTCATAACGTCAAGCTTTTTTTATTTTATTTTTATTGCTTAGATGTGTGGACGAGCTCACAGCCCACCTGGTTGTAAGTGGTTACTGGAGCCCGTAGACATCTACAACGTAAATGCGCCACCCACCTTGAGATATAAGTTCTAAGGTCTCAAGTATAGTTACAACGGCTGCCCCAGCCTTCAAACCGAAACGCATGACTGCTTCACGGCAGATATAGGCAGGGTGGTGGTACCTACCGTCGCGGACTCACAAGAGGTCTTACCAGCAGTAACCTTCATGGCTTTGGACCTCTGAAGGTCTCTCGTACCCAAGTCGTGAGCGAGAACCGAACCGCGACCCCTGAACCTTCCGTTCTCTGCCGACAGGTGGCGCTACCACGACAACCTCCAGGCCATCAACGGTAGCATGAACTGGCAAGAAGACTACCTATCCTTCAACCTGCTGGCCGACTATCTGTTCAAAACGAACGAATTCTACGGGGAAATAAACGCGGTCGTGAACTCGACTATACCGACCCTACCCAAAGCGGCCGCCATCGCCAAACACAGAGTTATCTGGAAGAAGAGTGCTGACACGTTGCTAAGTTTTCAGGTTAGTTCACACCTGCTTAACACCTCCTGCTTCTTGTATTAAAGAGATTTTATAAGAGACAATAAACAATTTAAGTTTATGATCTAATAACGATACCTCAGCAATGAAAACCTTCAAGAAACATGAGCTCACCTACTATAGTAGAATTATTTTTTCGGTGCAGTTTGGGTCATAAAAAATTGCCCGGCTAGAGCGGTGAGCATGTTGCGCGGGCGCAACGTCATTATCGATAAAAACAAATGAGTATCGAAGGCAGGTACACGGCGGCGGGGCGGTATACGAAGGGTGGTGAGACATTGTTATGTTATGAGTCATTTGTTGTACCTACCTGCAAATTATAGTACATATTATGTAGAAGAGAAATCTGTTTTTATGCATTCGCTCTCTGAATTTCTTTAGTGACACAATGGCTACTCCTTTATTTTGTACCAAAACGATAGAATTTATTCACAATAATATTTGCACGTGTTCTTATTAACAATGTGTTAAAAAATTTCACTGAAATGAAAATAGATCTCGAAAAGTTACAAAGTGCTATATTCTACCGTTCTCGTTAACTTGCTGCGGCGATATATGGTGTAAGTGTTCGATTAGTGATTTTTACTTTCATTTTTATCACTAACCCACCAAATGACAAAACTAAATATACTATCGATAACGCTTATCGAAAACAATAAGGCGCATCACTATGCCCGTCCATAAGGCTCGTGAGTGGAAGAGAGAGCGAAATATTCGCTTCACCGCTCCGATTATTTATCACCCAAACTGCATGGACTAACTAATTCTACTATAGTTCGGTGAATCTAGTATGACCCCTCGAGGTCACTCGAATAGGTAGGAAAAAAAACAACATTCGGAGCCTCGATCTACCGAGCAATATCACCCAAATCTGTGGCAAAAATTCCATTCAATGTGCAATTTCATTTCCAGTATAACGAAGAAGGTAAACTTATGATCAATTCGTCATGGACCCTCGACAAGGGAGAGAAGCAGACCAACGTCACCGGCCGAGTCACACTGCTCACGCCCTTCCAAGTGAGTGTACCCTATTCGTTACAAATTTGTTCAATACAAATCCCTTGGTCCGTAGGGTCCTAGCGCTATAAGGCTTTTTAAGGAAATAGCAAAAAGGTTAGTCGACATCACAGGAGACCGAAGGGCTGGCAGCTACCTTGGACAAAGAATTAGTCTAGCTATTCAAAGGGGGAACACTGCCAGTATCTTCGGAACCTAGCCTAAAGGGACTCCTTTTAAAAATACATTTTAGTTATTAAATTATTATTATTATTTTGTAAAGTTTTTAGTTTTAACTTCATTGTTAGAGTTGATTGCATAATTTATATATAATTAAATACTATAGTTTGGCTTCTAACATAAATATGTGAATGAAATAAATATGAAAATGTAGAAAATTGACTAACTATATAATATATTTACAAAATGTGATCATAAATTTCATACTTTTTCTGAGAGATGTCTTTTTAATGTTATCCAATAATTAATTTAGTACAAAAATTAAAAAGTTTTATAAATATATATGACAGAGGCTGTTCCATGGTGCTTTTAATATAAAGACGTCAGCGTCGCTGACGCCATTCTCTTCATCATTATTATTGCCTTCCATAATGCCAATAATTAAGACGCACTTTTCCAATGAATTCCATTTATTGCATTTCAAGTGTACAACGATAAAAACGGAGGGCTCCGCCTCGGTCAGCTACTGGAGTTAGAATGTGTTGTGATGTGTATTATCTATGGTGTTATGCGACAAAAGTAATTCGTATTTATAATAGAATAGTGGAGTAGTAACAATTGTTGTCTTGCGTTGGACTGATAACAGTTATCCAATAATTTTAACATTGAGGAAACAATAAACTCAACTCTTAGTTAACTAAATGGCAGAGTTGCGTCGATATATATTTAGTCAATAAATTGAGTTTTCCGAAACAGGGCTACACAAAGGGCTTCCTCCGCACCGAATTCTTATTTGGACACAAACGCGATATCCACGGAATCACGTATCTGGACCTAGAGGAGAAAGTCCTGAAAATATACGTAAACGGTCACATGAGGAGGATCACGAACTGCATGCTGGTGGTCAACGTGACCAGCCCCACCACGGAGCTGTCGCAGACGACGGCCAGGTTCGGCTTCGTTGAGGCGGACAGGCATTTGGTCGCTATCGTGGTCACACCGAATAGTACCACCGGTGAGGATTCTATCAAATACTCACACAAGTTCACCTAGCCCCCGAGCTGGGTTTCCCCCTGTTGTGGGAACCGGAGAATCATATACGTAGTGCTTAAAATATAAACATAGATATTAAATACCTTAAATACTTTAAGCCTTAAGTTATGAGCTTTAAGGCTTAAAGTATTAAAATCGAACCTGAACAATTACAATTCAATTCAATAATATTTCTTGCGTTTACCAAAAAACAAGAATTTCGGATTAAGCCACTTCAATTCTAAAGGTTCGGTATAACGTTAGTAAAAAATCATCGCCATTGAGATTTGATGTTTCTGTACGGTAGACAGACTTACTGTTGAGGACATTGTGTGTCTGTAAGCTTAATTAAAGTTATCGTAAGTATTTTGGGGATGGTGGGGGATGTGGGGCATTGCGCGTCCTCACGTGTGGCATCGTTGTGCCCATCAATGCCGCAAGTGGACAGCACAATACGTAAATAATGCCTCTACCAAGTAAACATTGAGTTGTGGGTAGGTACAACGGTGGATTACACGGTGTAATAAATAAATTTAATTGACACATTTATTGATTATTAAACAGGTATCGAAGTTTTCTTGAAACTCCTGTCGCTGCAAGATTTCCACGTATTTGGGCACGTCGCACTCCCCATACAGTACTTAAACAGAGCCATGGTCACCGCGAAGAGAGCTCCGCAAGAGGTAAATTACTAATTTATTTAATATAAAATTACTAATTAATAAATGACTGGTGGTAGAACGTCTTGTCAGTCCGCACGGGTAGGTACCACCACCCTGCCTACTTCTGCCGTGAAGCAGTAATGCATTTCGGTTTGAAGGGTAGGGCAGCCGTTGTAACTATACTGAGGCATTAGAACTTATATCTCAAGGTGGGTGGCGTATTTACGTTGTAGATGTCTATAGGCTCCAGTAACCACTTAATACCAGGTGGGCTGTGAGCTCGTCCACCCATCTAAGCAATAAAAAAAATGCAATCTTTGAATAACGTTTCAATAATAAAGCCCTGCTACTATTTGCCGTCGAGTGTAGAGCATCGTGAACTATGGTGTCGAGGGTAGTGCTGATCTGGTCAGTCCATACGTATACCAGATACGAGGAATACTAGATGTCGTTTAGAACTTACATATATCTACTTAAGGCGTATTCACATATTACCTCCACGATGAAGAAAAAACATCTTAGTAGTGCCGCTATCTTGCCTATTTCTGCCGCGAAGCCGTTACACGAGATTAACTAGGCTTCGACCTCATGTCCGAAAGTGGGTGGCGGCATTCACTCTATAGTATGTTGAGGCTTATCTTTTAATCTAGAGTAGACAAACACACACACACACACACACACACAAACACACGCACACACAAACACACACACACACACTTACATACAGCTTCAGGATTTAGCTAAAGTGTCAGTATGTCAACAGTGCATTTGATACCAATAATTGGTTTTATTCACACAGGTCGATTTCCGAGTGGGATGGAACAAGATGGACTTTGGTTTCACGGCAATATGGCACTGGAGGGCGATCGTCGATTTTGTATATCTGTACAAACTTTACACACCGTTGGAGGGTTTCGAAGAGAACGGATTGGTATTCAAGAACATATACGGCAACGGACTGGATACAGAACTATCGATTCGTCTGTCGAAACACAAGGTACCAAAAGTATCGAATTTTTTTGAAGTTATACTTCTTTAGGCGCGTTATGAAAAATTGATGAGAGTGAAATTTTACGATGCGCGCGCACCCTGACACAAAATTAACAGAATGAAGTTGCCCACTAAATCACTCATTACAATACGACCGACGTAACTTAGCGAGTCTGAATATAGCCGCAGGTGAACTTTCCGAACCGTACCGAGAATTACCGAATTTATACGATGTCAAGAAAAGGGATGTCCAATATGCGTGTTTGAGGATGTTACTTAATCGATTTTTTTTCAAATTGATTAATATTTCAATAAAAAAAAAATATACATATAAAAATAAAGTATAACTTCTTACGCGCGTACATAAGTACACGCACCCTTTTTTTATTAATTGCTTCTTTTATTTCCTTTTCAGTTCGGCATAGCGATCCTGCTAAAGGACAACGGCAAGGGCTTAGTGGACGTCCTAAAGGACAAGATTCAAAACAAATTCGACATGAACTCCGACGTGTTCTTGGAAGACTTCGACACGACCGCCAGGGTGGTGGTCGACACTCTGTACTACCCAACGATAACATTCCACTCGCACATCACTAAGGTATAATAGTTATATTTTTTCAACTAGAGAAACATATTTTTTGTACCGTATGTTCCATGGGGAGTGCTCTGAGGAATTGCTTGAGATGATCCCCTCATCTCCTTTTTATCATCGCACCCCTCGCCATCAGAGCAGAGTTCATCCATATCATCTGGAACCGCTGCGTTCATCGACAATGCGTTTCCAGAGGTCTTTTATGCCACGCACCATCCGGCTTTGGAATGAGCTCCCCTCCGCGGTGTTTCCCGAGCGCTATGACATGTCCTTCTTTAAAAGAGGCTTGTGGAGAGTATTAAGCGGTAGGCAGCGGCTTGGCTCTGCCCCTGGCATGATTTCAAACTCGATGAAACGAAAAATTAAGTCCATAGAGACACAAACACATCTCGGTTTCCTCTTTACTGTTCGTAGCATCCCCGCTATCGTCTACTAAACATTGTCCATATGTATGCTCCTGTGTAGTGGGATAGCCAGTATATCTATATCTTATTTATAAGTTTCTCTTCTACCGTGTGTGACTTTCAAACACACACACACACACACACACACACACACACACACACACACACACACACACACANACTTACACTCACACACACACACACTTTTTTTTTAAATATTCATTTTTACAATAGGTATTTTAACGTAACAATTATTGCAATATCGAAATGCCCGGAGCGAGCAACTCATTCCCGCTTATGTTTGATCCTCAGTTTGTGGGGCCGGAGGAGGAGGAGATCGTCCAGGCAAACGCAACGCTCCATCTACCGGATAAACCGCCTATCGTCTTAACCGACGTATTCGTACTAGAGGTCAGTTGTTCCATTACGATATTTATTTCAAAAACGTTAAGATTCAAAATAAAAATAAAAAATGTTAATAATAGTAAATACAATTAACGGTAAATAGGGATCGGCGTTCATAAGCCAAAAACTGTTTTCGAATACTTTTAAAGTTTTCGTGACTTGTGTGTTTGTTTGCCATCGACATTTATATATATATATATATATATATTTCGTGATAAATTCTATCAATTTTTTTAAGAATATTTACTAAAGTCAGTAAAGTTAAAACGGCAAGCGTGAAGCCCGAGATTTAACTGTGTACAAACAGTAGGTACAAGTGTTTCTTGAATAATTAGAGATCGATAAAAGAAATCCGATTTGCTCTTGTATTTTTTTAACGGCCCGCTAACGAGACTTTTAAGCCATTTGCTCCTGTCAAGAATAACAAAAAAAAAACTGTGCACGTGACTGAAGTGAAACTTCTTTTTCGATGTGTAGTATTGTGGTTTTTCTTAATTTTTCATCCTTAAATCAGATTGCTCTTGTAATAGGGAATACTGTGTATAAGAGATGCGACACCTTCAACGTTTATAGTATATATTTTTTAAATTATAAGTAGAATAACAAATATATATATATTTTAAATACTTCATTAAAATATTGGAGCTACTAGTTGCTAACGCTCGCGCTGGCCTGTAGCAGGTACACTACGCGCGTACGTTCGAGTGCCGCGCATTCACTCTCGCTCTGTCTCTTTCTATTCCATGGTAGCGTTAAACGTTTAACGCAACCTTGTTGGAAGTCGCATTGGAAGTTTCACTTCAAACTTCAACTAAATGTCAAACATCCTTCGCAGACGTACACGACAATGAGGAACACGCTCAACCTGATAACTCCGTTCGAGGCCGTCAGAGAGTTGAAGTCCCTGTACACGGTGGACATCATCCTGGGCGAGAGGTTCAACGTCACTTGCCTGGTCCTGCTCTACAACGGAACATACTGGCACGAGGTAAGGGCCCGGAGACAGCAGCGCGGACAACCGACTAAGACCGAAACCTCTTTACAAAGCAACGTACCAATTTAATAATGCACGAAGAGGACGCTAAATCTGAACAGAAAAGTCTCCTTTCAATTTATCAGTATTATTTTGTTCACAGACAATCACACTTTTTGTTTTGAAATATTTAATTGTTGATATACTTTTTTGTGACATCACACATCAGGGTGTTTTCTCAATCATAAATTGAAAGATAAAATAATACTTACGTTATACATATGTTTGGATAAGAGCAAGCTCTATGTTGATTGCCTATTCAACGTGACCTTCCCGCGACCTCGCACACGTGATATTATTATTATCTTTTATCGCTTAGATTGGGTGGACGAGCTCACAGCCCTTTGGTGTTAAGTGGTTACTGGAGCCCATAGATATCTAGAACGTAAATGCGCCACCCGCCTCGAGATATAAGCTCTAAGGTCTCAGTATAGTTACAACGGCCGCCCCGCCCTTCAAACCGAAACGCATTACTTCTTCACGGTAGAAATAGGCGGGGCGGTGGTACCTACCCGTGCGGACTCACAAGAGGTCCTACCACCAGTAATTACACAAATTATAATTTTGCGGTTTTTTTTTATTACACGATGTTATTCCTTCACCGTGGAGGTCAATCGTGAACATTTGTTAAGTACGTATTTCATTAGAAAAATCGGTACCCGCCTGCGGGATTCGAACACCGGCGCATCGCTCAACACGAATGCTCCGGACGTCTTATCCGTTAGGCCACGTCGACTACTAACTACTACTACTATTACCCGCGCGGACTCACAAGAGGTCCTGCCACCAGTAAACCTTTTCCTTCCGTTTTTCAGATATCATACAAGATATATTACGAGTTCGAGGAGGGCGAGGACGCGACGTACCGCTCGTACGTGGCGTCGGTCGGTATAGCGACGCCGCTAGCCGTGCTGCCGGCGCTCGAGAGCCGCGTGTCGGCCAGGCTCGAGGACGCGCTGTGGAAGATGTCCGCGGACATATCCATGCCCTCATTCACCATCAACGCGCTGGCGAACCTTGAGGTATCATCCGCAATCAGAACACATTGCATCCGTGCAGACCAATTTCTACCTTAACGCATTAGCATTAGAGTTTAAATTTGCCCCTCCTTCACCATCAACGCGCCGGCGAACCTTCAGGTACCATCCGCTGTCTAAACACATTGAATCCGTGCAAACCAATTTCCACTTTAAGGCATTAAAATTAGAGCTTAAATTTGCATATCGGAATTTATTAACTCTGAGCTCTGTGTAGAACTTAGATAATTCTAGCATTAATATTTATTTAAACTAGTGGTCGCTCAGTAGTGAAAATTCGACTATAATTAATTTAAATTATAAGTTTGAACATTATTGTCTGTTGTATCATAGACCTCTATAATAACAAATTTCGCCTATAGGTAAATAATATTAATTAAAGACAAACAATATTAATCTATTCTCAATTGGACCACAAAGTTTAACAATAAACAAAAGAGTATATATGCGTGTGTATATCAAACACATGGTAGTGTGTGTCATATTTTTTATAATTGATTTTATATATCACACATCATACATATAAAAAAATTAACATTCTGGACTCCTTCTCTAATATTCTCTTTAAGTGTGGGAAATTTCATACCGCTCCGTCTGTTTTGTAAAAAGTGATACAAAGTTTTTGCTTCACGTATTAATATATAGATAATACTGTGTCCGGTTATCCGTGTGCTCGGCCCGGTAACCGGTTTGACTATCACCGTATAGCTCTGTATACGCTTCCAGCTGGACGACCCCTTCGTGGAGACTTCGGGAAGTTTGAATTTAACATCCGTCTACTTAGAGGACTACTTCATCAAAATGGAATTCAAGAAGGATTTGTCTGACGTCGAGAACATGATCGCTGGTGGGATACAGATCCAGCAGGGCGATCAGAATAATTACGTGAGTCACGTTTTATATCCGTTAATTGTCTCAATAGGCAGGCTGGTGGTAGGACCTCTTGTGAGTCCGCACGGGTAGGTACCACCACCCTGCCTATTTCTGCCGTGAAGCAGTAATGCGTTTCGGTTTGAAGGGTGGGGCAGCCGTTGTAACTATACTGAGATCTTAGAACTTGTATATCGAGGTGGGTGGCACATTTGCGTGATGTCTATGGGCTCCAGTAACCACTTAAGATCTTCCTCTTTATCGTTTTCTTATTATTGAGAATTGCGACCCCACGTGTGCAAGTATTTCCATGAGTATCGGTCCGCTGCGAGGTATGCCGAGCTGATAAAGTCTATTAAAATAAAAGACCCATACTCGAAGCGCATTTCCCGACGATATGTGTAAGAGGGGAGTGAGCGAAGAAATGATACCCTCTCCTGGCTTAGCCTTTGCTCGCCCACCTGTCCTGGTGAAACTAGAAAGGCTTCCAAGCCACCAGTAATCCTTCCTTCATAAAAGGTCCTCTTCTTTCAACCGTGTGACGTCATTTAAACAACAACAAATGACCGATTTAGCATTAACAAAAATTAGCCACATAATATGACATCATGATATTCTAAGGCAATACCACCACAGAGTTAAGAGTATTGGGTGCATAAAAAAAAGAAATGGTATATGATAGAGGAGTATGGAAGGAGAAAACATGTTGCCCCGACCTAGGTGACTGGGAGAAGGACAGGAGAACGACGATTTTTTTATTTATTACTTATATGGGTAGACGAGCTCACAGTCCACCTGGTGTTACGTGGTTACTGGAGCCCATAGACATCTACAACGTAAATGCACCACCCACCTTGAGATATAAGTTCTAAGGTGTCAGTATAGTTACAACGGCTGCCCTACCCTTCAAACCGAAATGCATTACTGCTTCACAGCAGAAATAGGTGGGGTGGTGGTACCTACCCGTACGGACTCACGAGAGGTCCTACCACTTACCACCGCCCTGCCTATTTCCGCCGTGAAGCAGTAATGCGTTTCGGTTTGAAGGGTGGGGCAGCCGTTGTAACTATATTGAGACCTTAGAACTTATATCTCAAGGTGGGTGGCGCATTTCCGTTGTAGATGTCTATGGGCTCCAGTAACCACTTAACGCCAGGTGGGCTGTGAGCTCGTCTACCCATCTAAGCAATAAAAATAAAAAAAAATATTACCAGATGATGACTCAAAACGCATTTCCCCTCAGCTATTCGCAGACGCGATATGGGGTCCGCCCCCCCAACGTCACGTCCGCTTCAAGTCCCGTTTCGCGCTGCCCCCGGTGCTGGCGCCGTCCGAGCTGAGCTTCCTGTACGGCGAGGCGCAGACCGGCCGCTCGCTGACCGTGGACTTCAGCATCGAGAACGCCACGTACTCGCTGAAGGGAGACCAGCGCCCCACGTCCTTGAGCGTGGCTATGAGCACGCCCCACAGAGGCTTCAGGTATACACTACAACTTTTTATTTTTTTTATTGCCTAGTCTAGTTAGTCTAGTCTAGTCTATTCTAGTTAGTCTAGTCTATTCTAGTTAGTCTAGTCTAGTTAGTCTAGTCTAGTTAGTCTAGTCTAGTTAGTCTAGTCTAGTTAGTCTAGTCTAGTTAGTCTAGTCTAGTTAGTCTAGTCTAGTTAGTCTAGTCTAGTTAGTCTAGTCTAGTTAGTCTAGTCTAGTTAGTCTAGTCTAGTTAGTCTAGTCTAGTTAGTCTAGTCTAGTTAGTCTAGTTAGTCTAGTCTAGTTAGTCTAGTCTAGTATGATCTAGTCTAGTCTAGACTTTTTATTGCCCTTGTAAGCAGACGAGAATACGGCCCAGCTGATGGTGAGTGGTTACCGTCGCCCATGGACCTCAGCAATGCCAGGGACAGAGCCAAGCCGCTGCCTACAACTTAATACTCTCCACAAGCCTATTTTAAAGAAGGACATTGTCATAGCGCTTATCTTCTATTAACCTAACGTAATCTATCTTAAGAAGGAGGGAGTATAGAGATCAGTAATATAGGTCTTTGAACCTAGTACAGATTTCAGCTCTTTTAAATGCTTACAAAATAAATTATAATGTTAATCTCTATTTGTATTTGTACTATAACTTTGAGAAAGAAATTAATAAATTATTATTATAAAAAAAATATATTCTTGTGAACCGATGTTGATGATTCCATTTTTGTTTGAAAATTTAATCTGAATTCTTGGTGCTTTTAAAGTTAATCAAGATCTGACTTGTTATCTTTAATAATACATATTTATGTAATTAAAAAATATACTTTTAATATTCTCATTTGAAATTTAAGAAGTCTGTTTTTTTTTAATTCGGTGTATTATTGTTACGCCGGTAAGAGTAACTCGTTGCTTCGAGAAAGCTCGAGAAGTACAACGCCATCTATTGTCAGATAACGGAAACACACATTGAAGCTACTCGACTTGCCCAAAATGTACTCGATACATATAGGGATGTCGTTTCGACTATAAAAGCGTTGCAGAGATGGCACGAAGTCAGTAATCGAAACTACTCGAAGCGAAACAGCGAACGGATCACCTGAAGCGAAGCGAAAGAAGTGAATTCAGAATTTTAAAGTGTTCGATAAGCGTTCTAAGTGTTAATGCAGTTTTAATTTATACTTCGGGAGAGTTTTTATTTATCCCGAACCCCAGCGCGTTATATTATTACCAGTTAACATTATCTTATCTTTGAAAGAGCAATTCTCGTATATTTTACATATATATATCGACGCTTGAAAGGCAAACGTGACTAAGCGACAATAACTGCTTTGTACATAAATGATAGGCAATAACCATATTCGAAATATATATTTCTAGGTCTATTACAGTCATTTCAATCCTACAGATAGATTCGTTAAAATAATTTTTTTTTCAGGTATTTTTCATATATATTTTAAATTAATTTCAACTTTAAATTAGTCTATTGTAAAGTTCACGCATTGTCGCTTAGTCACGTTTGCCTTTTAAGCGTCGATATGTATATAATCTGAATCTCGGAAACGGCTCCAACGATTTTCATAAAATTTAGTATACAAGGGATTTCGGGGGCGATAAATCGATCTAGCTACGATTTATTTTCAGAAAATATTGCTTTATTCGTGTTTTCGATAATCAACTCTTCCCGACATCTATTGGCGAATAATAATACTATTTTTCTTAATTGAGGGCAACTAACCTAGGTCATCATCTAGTGTACCTTATGTTTGAAATGATAAAACGTAATATCGAATGACAATTTTTCAGGGCCATGAAAGTGATAGGAGAGTTCCAGGACGATGACGTAGTTGGCTCAATTGTGACCGATGCGAAGGAGTACAGTATCACCGGGAAGGTGCTGAGTCGAAATCCTTTAGATGTGAGTACGAATGAATAGCATCCCTGAGTTAAGGATCTCATCATGACAGACGAGGCATCGGTAAAATGCAACTGCTGTCAATAACATTGTTAACAAACTACCCACACTTTTTACTGGTGGTAGGACCTCTTGTGAGTTCGCACGGGTAGGCACCACCAGCCTGCCTATTTCTGCCGTGAAGCAGTAATGCGTTTCGGTTTGAAGGGTGGGGCAGCCGTTGTCACTATACTGAGACCTTAGAACTTATATCTCAAAGTGGGTGGCGCATTTACGTTGTAGATGTCTGTGGGCTCCAGTAACCACTTAACACCAGATGGGCTGTGAGCTCGTCCACCTATCTAAGCAATAAAAAAAACAGAATACTCTTAAAGAAAATAGATAAAGAATGTAGCGGAGAACACGTTAATATATTTCGTTTTAATTAAAAATACAAGTCTGACAAATACTAGTGTAGTATTTTGTTCAGTTACCGCGTGTCGGACGCACAGTTATAATTAAATTACCTAATTTAACTGTTTGATTTCGCTGTTTTTTTTCCTATTATATCCGACGTTTCAAAGTTTTTGTGGTCAGTCGTCTTTGTCTACCATGAAAGCTGTAAAATATAAACAAAACCATTAAAAAAAAACAATTTAAAAAAAACTTTGAGAAACGATACACTTGGATCTCGTACGTGTTGAATAGATAGAAGAGTTCAGTTTATAATCGCTTTTTCTTAACGAAACAAACTAACCTCTAACATCCAAGCAACAAAGCTCATTTTCCCGACTCACTCTTTGATTTTTAGCTATCTCTGTCACTCGTGCCGAAAGGACAAGGCGACACGATCAATGCCCGTATCAAATTGGAGTCCACAAACACGGCTCGGACTATAACGGCGCATATCAACGGTCCTGTAGTCTGCACGGTGTTCGCCAGAGCTGAAATAGTGGACGCTTACAGCGATATCAACTTTAAGGTTAGTACACTTAAGGTTCAAATTTAAATAAAACTTGTTACGTTTATGATTTGTTAGTTACTTCTCGTATGGTTTGCATGTGTACAATTTTATAATATTACTAAAAAGGAGAAAATGACGCAAGACATTAGACCGGTGCTTCCTAACGTGGTCCCAACGCCCCACAAGGGGGCAAATTGATAATATTAAGGGGTGAATCGCACTAAATTAATATAGAAAATCTGTATTAGAATAATTTTGCAACGAAAGGCTTGGCGAGTAAATAAACCCACAGACACAACCCACTGAGTTTCTCGTCGGATGTTCTCAATGGGTCTCTGCTCTTGCTAGGGTTAGTGTTAGCAACATCGTCAGGTTTGAGCCCCGTGAGCTCACCTACTTGTTAGGTTACGCTGACATAGCCTCTCAAGGCTATGAGCATAGTTCGGAAAAAAATTCCACGAAGGTAAGACCCCAATAGATCGTGGGACCCATCACCAATAATATTAGGATCGTATGGCGTTGGGCCTATTTCCAAGTGTAGGCTGATTGATGATGGTTGGAACACGCTCGTAGTTAACTTATAATTGTCACAGGTCAGCCTCCCAAAAAATAAGAACAAAGAGATATACTTCAAGTCCCGGGTGGATCACTACCCTGGATTGCGGAAGGTGGTAAGCGTGCAGGCGGCTACGCCCCTCGAGAAACTCAGTTTTCTGAAGGCAGACACGGATTTCGTGTAAGTATCATTCATTATTGTAGTTTTTACGTCGCCTTAAACATAATTAAAATAACTTTTACGATTTTAAATCATCACTTGTATATTGATACTAGCTAACCCGGCAGACTTCGTAGTGCCTCAATCGATAAATAAAATACCAAAATTTTTGGTATAAAATAAACTTAAAACAAACATAAGGAATTCGTCCGACGGGTGACACATCAAAGGAAAAACAAAATTGTAATTTTTATTTAATTCCGAGCATTTTCATATTTATCTACCTTTTAAAGCTTCTCTGGACTTCCACAAATAATTCAAGACCAAAATTAGCCAAATCGGTCCAGCCGTTCTCGAGTTTCAGTGAGACTAACGAACAGCAATTCATTTTTATATATATAGATAGATTATGATTTAGTGATATTGTTCACGGCATTCTAATGTCGATGAATAACAACACCCTACTAGTACATGTTACCACGAAAACTGTAAAGTATTCCAAACGTCGGTAATAATGTAAAGATAAATTAAAAAAACTCGAGGTAATATCGTAAAACTTGTTTTAATGGTTAAAAAAAATTGTGCTGATTGTGATTGACGCCAGAGCTAAACATCAATATTTAGTATAAGTATTAGTGTAATTTTCCGCGGGAATTAGATGTTTTTTCTAGTTAAAATGCCTGTGTCACCCTCCTGACCTAACAATGTTACCAGTCATCGTCCTCGTCAAACTCATCGATTCAAAGGGCGAACTAACCCATAGACACAGCCCACTGAGTTTCTCGCCGGATCTCCTCAGTGGATCGCAATTCCGATCCGGTGGTAGAATCTGTGAAGCACTGCTCTTGTTAGGGCTAGTCTTAACAATTATTTCAAGTTGAGCCCCGTGAGCTCACCTACCAGACACAGTGTAGGTGTAGACACTTAGCCTACCAAAAAATAGGTAGAGAAAAAATGACTGTAATTTATTTTATTTATTGGGTACCAACATGTTATAAATTAGCAAAAAACATTACAGGTATCATATACATTGATTTCACACTAATAGCTAACACAATTACTGGTACCGACTGCATGCATTGATAAACAAAAGCGGTTCGTTTTATAAAAAAGAACTATATATAACATTACATGAAAACCTTACATTATTACACATTTACTACCAAATACGCTATTACTTAATTGAAAAAGCTCATTGAACAAGTTTGTAGACTCCTCGTCTAAAACTGTCAACAGTGCCAGCAAAAACGTCCAGAGAATACTTGCTATGCAAATTGTTTAATTCCCCAATCAGTCCGCTGAGAGGCCCGTTCTTACCGAGTTTGGTGACTACACCAAACTAATCTGGGAACCCAGATACTAATCTGGGAACCCTGGACTTTGTTTCGACGTGAAAAAGCGACAAACAAACAAACAAATTAACTTTCACATTAATAATAATGGTATGGATATTTCTCTGCTAATTAAGACGTTTTCAACAGTTTTGGCCCTAAAACTGGATACTTGATTTGTAAGTTCGACTTCCCCGACATGAAGGGCGCGGGAGACTTGAAATGGAGCTTCCTACTAAACGATTTGTTTATCAAGGTACCGTAAAAGAACTTTTATATTTAACCAACAAACTTCTATAGTGAATTTGCTCTTTGACGAATATAGCTGCATTTTTGTTAAAGGCCTACCTTTGTGTGTGATGCGATTTTCTTAACTTTCTCGATAGCGTAAAAGTTAACTAAAATTTGTATGGAATTGGAACAGCGCTTCTAGCGGCAAACGTTCCAACGCCATACAAATTTGAGTAAACTAGCTAATATTTACTCAACTGAGTAAACTAAACTAATGGCACGTGATCGCCGCGGCCTTCAGACATGAGGTTTAAGTCTCAATGATGCTGTCGCAATGATAAAATTACGCTACAGTTGTAGTCTTCAAACTGAAAGGCACAGCTTCGCAGTAGAAATAATAATTCATAGAAATAATCATCAATAATTTCCTTGGGCCAGATAGAATTACAAACATTAGGCTTTTTATAACGATTTCCTCTAATGAATTTTGTCACTCGCGTATTCGACCTCTTGGACTATAATATTTTAAATTCGAATATTTATGGAAAGGCTAACCCTTAAAACGGCCGAGTGCAAATCTATCCAGTACGATTTTTTTATTGCTTAAATGGGTGGACGAGCCACGGCCCACCTGCTGTTAAGGGTTTATTGAATCCATAGACAACTACAAAGTAAATGCCGCCGTCCACCTCGAGACATGACTTGTACAGTTTTAACAGTAAAACGGCTGCTCTACCCTTCAAACCGAAACGTATTACTGCTTCACGGCAGAAATAGGCAGCGCGGTGATACCTACCCGTGCGGACTCACAAGACGTCCTACCACCAGTAAACGTTCGAAACCAATCCAGAAATAATATCTGTGTACATAACGTAGAGAATGTTACAAACATACGCGCTTCTCCCAGGGGTTAGGACATCAGAACGTACAGGACATACAGAAGAGCGTTGACCTGGATATCTACTACGGCAACCGGACCGGTGCCGATCAACTGCCCAGAACCGACGCTGGCTTCAGAATGGATCTGGATCACATATGGCAGTAAGTCTGATCTATACTGAGTCCTTAGAACTCATATCTCTAGGTGGGTGGCGGCATTTACGTTGTAGATGTCTATGGGTTCCGGTAACCACATAATACTAGATGGGCTGTGAGCTCGTACACCATCTCAGCAAATTAAATAAAACAAGCACCCAGTACTCTTAGCTCTGCGGTATTTATTGCCTTAGAATATCATGATGTCATATTTGTCTAATTGTTGTTAATCGGTCATTTGTTGTTCTCTAAATGACATCACACGGTTGAAAGAAGAGGGCCTTTTATGAAGGAAGGATTACTGGTGGCTTGGAGGCCGTTCCAGTTTCTCCAGGACAGGTGGGCGAGCAAAGGCTCAGCCAGGAGGGGTGGGACTTGGTAACAGCTGCCCGAGCGCCTCCGAAGGAGACCTAACAACTCAAGAGCAGCAGAAGAAATAGTGTCGCCCATATTATGATATATTTTTTTATTACTTAGATGGGTGGACGAGCTCACGGCCCACCTGGAGTTAAACGGTTACTGGAGCCCATAGACCTTTGTAATTTAAATGCCATCCTTGAGATGTCAGCTCTAAGATCTCAATATAGTACAACGGCTGCCGCACACTTCAAATCGAAACGCATTACTGCTTCACGGCAAAAATAGGCAGTGTGGGGGTACCTACCCGTTTGGACTCACAAGAGGTCCTACCACCAGTAAACTAAACAAGTAATTGTGTTCATGTAGCATCGTATGGTTTATGTCAAAAGTCGAACAAACGCTAAATAGTTGTTAGAGTAAAATTGACCTTATTTCCCTTTAATATAGGGCAGTATTATGTTCGACTTAGATATACTGTTAAAATTCGGGATCTACCGACTTAAGGATCGGTGCTTTTAGGTACCTCAAGCACCGGTCATCGTTCTTGTCGAACCCGTCCCTTGCGGCGAAGGGCTCGACGAGTAAATTACCCTTCAGACACAGTCCACTGAGTTTCTCGCCGGGTCTTCTCAGTGGGTCGCGTTTCCGATCCGGTGGTAGATTCTGCGAAGCACGGCTCTTGCTAGGGTTCGTGTTAGCAACATCATCAGGTTTGAGCCCCGTGAGCTCACCTACTAGTTAAGACGACGCTGATATAGCCTCTCAAGGCTATCAGCTTAGGTAGGAGAAAAAAAAAATTTAAGGATCGTCAGAGAAAAACGGACCTTACCTGGTATTCATTAGGATACAGATCGCTTTGACGGTTACGTTCTCAGGATCGGCGCTAACGCGTCCGTCGGCTTCGTGATGAACAAACGCATCAGCGTGGTGCTGAACGTCATACTTCCGAAGCCGAACGTGGATGTGCACACGCTGTGCGTCGACGGCGACCTGGGCGGCGACCAGAGCCCGATCAAGACTATAGACGCCAAGTACAAGACTGACGTCACCAAGATCCTGACCGCCATAAAAGGAAACGTGAGTTGCCAGCTCTACCGCTGTCTTAACAGTATTGAACGAATGCTTCTCTTTCTACCTATTCTAGTGACCTCGAAGTGAATCTAGCATGACGCTAGATTCACCGGGCGAGTAGATGAGCTCACGGGGCTCTAACTTGAGGACGTTTCTAACATTCGCCCTAGAAAAGCTTCTATATGAGTTCTATGGTCTCAGTGTATAGTTACAAAGGCTGCCCCACTCTTCAAACCAAAACGCATTACTGCTTCACGACAGAAATAGGCAGGGCAGTGGTACCTACCCGTACGGACTCACAAGAGGTCTTACGACCATTAAATATTCTGGCGAGAAACTCTGTCTGTGGGTCTCTGTCTCTGTCTGTGAGTTAATTGACTCGCTGAGCCATTCGTCGCAAGCGACGGGTTCGGCGGGGACGGTGACCGGTGCTTGAAATACCTAAAAGCACCGTTAGTGGATAGAGAAGATCCGAAATGTTGTATGAACGAATGCAGCTTTTTATATTGCTTATATACATAGGCGGACAAGCACGGTCTTCCTGGTGTTGAATGGTTATAGGAGCCTGTGGACATCAGCAAAGCAAATACAGTCACCCATTTTGAGATACGAGTTCTAAGTCTCAGTGAAGCCAACTCAACAGAAAGCTGAAGTTTATTTTAGAATGGACACTACATTCTTTGATTGTTAAGACTAGCTTACTTCTTCTTCTTTGTCGTTTCCTCATTACTGAGGGTCGTGACCACCTTGGTACAGTTTTTGCACCAGCTTCCACCAATGTTGCCTGCGTTCGGCCTGCTTAATGGCGTACTAAGATCGGCATTTGGTTGTGGTATAGCTGTTTTGTGGGTTTGAACGAGTAAACCTCTTCTAGTTTGAAGGTCGGCAGAAGGACTTCCATCCCACGTCTCCAGATGGATAGTGGTGGGACCTTTATGTGCTGCGATAATTGAGTCTTAAGACCAGCATACTAAGACCGTCAACCGGCATTTAGTTGTTGTATGCGTGTTTTGGGGCCAAATGAGTACAACTCTTCTAGTTTGAAGGTTGACAGAGGGACTTCCATCCCACGTCTCCAGATGAATAGTGATGTGATCTTTATGGGCCGCGATAACGACCCAGCACTGTATCGTTAGCTCGTACAACGATCAAAAGCATTATTTCTATCAACACGCAATGTATGTTAAATTCAAATAAACGAAAGTGAGGGTATTTTTATAAAACACGATTCCAGCTGATACAACTACCGGAAAGCTTCGAATCGAATTCGACTGTGACTTGGACGTCGGGCGCCGAGTACAAGAACATAGAGAACTACATAGACCACAAGTGGGACATTAACGGTTCCCACTTCATAGACTACACTCTAGTGACGCCGCTCTACGAGAACGACTCTACGTTCAAGGTCAAGGGATCCTACCAGAGGGATTTGGTGCACAAATTGGAGATTGTCAAGTGAGTTTTACGAAAGTTTTCTTACTGCGCGTAGCTGAATGGTCTCTGAACTTTATACGCAATACAAATTATATGCTAACATTCGTATTGTCGGAAAGAGATAGAGCTAGATAGAAAATACGCTGACAATAATACATTTTAGTCTCGTTTTACGTAAGAACACATTTTATATTGGAACATTTGAAATCGATAAGCGAAAATGTTGATTTAAAATGATTTGTGAAGTGAAACTTCTGTTGGCGCGTTCAGGGTTAAATTTAACTTGCGACAGATTCGTTACGGTTAGGGAGAAAAGATACAATTTAGTAAGAGTGAGAGTGAGAAAATAGACAGAGCGTCTCGCGAACCACTCGACCCTGCAGAGAGCTTGGCTACCTTAGCTACCTGGAGTCGTTCACTATGCGTTTCCAGAGGTCTTTTTTGCCACACACCATCCGACTATGGAATGAGCTCCCTTCCACGGTGTTTCCCGAGCGCAATGACAATATCTTCTTCAAACGAGGCTTGTGGAGAGTATTAAGCGGTAGGCAGCGGCTTGGTCTGCCCCTGGCATTGCTGAAGTCCATGGGCGACGGTAACCACTCACCATTAGGTGGGCCATCTGACTACAAGGGCAATAAAAAGAAAAAAAAGCTTCTCTTATACACAGCATTCCCTGTTACAAGAGAAATTTAATTTAAGGATGGAAAATGAAGAAGACTTCAATACTACCTCAAAAGAAGTTTCACTTCTTTCACGTGCGCGCACCGTTTTTTTATTTTTATTTTCAGAGGCCACATGCACAAGCCTGGTGCATCCCAGATCGGCGAGATGGACGTGCGTTACGGCGGCGTGAAACACACAGACGGATACTTCAACTTCACGACGCCCTTCCAGAAACTGAAATGGCTCAAATCTATATTTGACGTAAGGCTTTTTTTAAGTCGTCGTGGCCTAACGAAGTCGTCGTGGCCTAACTGATAAGACGTCCGGTGCATTCGTGTTGAGCGATGCACCGGTGTTCGAATCTCAGGCGGGTAGGTACCACCGCCCTGCCTATTTCTGCCGTGAAGCAGTAATGCGTTTCGGTTTGAAGGGTGGGGCAGCCGTTGTAACTATACTTAAGACCTTAGAAGCACACGGTCTTTGTCGAAGGATAGAACGACATTGGCTCCCCCACGCTGAGACTACAGTAGCGTTCCATTAATACCCTTTTATTATTGCTAAAATGGGTACACGAACTTACGACCTTGAGATGTGGGTTCTAAGTCTCCGTTCTTACTTTACATCCTCCAAACGCATTACTGTTTCACGGCAGAAACTGCTCGTGTTTTCGTACCTACCATATTGGCTCACAACACGCCCCAATTTTCTAACCTCGCAACATCAATTGCAACAATTTCGTTGACAGATCAACAATATAGAGGAGCATTCCGACAACAAAGTGAACTTGTATTGGCCGAACAAGACAGCGTCCGTGAACACGACCCACCAGTACTCGAAGGACGCGGGCGGGTTCAAGCAGACCGGACAAATAGCTCTGTCCGTTCCGCTCAGCACCCAGCACTTGGTCAACACCGAGTATTATTACCTGCAAGGTGCGTACGGACGCCAAACGCCTCAAAGTCAATGATAAATGTGTGCATTTCGTGTCTTCTTATAGATTACAGATCTTATACTATTGCATTGTATTGTTTACAGCTCTCGTACCCTAAATCATAAGACTAATTTTTTTACGAAAATTAGTTCTTTTTTGTTCTTTTCTTACATAACTGTGCGTTTTCAAGTCTCTACTTTTAAAGCAGTGTCTTATCATTTTCTTGGCTTAGTACACCAATAGAATGTTAGATGATAGTTACATTTGATAGTATTACATTAATTGTGTGTTCAGGTTCGACATATAAGTCTGTACGATGACGCGGGGTTAATCTGTACTTAATAAAAAATTTCAAACCGCATTGACTTTTGACGGAAACGCGAGGAATGAAGTTGTGTGATTTGTTTTATTTTGTCTATTTAGTGTTTCTTGTGTTATTTGTAATAACGGTGGTTTATTAACTGTTTAATATCTGTGAAAGTGCACAAATTAGGGAAAATGAAACAAAGCCGCTGGACGTAACTTGCCGGGATCCTCCAAAAAGTCCACTGAAAAAATCTCAATAAATGACCATCATTTTACTAAAATTATATTTCATCCCATATCATCTCATTTCATTTAATTTCGTCCCAGTTGATTAATGTCTCAAATTAATCATCTTCGTTTCATTTTATTTCACTTCATATTATAATTTTTCAGAAAAATAAGAATATAGATTAAGATTAAGATAAGACATGACTTAAAGGTCTTAGTTACCAGGTCATAAAATCCCTTAAAAAAATCAAATCGCATTATGGCCAGGTTCTTAGTACATTAATGATTAATTACAGGAGACAAGTCTAGTAACGGTAACGCGACCGTCGATCTGGACGGGGATCGGTTCGTGAAGGGCTCCTTCAAACAAATCCTCAGTAAAAGCGAAAGGAATTTGGACCTTGCCACGACGGACATAGAGGTCGAAAACGTACACACGCCGGTCGGCGTTAAGTACATACACGAATACGACGAAACCGGGAAAGTTGTAAGCTATTTATAATTATGACAAGGCTGTTACACTCGTGCTTCTTGGTATTGTATTTAATTTAAAGGCAAAAAAATAAATAAATATATATGTCTCAAACGAATCCTAGAGTATTTGGGACGCCTGCAAAGAAAGACCGAACGAACAACCTTGAAGAAATTGACTGGTAGGTTCACAGGCTCACAGCCCACCTGGTGTTAAGTGGTTACTGGAGCCCATAGACATCTACGACGTAAATGCGCCACCCACCTTGAGATATAAGTTCTGAGGGCTCAGTATAGTTACAACGGCTGCCCCGCTCTTCAAACCGAAACGCATTACTGTTTCACGGCAGAAATAGGCAGGGTGGTGGTACCTACCCGCGTGGACTCACAAGAGGTCCTATCACCTGAGCTACTGATGTATTCCAGTAACCCCTTAACATCAGGTGGACCGTAAACTCGTCCACCTATCTAAGCAATAAAAAATAAATAAAATAAAAAAGCACAGCCGAATCTCTCCCCTAAACTTAACTGCCGAAGTTACCATAACGCAACTTAACCCGCAGGACGTAAAGCAAGCGACCGTGTTCCACCTGCACAACGCGACCAAGTTCAACGTGACTGGGAAGCTGGACGTGCTCACGTACGACACTGGCAAGGACCTGAGGCTCACCGCCGTCCACGGCGCCCGCACCTGGACCTTCGACAACCACTACGAGGCCTTCGACAAGGAGCTCAAGCAGGGCAGCAAGATCAAATGGATCGAAGACTACTGGATCAACTATGACATCCACGTCACTAATATGACGACGGTACGTGACGTTTTCATTTATCCGTATAATAATACGTGAAGGAAAAACTTTGTATCACTTTTTACGAAAATTGCGCGGATGGAGGAGTATGAAATTTTCCACGCTTATAGAGAATATAGAGAAGGAGTTCAGCATGTTAATATTTTTTTTAAATTATGGTTAAAAAATACATTAAATCAATAAAAAAACATTACACACACTACCATTCATTTGACGCACACACGCATGCATACTATTTATTTATTGTCAAATCTTTGTTCCTGACGTCTGTGATCAAATTGAGAATAGATTAAATATTATTTGACTTTATGAATATTTCTCTATGAATGCAATTAATTATAGTCGAATTTCGACTACTGGGGGACCACTAGTCCGTATAATAATGCCTATAGAATTTTCAGCTGTCAACGGTACTTCACGTGTAAAATTTTATAGTACTTTAAATTCCAATAGATGGCGCTAGTGGTTTTGACAAATCGATTTTATTCACATTTAGCGATAGATTAATAAGTAGTTAAGGTTAGAGGTAATGGAACGAAGCTTTGCACTAAATATAACCATATCTACTTCGGAGAAAGTTTGTCACGGGACATGACATAGAAGTAAATAATATTAGAGTCGTCCTAGCCTAAAAGATAAGACGCCCGGTGTAATCGTATCGAACGATGCGGCGATACCGGCGTTCGAATCCTGCACAGAGGCAGCGGCTTGGCTCTGCCCCTGGCATTGCTGAAGTTCATGGGCAACGGTAACCGGTCACCATCAGGTGGGCCGTAAGCTCGTCTGCCTACAAGCTGTAAAAATTAAAACTGCAAAAAATATATTTGTGTAAAGACTGGTGGTAGAGCATCTTAGACCCCACAAGGGTGGATACCACCAGCCTTCTTAATTATCAATAGCATAACTCCTTCACCGTGGAAGTCATTTGTAAACATTCGTTAAGTACGTATTTCATTAGAAAAATCGGTATCTGTCTGCGGGATTCGAACTCCGGCGCAGTTGCGTTGTTCCACACGAATGCACCAGACGTCTTATCCTTTAGTAGACTAGTCAACAAGTGCCATTTGGACCAACTTGTTTCAATTGCCAATTGCCAATATCTCAAAAGTAATAAAGATTTTTCAAATTTGAAAAAAGATTCAAAAAGAGGAGGAAATTTCCTAAAAAAGTCTCTATTCCCGAAACTGTTAGATCAATATTTACAATTTTCCCAGAGGGATGAAAATACGGCCGAAAACGGGTCTGGCTTGGACAAACCACGCCCACTTTGGGCACTTTAATAATAAAAATTTTTAAACATACATAATATAAAAGCGCAAGTGAATTTCAACAAAGCGCAGCAATTCGTAGTGAAATTTATTTGCTCCAACAACAACCATTAATATTATTACCTCATCGAAACACTAAAGAGAAAAGGCCAATATAAAAAAAACATGTGTGCAATTCACACGTGGTAGAAGTGAAACCTTAAAAAAAAATTGGCTTCAAGATAATGAGACGAATGAATTATGTAAAATTACGGGAAGAGGCTAATTATAAGTTTTAGTAATGATCATAGTGATACAAAGTTTGTTAATTATTTTACATTTTATGCGTATATATTACATAGATTTATTCAGAATGTATTAAGTACGAATATTAGGTACGAAGCAGAGCACAAAGAGAGCCACAAATATAAGAAACACTTTACAATGCTTCCTATCTCATTTTCTCCCACGTTAAATCTTATGTGTCTGACTCTTTTTACTGTCGCTTTTTCGTTTCATCATCATGAGGCTTAATCACTGGTGGTAGGACCTCTTGTGAGTCCGCACGGGTAGGTACCACCGCCCTACCTATTTCTGCCGTGAAGCAGTAATGCGTTTCGGTTCGAAGGGTGGGGTAGCCGTTGTAACTATACTGAGACCTTAGACTTATATCTCGAGGTGGGTGGCGCATTTACGTTGTAGATGCCTATGGGCTCCAGTAACCACTTAACACCAGGTGGGCTGTGAGCTCGTTCATCCATCTAAACAATAAAAAATATATATATTTCAATTACAAATTTTGTTGATTTTAATGATTAACATTGATTTTTTAGGCGGACACCGAATCGCAGCAACTCGTGATGAATGTTTACTATCCATTGCGGACCTTCAACCTGGTGGCGGTATACAACTTGCAAGACACCCTGCTCGATGGTAAAGCACAACTGAACTGGGACGTGAAAGCTGAGAACAAAACGGCTGAATTGAGAGGCAGGTGGGAGAACCCCCCCATAAAAGAGGGGAACATGCATAACATCGATTTGATACTATCGCATCCTTCGTTCAGGAAGGTAAGCTCTTCTCTTTCATTTATTTATTATTTATTGGAAAACCAACAGTACAAAACAAACATATAATATATTTAAAAAAATTGCGGTATTTAAAAAAACGGTGCGCGTGAAACTTGGTACACGTGAATGAAGTGAAACTTCTTTTTAGATGTGTAGTATTGTGTTTTTCTTCTTTTTTCATCCTTAAATCAGATTGCTCTTGTAGTAGAGATGCGACATCTTCAACATTCATATTGTATATATTTTAAATTATAGATAAAAAAATAAATAAACATATTTTTTTAAATACTTCATTTAGATATTGGAGCTACTCATTGCTACCGCTCGCGCTGGCCTGTAGCAGGTACACTACGCGCGTGCGTTCGAGTGCCGCGCATTCACTCTCGCTCTGTCTCTTTCTAATATGGTAGCATTAAATGTTTAACGCAACCTTGTTGGAAGTCGAATTAGAAGTTTCACTTCAAAAAAACAAAAAAGTTTCCACCATCAAAATCACATATAAGTAGAAAGTGAAAAAAAAAATTGAAATTTATCAATTTAATTTTACAAAAACAAAAAAAAGGATGGTATTTTATATTCTAACAGTACCTACCATATATTCCAACCGCGAAACAGACCTACGCTGTTTCATAATGTATACTGCCTCTAATCAATATTATCACACCGATTACAAACAAACAGTGGCATGAGCTTTTTTCTTCCACAGGACGTGAACTTGAAAGCTCAGTACTCGAGCACGCCGGCAGTGATGTCGAACGTGTCGCTAGAGCTGCAATACTCGGACATAGAGAGCGAATATCTAAAATTAAAATCGATTCTAACCGATAACTCGAATGGTCCGATACGCGATTACTCATTCGCGCTGACCTGCACGCACCCCTCCACGTACCTAGACCTGGACATGAAGTCCGACGTGAACATACACAGCAAGTGGTATTACTTCTACAACTACTACAGGTTCCAGAAGTCGCTGTATTACGAGAAGATAAGGCAGAGCAAGCTCGTGGTGGACACCACGAAGAGCTTCGTCAATTGGGAGGTTCGTAAAGTATTTCTGGAGATTGGAGGCGCTCGGCCGCAGCTCAGGTGTTGCTGATGTCTATGAGCATCAATGAGGTGCTATCTGAGTCGTATGCCCGGTAACGCATTGAAAAGGGACGGGCAGCCCTTATTCGAGTCTCAAATCATAAACAAATATTCAAATCATAGCGATAAATTATAATTAATTCAACTAGCTCTATTTGTCTACATAAAGGTAGGTACACATAACACATATATCGTATATAGAATATTAGGATATTATTAGGAAATTATGTCTTGTTATTGAGAAAACTATTTTAGTTTGATTGATTCCAAATTGAACAATGAATAACAATCCAACTAAAGTATCTGATTTAATTCTCATTTAGAATGCGAAGTTGATATAATGTGAAACGAAGGTGCTGAAAAATAATAGATTTTATATTAATCCTTTATTTTTGTTATAATCTGTTCATGACGATGGTGGAGAAGAGACCACGCATGACAGTATTTTGATAGTTTTATTTAGTTACTTGTAAAATACATTATAATAACAAATGTTGACGCGTGTCACGCTGCTGGTCGACCAACACGAATCCTAGGCACGTATCCTCCTCCCGCTGCCTTCCCCCGTCCCCTCTCTCGCCCTGAACGTCGTGAACAAATCGATTTTAATAATAAAGTAAACTGTATTTTAGTCGTGAGACTAATAGGTAGTAATTTTGATAAAATGTGTAATAATACTAAAATTAGTAGAAAAAGTTAGTTAGAAAAATCGATTTTTTTTTGTTAATCAACTTTTTACAAATCTATTTTAAACATCGAAAAATCGATTGTTTAATAATCGATTTTTTCCCCTCCAAGTCACAACCCTAACAACAAACGATATTGAACTTTATTGCAGCGCACCAACGAGACGTACTTCTACAGAGTGAACGGCACTTGGGACCTCACGTATCCGGACTACACGATAAAGTCATTCATACATCGCACCACCGGCAACGACACCGGTCTGGCCGTGCTCTCAATGAAAGACAAGTCCTTGGTCGCCCATCTGAATAGTACTGACGGTAAGATTACAGGCCTATGTTTTTTTATTGCTTAGATGTGTGGACGAGCTCACAGCCCACCTGGTGTTAAGTGGTTACCGGAGCCCATAGACATCTACAACGTAAAATTTAACAACAACGGCTGCCCCACCCTTTAAACCGAAACGCATTACTGCTTCACCGCAGAAACAGGCGGGGCGGTGGTACCAACCCGTGCAGACTCAGAATAGGTCCTAACATCAGTAATTACGCAAATTATAAGTTTACGGTTTTTATTTTTACTACACGATGTTATTCCTTCATCGTGGAAGTCAATCGTGAACATTTGTTAAGTACGTATTTCATTAGAAAAATTGGTACCCGCCTGCGGGATTCGAACACCGTTGCATCGCTTCAATACGAATGCACCGGACGTCTTATCCTTTAGGCCACGACGACTTCAATGATAAATGAACGTCATTTAAAAATATATTTTCCAGACATATCGTACCATCTAGTTGGTAACATTGTAAACACGAGATCAGCGAAATTAGACGCGTGGCGCGACTTCGATGACGTCACAACCGTAGACCTGGCTTCGTATATCCGCCTCAACCACTCCCGCCTGCTGACCAGCTCGCTGGTGTGGCGGCCGCAGATCTTCAGCGAAGTTAAAGCTCAAGCGGTCTCCACGCTGAAGCTTTTATACGGCCAAATAAACGACAGTCTGGTCATATTGAAAGAAGCGCCCATGGAAGCTCACTTGGCGCTCAAAGCGATATGGGCAGACGCCAGACCTAGGATCGGTGATTTCTTGCACGATTTAGACGACCTGCAAGTGATCAAAGACGATTTAGACGACTTTGAAACATTCTTAAACGAATCATATAGTAAAAATGATTTTTACGTGAAAGACATAGTCGAGTTTACTTACTACGTGCTAGACGAGATGGCCATAAGGAATCACTTGGAGAGTCTGCCCGGCATAGTTAACGACATGTGGGGGATGATGGGCAACACCAGTCAGTCCATCAAGCAGAGTCTGACATACGTGGTCGACACTATAAAACACGCCTACGCGAATTTCTTGGAGTCCGTGAACAAGGCTTTGGAGGCAGATTTTATGGAACTGGTGTCGGAGCGACTCGAAGCCATGATATTACAGTACGATAACTTCATCAGGGACCTCCACATGAAATTGTTGGAGTATTGGGAGGAGACTTGGGTGAACGCGACCAATCGTTTGACCAAATATTGGCACGAGCTACTCAAGTCTATTGAGCCGCTGTTCTTCAAGATCCTGCATTACAGCGAGTCGTTCGTTTTCACGGTGTGGAAGAGTTTGATGGACTTCTTTTACAATCGCACCCAGGAATTGACGGATTCGCCGTATTTCAACTATGTTTCAACGTTTGGTCATGAAATGGACAAGTAAGTTATTATAATTTTTTTAAAGAGATTTTATGAACTGGTAACTAGGACCTTTAAGTCGTGTCTTATTTTAATTTATATTCTTTTTTTTTTAAATGAAAAATGAAAATATGGAGTGAAATGAAATGAAGATGATTAATTTGAAATATTAATCAACTGGGATGTAATTAAATGAGATGAGATGATATGGGATGAAATATAATCTCAGTAAAATTGTGGTCGTTTAGTGAGATTTTTTCAATGGACTTTTTGGAGGATCCCGAGAAGTTACGCGCTAGTTAAGTAGTTAGGTAATTAGTAGCTAGTTAATTAGTTAAGTAAACGTGCTCTGCTGAAAGTCTGATCAAATAGTTAGTTGCACTGTTGGCAATCCATCAATATGCATTAACAATGTCATGGACGACCCCTTCTTATAAGACTTCTACTTCTGCAAGCTTGACTTCCAAATAGAATATTATGCTGTTTCACAAAACTCCACCTGGACGAACAAGTGGATCACCTCATGTTAACTGGTTATCACCTTGAATCCGTTGTCTCAATTGTATAACAACTCTATAACCCTTCCAACAAGAACGGAAGGCTGCATAGTGGCATAACAGACAGTGTCGTGGCACTTACCCGATCGGACTAACAATGCGTTCCAATAACAGTAAGATGCATTAATATCATCTTTCAGAATCTACAAGGACCTGGTGAATAACGACTTGATAACTAACATAAAGAAGTACAGCAAGAAACTGTGGGATGCTGTCTGGACCAAGATAGAGAAATACATCCCGTTCAAAGACGAGATAGTGCAGCTTTACAACGAATTCAAGGACAGCTGGCAGGACTTCCTCAAGACTCCGCAGGTCGTCTACGTCAGGGAGAAGGTGGGCCCGATCAATATCGAACTTTTAAAAGCTCAGCTGTTGTGAAGCGACTTTGTGACCAAACTCGACGTACATTTCGCCTTTTGTTCTGGTTTTGTTAATTAATACATAAATAAAATAAAAAATAAAAATAATAATATTTCACACAAGTGACCTATAAAAACAAAATTAAATCTTTGTGATCTATGTGATTAGTGAACTAACCAAATATGTTTGCTGACTAATATCAGGTATTGTTTCCACTTGCAAGAACCCTTCCTCGTGTAAAAGCCTCCTCTAAGGATTCTCTATATTAGGCAATTTTAACCCAATTGATAGTTACTGCTTTCTTTCTTGCTTGCTTGCTTGTGTTAGCGCGCAATGAATGCGTACAAAATTTAGGGTTCGTAAACTAGTTGGCTGATTTTTGATTATGTACCATTGCATTATGTTAAGTACTATGAGCATTCAGAACTTATTGCATAGACCTATGAACTAGCTCACGGCCTACCAATCGGTTAGCGGGGCCTTTAGACATCACCACGTTAAATCCACCATCTATCTTGAAACGTTAAGTCTAAATCTCAGTTGTATACTAATAACCACTGCCTCACCCTTCCAACTTACCCCACCTTCGTGCCAGTAACGGCCTACCCGGGCATTCTCACAAAACACCGCTTTAACTTTTATCAAACGATGCTAATCTTTCAACGTCCTACTGGTGGTAGGACCTCTTGAGAGTCCGCGCGAGTAGGTACCACCACCTGCATATTTCTGCCGTGAAGCAGTAATGCGTTTCGGTTTGAAGGCAGCCGTTGTAACTATACCTGAGACCTTAGAACTTATATCTCAATGTGGGTGGCGCATTTACGTTGTACATGTCTATGGGCTCCAGTAACCATTTAACACCAGGTGGGCTGTGAGCTCGTCCAACCATCTAAGCAATAAAAAAAAGCAATTAAAAAAAACAACGTGGAAATCAATCGTGAATAAGTAATCAGTACTAGTTTCTTTAGAGATTTCGGTACCTGCCTTCTGGATTCGAGCACCGACCCATTCGCGTCACTGGTCGACTTATACAAGTTGTGGGATTTGTTTTCTTCGGTCTATTTAGTGTTTCTTCAGGTTTAAATGTGTAATAACGGTGATTTTTTAAATGTAGTATCCGTGAAAGTGCACAAATATGGGAAAATGAAACAAAACCGTTAAACGTAACTTCTCGGGATCCTCCAAATTCATTTCATTTCATGTCATATTTCATATCATTTTTTATATTATGAAAAGTTTTCATTTAAATTAAAATAAGATTTGACCTAAAGGTCTTAGTTACCAGGTCATATAACGCCTTTAAAAATATATATATTTGTACATATTCTTGTACAGTACCAAGAAGCCTACGTCCGTCTGAAGTGGTGGTACGACTACTTCCTGATCGGCGAAGCCTTGAACACGATCGGCGAAATCATCTACGTGAAGCTCACGGACTTGGCGAAGACTGCACTGCAGTACGAAGAACTGTGAGTACATCAGTATATACAATTAAAAACAGCTGCTATGTCGTCACTAATAAAGTCTAGTACGTGGTGTTCATATGTCTTATAGACAGACAGACAATGTGATAAAAGAAATTGAACCACGCTCCCCCATTATGCTTTAGTTTCATTAGGTCCATATCAGCCTTGACTGTCTAACTGGTTTGGGACTAGACAAAGGCAGGGTGATATGGTACAACATCTTGAAGATGGAAATGGTCACGACCCTCACACATGAGAAGCATGATTAGGGAAGATGGACGTTTGGGGCGACGTCGACTGTTTACCATTCTGTCCGCAGGATCGGGAATGTAGTTACCGGCGGCCACGAGGAGAGGGTTCTCGTGTCGTGCCGCTTTATCGAAGTGGCGAATCGACGCCGACTATAGATACTTACTGATGGACTCTAAGTCCAGGTCGTCATGGAGGTCGACGTTCCTCAATTGTTACCGTCGATCATATGTTCAAGCAAACAATATTCGTTACAGGCACCGTACGCCCAAAACAAACTTCATATTCGATCCCCGAGTGGGGGAGATCGTCCTCGAGCAGAAGCTGCCGATGTCCTGGCACGCCTTCAACAGCTCGCCGGACTTCACCGAGATATCCGAGTACAAGACCGTCCGCGACTTCTTCGACGAGTGGCTCACCACCAACAAGAGCATCTGGTCCTACTACTACGAGATAAGGCCGTACATGGACCTCAACAACTTGATGCCGCCTTTCCCTGGTCAGTGTGGAGTTTTTTTTTTTTTTGTTTATTGCCTTTGTAGGCAAACGAGCATACGGCCCACCTGATGGTGAGTGGCTACCGTCGCCCATGGACTTCAGCAATGCCAGGGCCAAAACCAAGCCGCTGCCTACCGCTCAATACTCTCCACAAGCCTCGTTTGAAGAAGGACATGTCATAGCGCTCTGGAAACGCCGTGGAGGGGAGCTCATTCCATAGCCGGATGGTGCGTGGCAAGGAAGACTTCTGAAAACGCACTGTCGATGAACGCAGCGGTTCCAGATGATAGGGATGAACTCTGCTCCGATGGTGGGAGGTGCGATGATAAAAAGGAGATGAGGGGATCGGTGCTCTGAGGAATTGTTTGAGATTATACCATCGTCTCGTTTTTACCATCGCACCGCCCGACACTGGAGTAGAGTTCATTCATACTATCTGGAGCCACTGCGATCATCCACAGTGCATTTCCAGAGATCTTTTTTGCCACGCACCATCCGGTTTTGGAATGAGCTCCCCTCCACTGTGTTTCTTTTTTTTGTTATTGCTTAGATGGGTGGACGAGCTCACAGCCCACCTGGTGTTAAGTGGTTACTGGAGCCCATAGATCTACAACGTAAATGCGCCACCCACCTTGAGATATAAGTCCTAAGGTCTCAGTATAGTTACAACGGCTGCCCCACCCTTCAAACCGAAACGCATTACTGCTTCACGGCAGAAATAGGCAGGGTGGTGGTACCTACCCGCGCGGACTTACAAGAGGTCCTGCCACCAGTAATTACGCAAATTATAATTTTGCGGGTTTGATTTTTGTTACACGATGCTATTCTTTCACCGTGGAAGTTAGTCGTGAACATTTGTTAAGTACGTATTTCATTACAAAAATTGGTACCCGCCTGCAGGATTCGAACACCGGAGCATCGCTACATACGAATACACCGGATCTCTTATCCTTTAGGCCACGACGACTTCATATGTTATGTTAGAACATTTTGAACGCAGGTATAGCAATGATGACGGAACAAGGCGCCCTGGTCACTTACGACAAGCAAGTGTTCACGGTGTCCGAGCGCGGCGTGTTCCTGCTCACGAAGGACTACAGGCGCGACAACTTCACCGTGCTCATGGCTTCCAACGACAGAGGCACATACGACCTCGTGCTCGTGACCAGAACGAAACTGGTCTACATTGATCTTTCTAAAGAGGTAATTTTTTTTCTCTTACCTACGCCGAAAGTTCGATTTTCCTCCCACTGTACAGGGAAGAAAGTGTAACTTTTCCTCCCGCTGTAGTAGTAGTTTAGTTAATTAGTAGTAGTTTATTTAAAAATTAAAAAACAGTTAAATTGTTTTTTTATGAGTATGGGGGGCTCCGCCCCCCCCTACCCCCGGCCAAGGCTTCGCCCCTGGACCCCCGCTCGGTGCTCCACGAACTTTCGGCCTGGTAGGAGAAAAAATAGTATGTGCACCGCGGAAAAAAAACAGTATGTTCGATTGATTTATTAAAGACTCACGTCTCAATGTCACTTTCACGTGGTGTTGTCCACGAGCTCAGGTAACGGAGCAACAAAATCAAAACATATTTTTTCCTTCCACTTTCATTACAGAATTATTCGAAATACCCTCTGTTTTGTTAAAAACGTATTTTCTCTTCTTTTTTTTTAGAGTTTTTATGACATGGTAACAAAGACCTTTAGGTCAAGTCTTATTTTAATGTTAATGAAAACTTTTTTTATATGAAAAATGATGTTATCAATTGAAATGAAGTTGATTATTATCAAACATAAAATTAAATGATATGAGATGGGATGAAATATAATCTCAGTAAAATGGTGGTCATTTACCGAGTCTTTTTCAGTGGACTTTTTGGAGGATCTCGAGAAGTCACGTCCAGCGGCTTTGATTGATTTTCCCACATTTGTGCACTTTGACAGATACTAAAGAGTTAATAAACCGCCGATATTACACATTCAAACCTGAAGAAACACTAAATAGACGAAATAAAACAAATCCACAACTTCACTCCTCGCGCGTTCCCGCCAAAAAGTCTTCGTATTTTCCACTGTCTACAATCAGCACTGTACTTTGTTTCCCCTGCAGCAAGTGTCTGTGAGCGACACGGTGCTGAGCCTGCCGGCCTCGGTCGAGGGTCTGGTGATAGACCGGCAGATGGAGACCCTGAGCGTGCGCGGAGACAGCGGTCTCGACGTGCAGTGCAACCTGCGCTTCAAGTCCTGCAAGCTGGGAGTCGAAGGTGGGTTATGTGAGGGCACCAGTCAGCTGGCTACAAATGAGTATTCAAATGTACAAATGAGTATTCAAATGTATAAATGAGTGTTCTAATGTACAAATTTATTTTCAAATGTACAAATACGTGTCGTAATATACAAATGAATTTTCAAATGTACAAATTAGTGTTCTAATGTACAAATGAGTATTCTAATGTACAAATGAGTGTTCTAATGTACAAATGAGTGCTCTAATGTACAAATGAGTATTCTAATGTACAAATGTGTTTTCAAATGTACAAATTAGTGTTCTAATNCTACAGTAGAATTCATATACAACGACTTCGCTTATAACGACTAACCGCTTTTAACGACGATAATGATTACTCAAGTTAGGTTTCATAGTTAGGTACTGAGAAAATATAACCGTTTAGTGCGACTCCGTTTTAAGCGACCAACTGCTTATAGCGACCCTTAATTATGAATATTATGATGATACGTCCGGTTAAAACGACGCACAATATTTTATTTACATAACCTACCAATACCTCGGCGCCCCAACTTCACCCCGCCCCCTTTATTGGCGCGTGAATCACAGTTAGTGCTTGTCACTTGTTATTAGTTGTTATGACAAGTTCTTAAAGCTTGACAAAATGAGTTCTATGAAGCGAAAGTGTTTTACAATTGAAGAATAAAGTGCAATATTACACCGATTAGAAGCCGGTGAATCAAATGCAACCCTCGCAAAGAAGTTTGGCGTATCTCATTCTACAATATCAACAATAAAGAAGAATAAAGATAAGATCGAGCCGATGTTTAATGCCAATGTTTTAAAATACAAACGTGTAAGGACTTCTACTCATGAGTCGGTGGATAAGGCATTGTTACAGTGGTTCAAGCTTCAGCGCGACTGGGGAATACCCGTGAATGTACCTCTGCTACAAGAGAAAGCAATTTTTCGCTATACAGTTAGACATGCAAAATTGTATATGCTCCATGAGTTGGATAAATATATGTACTTAACATAATTATGTACTTAAGAAATAATTCTGCCGTTTTGTACGTCGTCCGGTTAGTACGACATAGTTTTGCCGGTCCCTTGAAAGTCGTTATATCCGGATTCTACTGTAGCTCTATTTGTCTACATAAAGGTAGGTTCACATAACACATATATCGAATATAGAATATTAGGATATTATTAGGAAATTATGTCTTGTTATTGAAAAAACTATTTTAGTTTGATTGATTCCAAATTGAACAATGAATAACAGTCCAACTAAAGTATCTGATTTAATTCTCATTTAGAATGCGAAGTTGATATAAAGTGAAACGAAGGTGCTGAAAAATAATGGATTTTATATTAATCGTTAATTTTTGTTTTAATCGATTTTAATAATAAAGTAAACTGTATTTTAGTCGTGAGACTAATAGGTAGTCATTTCGTTCTTAACATTTTGATAAAATGTGTAATAATACTAAAATTAGTAGAAAAAGTTAGTTAGAAAAATCGATTTTTTGTTGTTGTTAATCGACTTTTTACAAATCTATTTCTTTTAAACAGAGAAAAATCGATTGTTTAGTAATCGATTTTTTCCCTCCAAGTCACAACCCTAACAACAAACGATATTGAACTTTATTGCAGCGTACCAACGAGACGTACTTCTACAGAGTGAACGGCACTTGGGACCTCACGTATCCGGACTACACGATAAAGTCATTCATACATCGCACCACCGGCAATGACACCGGTCTGGCCGTGCTCTCAATGAAAGACAAGTCCTTGGTCGCCCATCTGAATAGTACTGACGGTAAGATTACAGGCCTATGTTTTTTTTATTGCTTAGATTAGTGGACGAGCTCACAGCCCACCTGGTGTTAAGTGGTTACCGGAGCCCATAGACATCTACAACGTAAAATACAACCCATCTTGAGATATAAGTTCTAAAGGTCTCAAGTATAGTTACAACGGCTGCCCCACCCTTTAAACCGAAACGCATTACTACTTCACCGCAGAAACAGGCGGGGCGGTGGTACCAACCCGTGCAGACTCAGAATAGGTCCTAACATCAGTAATTACGCAAATTATAAGTTTACGGTTTTTATTTTTACTACACGATGTTATTCCTTCACCGTGGAAGTCAATCGTGAACATTTGTTAAGTACGTATTTCATTAGAAAAATTGGTACCCGCCTGAGATTCGAACACCGCTACATCGCTCAACACGAATGTACCGGACGTCTTATCCTTTAGGCCACGACGACTTCAATGATAAATGAACGTCATTTAAAAATATATTTTCCAGACATATCGTACCATCTAGTTGGTAACATTGTAAACACGAGATCAGCGAAACTAGACGCGTGGCGCGACTTCGATGACGTCACAACCGTAGACCTGGCTTCGTACATCCGCCTCAACCACTCTCGACTTCTGACTAGTTCGTTGGTGTGGCGGCCGCAGATCTTCAGCGAAGTCAAAGCTCAAGCGGTCTCCACGCTGAAGCTTTTGTACGGCCAAATAAACGACAGTCTGGTGATACTGAAAGAAGCACCCATGGAAGCTCACTTGGCGCTCAAAGCGATATGGGCAGACGCCAGACCTAGGATCGGTGACTTCTTGCACGACTTAGACGACCTTCAAGTGATCAAAGACGATTTAGACGACTTTGAAACATTCTTAAACGAATCATATAGTAAAAATGATTTTTACGTGAAAGACATAGTCGAATTTACTTACTACGTGCTAGACGAGATGGCCATAAGGAATCACTTGGAGAGTCTGCCCGGCATAGTTAACGACATGTGGGGGATGATGGGCAACACCAGTCAGTCCATCAAGCAGAGTCTGACATACGTGGTCGACACTATAAAACACGCCTACGCGAATTTCTTGGAGTCCGTGAACAAGGCTCTGGAGGCAGATTTTATGGAACTGGTGTCAGAGCGACTCGAAGCCATGATATTACAGTACGATAACTTCATCAGGGACCTCCACATGAAATTGTTGGAGTATTGGGAGGAGACTTGGGTGAACGCGACCAATCGTTTGACCAAATATTGGCACGAGCTACTCAAGTCTATTGAGCCGCTGTTCTTCAAGATCCTGCATTACAGCGAGTCGTTCGTTTTCACGGTGTGGAAGAGTTTGATGGACTTCTTTTACAATCGCACCCAGGAATTGACGGATTCGCCGTATTTCAACTATGTTTCGACGTTTGGTCATGAAATGGACAAGTAAGTTATACTATTATATTTTTTTAAGAAATTTTATGACCTGGTAACTAAGACCTTTAAGTCGTGTCTTATTTTAAGTTATATTCTTTTTTTAATGAAAAATGATAATATGGAGTGAAATGAAATGAAGATGATTAATTTGAAATATTAATCAACTGGGATGAAATTAAATGAAATGAGATGAGATTATATGGGATGAAATATAATCTCAGTAAAATGGTGGTCATTTACTGATATTTTTTTCAGTGGACTTTTGAAGGATCCTGAGAAGTTACGCGCTAGTTAAGTAGTTAGGTAGTTAGTAGCTAGTTAAGTAAATGCGCCCTGCTGTAAGTTTGATCAAAATGGACGACCCCTTCTTATAAGACTTCTACTTCTGCAAGCTTGACTTCCAAATAGAATATTATGCTGTTTCATAAAACTCAACCTGGATGAACAAGTCAGTGGATCACCTCATGTTAACTGGTTATCGCCTTGAATCCGTTGTCTGAATTGTATAACAACTCTATAACCCTTCCAACAAGAACGGAAGGCTGCATAGTGGCATAACAGACAGTGTCGTGGCACTTACCAGATCGGACTAACAATGCGTTCCAATAACAGTAAGATGCATTAATATCATCTTTCAGAATCTACAAGGACCTGGTGAATAACGACCTGATAACTAACATAAAGAAGTACAGCAAGAAACTGTGGGATGCTGTCTGGACCAAGATAGAGAAATACATCCCGTTCAAAGACGAGATAGTGCAGCTTTACAACGAATTCAAGGACAGCTGGCAGGACTTCCTCAAGACTCCGCAGGTCGTCTACGTCAGGGAGAAGGTGAGCCCGATCAATATCGAACTTATAAAAGCTCAGCTGTTGTGAAGCGACTTTATGACCAAACTCGACGTACATTTCGCCTTTTGTTCTGGTTTTGTTAATTAATACATAAATAAAATAAAAAATAATATTTCATACAAGTGAGTCGACTATTATCAAAGCCGGCAATCTGACTTTTGGACAATTATTGGTAAATCAGAAAAACTAATTATTGACTTTGTATTCCATTGGCAGTCACAAAACTCTTCGGAACGACATCTTAGATAAATAAAAGGTTAACTAATAACCTTTATTTAATGCAGGTTTTGAACCGTATTCTTTGAAGGAGACGAATAAATTCAAATCAATCTGTATTGACATATCAATAATTTTTTTTTGTCCAAATGCACAGATTGCCACCTTTGATAATAGACGACTCAAGTGACCTATAAAAACAAAATTAAATCTTTGTGATCTATGTGATTAGTGAACTAACAAATATGTTTGCTGACTAATATCAGGTATTGTTTCCACTTGCAAGAACCCTTCCTCGTGTAAAAGCATTCTCTAAGGATTCTCTATATTAGGCAATTTTAACCCAATTTATAGTTACTGCTTTCTTTCTTGCTTGCTTGCTTGTGTTAGCGCGCAATGAATGCGTACAAAATTTAGGGTTCGTAAACTAGTTGGCTGATTTTTGATTATGTACCATCGCATTATGTTAAGTACTATGAGCATTCAGAACTTATTGCATAGACCTATGAACTAGCTCACGGCCTACCAATCGGTTAGCGGGGCCTTTAGACATCACCACGTTAAATCCACCATCTATCTTGAAACGTTAAGTCTAAATCTCAGTTTTATACTAATAACCACTGCCTCACCCTTCCAACTTACCCCACCTTCGTGCCAGTAACGGCTTACCCGGACATTCTCACAAAACACCGCTTTAACTTTTATCAAACGATGCTAATCTTTCATCGTCCTGCTGGTGGTAGGACCTCTTGAGAGTTCGCGCGGGTGGGTACCCCCACCCTGCATATTTCTGCCGTGAAGCAGTAATGCGTTTCGGTTTGAAGGCAGCCGTTGTAACTATACCTGAGACCTTAGAACTTATATCTCAATGTGGGTGGCGCATTTACGTTGTACATGTCTATGGGCTCCAGTAACCATTTAACACCAGGTGGGCTGTGAGCTCGTCCAACCATCTAAGCAATAAAAAAAAGCAATTAAAAAAAACAACGTGGAAATCAATCGTGAATAAGTAATCAGTACTAGTTTCTTTAGAGATTTCGGTACCTGCCTTCTGGATTCGAGCACCGACCCATTCGCGTCACTGGTCGACCTATATTTTCATATTTGTGGGACTTTTTGGCGAGAACGCGAGGAGTCAAGTTGTGGGATTTGTTTTCTTTGGTCTATTTAGTATTTCTTCAGGTTTAAATGTGTAATAACGTTGGTTTATTAACTGTTTAGTATCTGTGAAAGTGCACAAATGTGGGAAAATGAAACAAATCCGTTGAACGTAACTTCTCGGGATCCTCCAAATTCATTTCATTTCATCTCATATTTCATATTAATCAACTTCATTGCATTTCATAATACCATTTTTTATATTATGAAAAGTTTTCATTTAAATTAAAATAAGATTTGACCTAAAGGTCTTAGTTACCAGGTCATATAGCGCCTTTAAAAAATATATATATTTGGACATAATCTTGTACAGTACCAAGAAGCCTACGTCCGTCTGAAGTGGTGGTACGACTACTTCCTGATCGGCGAGGCCTTGAACACGATCGGCGAAATCATCTACGTGAAGCTCACGGACTTGGCGAAGACTGCACTGCAGTACGAAGAACTGTGAGTACATCAGTATATACAATTAAAAATAGCTGCTATGTCGTCACTAATAAAGTCTAGTACGTGGTGTTCATATGTCTTATAGACAGACAGACAATGTGATGAAAGAAATTGAACCGCGCTTCGCCGTGATGCTTTAGTTTCATTAGGTCCATATCAGCCTTGACTGTCTAACTGGTTTGAGACTAGACAAAGGCAGGGTGATATGGTACAACATCTTGAAGATGGAAATGGTTACGACCCTCACACATGAGAAGCACGATTAGGGAAGATGGACTGAGGATAGGCAGACGGGTATACCGTCCCACCTGATAATGAGTGGTTACCGCTGCTTATGAATGTCGATCATGTGTCCATGTTCATGCATAGATTGTGGCAAACGTCCTACATGATTACCATCAATTGTCTTTCTTTTTTTTTCTTACCTAAGCTGAGAGCCTTGAGAGGCTATTTCAGCGTAACCTTAACTAGTAGGTGAGCTCACGGGGCTCAAACCTGACGACGTTGCTAACACGAACCCTAGCAAGAGTCGTACTTCGCAGAATCTACCACCACTGAGAAGATTCGTCGAGAAACTCAGTGGGCTGGGTCTTAGGGTTAATTTACTCGTCGAGACCTTCGTCGCAAGCGACGGGTTCGACGAGAACGATGACCGGTGCTTGAAGTACCTAAAAGCACCTTTAGTGGATCGGGAGGATCCGAAATGACGTATTTGGGGCGACGTAGACTGCTTTCCATTCTGTCCGCAGGATCGGGAATGTAGTTACCGGCGGCCACGATGAGAAGGTTCTCGTGTCGTGCCGCTTTATCGAAGTGGCGCATCGACGCCGACTGTAGATACTTACTACTTTAGTCCAGGTCGTCATGGAGATCGACGTTCCTCAATCTTTACCGTCGATCATATGTTCACGCACACAACATTCGTTACAGGCACCGCACGCCCAAAACAAACTTCATATTCGACCCCCGAGTGGGGGAGATCGTCCTCGAGCAGAAGCTGCCGATGTCCTGGCACGCCTTCAACAGCTCGCCGGACTTCACCGAGATATCCGAGTACAAGACCGTCCGCGACTTCTTCGACGAGTGGCTCACCACCAACAAGAGCATCTGGTCCTACTACTACGAGATAAGGCCGTACATGGACCTCAACAACTTGATGCCGCCTTTCCCTGGTCAGTCTAGAGTTTTTTTTTTTATTATTGCCCTTGTAGGCAGACGAGCATACGGCCCACCTGATGGTGACTGGTTACCGTCGCCGATGGACTTCAGCAATGCCAGGGCCAGAGCCAAGCCGCTGCCTACCGCTTAATAATCTCCACAAGCCTCGTTTGAAGAAGGACATGTCATAGCGCCATCCGGCTTTGGAATGAGCTCCCCTCCACGGTGTTTTTTTTTTTTTGTTATTGCTTAGATGGGTGGATGAGCTCACAGCCCACCTGGTGTTAAATGGTTACTAAAGCCCATAGACATCTATAACGTAAATGCGCCACCCACCTTGAGATACAAGTTCTGAAGTCTCAAATATAGTTACAACGGCTGCCCCACCCTTTAAACCGAAACGCATTACTGCTTCACGACAGAAATAAGCAGGTTGGTAGTACCTACCCGCGCGAACTCACAAGAGGTCCTACCACCAGTAATTACGCAAATTATAATTTTGCGGGTTTGATTTTTGTTACACGATGTTATTCCTTCTCCGTGGAAGTTAATCGTGAACATTTGCATAGTACATATTACATTAGAAAAATTGGTACCCGCCTGCGGGATTCGAACACCGGTGCATCGCTTCAACACAAATGCACCGGATCTCTTATCCTTTAGGCCACGACGACTTCATATGTTATGTTAGAACATTTTGAACGCAGGCATAGCAATGATGACGGAACAAGGCGCCCTGGTCACCTACGACAAGCAAGTGTTCACGGTGTCCGAGCGCGGCGTGTTCCTGCTCACGAAGGACTACAGGCGCGACAACTTCACCGTGCTCATGGCTTCCAACGACAGAGGCACATACGACCTCGTGCTCGTGACCAGAACGAAGCTGGTCTACATTGATCTTTCTAAAGAGGTATTTTTTATTGCCGTTTTTTTTGTTGTTGCTTAGATGGGTGGACGAGCTCACAGCCCACCTGGTGTTAAGTGGTCACTGGAGCCCATAGACATCAACGATGTAAATGCGCCAACCACCTTGAGATATAAGTTCTAAGGTCTCAAGTATAGTTACAACGGCTGCCCCGCCCTTCAAACCGAAACGCATTACTGCTTCACGGCAGAAATAGGCAGGGTGGTGGTACCCACCCGCGCGGACTCACAATGGGTCCTACCACCAGTAAAATTATACATACGGCCCACCTCAATGCCAGGGGCAAAGCCAAGCCGCTGCCTACCATAAATAGGTAGGACAAAGCCACGTGTTGTATTTTTACAAACGTCAAAACAAACAGTATTTTCGATTGATTTATTAAAAGCTCACGTCTCAAGATCACTTTCACGGTGTTGTCCACGAGCTCAAATAACGGAGCAGCAAAAAAAAGCATATTTTTTTCCTTCCACTTACATTACAGAATTATTCGAAATACCCTCTGTTTTATTAAAAACGTATTTTCTCTTCTTTTTTTTAGGGTTATGTTAATTAAGACCTTTAGGTCAAGTCTTATTTTAATGATAATGAAAACTTTTTTTATATGAAAAATGATATTATCGATTGAAATGAAGTTGATTAATATCAAACATGGCATTAAATTATATGATATGAGATGATATGGGATGAAATATAATCTCAGTAAAATGGTGGTCATTTCCTGAAATTTATTCAGTGGATTTTTTGGAAGATCCCGACAAGTTACGTTCAGCGGCTTTGTTTCATTGTCCCACATTTGTGCACTTTCACAGATACTAAAGATTTAATAAACCGCCGTTATTACACATTTAAACCTGAAGAAACACTAAATAGACGAAATAAAACAAATCACACAACTTCAATCCACGCGCGTTCCCGCTAAAAAGTCCTCGTATTTTCCACTGTCCACAATCGGCACTGTACGCTATTTCCCCTGCAGCAAGTGACGGTGAGCGACACGGTGCTGAGTCTGCCGGCCTCGGTCGAGGGTCTGGTGATAGACCGGCAGATGGAGACCCTGAGCGTGCGCGGAGACAGCGGTCTCGACGTGCAGTGCAACCTGCGCTTCAAGTCCTGCAAGCTGGGTGTCGAAGGTGGGTTGTGTGAGCGCACCAGTCAGCTGGCTACAAATGATCTAATGTGAAAATGTATTTTCAAATGTACAACTGTGTATTCAATTGTACAAATGAGTATTCAATTGTACAAAATATTATTCTAATGTACAAGTGAGTATTCAAATGTACAAATGAATGTTTAAATGTACAAATGAGTGTTCTAATGTACAAATGTGTTTCCAAATGTACAAAAGAGTTTTCATATGTACAAATGAGTATTCAAATGTACAAATGAGTATTCTAATGTATAAATTAGTGCTCTTATGTCTAAATGAGCTATGTACTACCACAGGTTGGTTCTACGCGACCCTGGGCGGGTTGCTGGGAACGTACAACAACGAGCAGTACGACGACCTGCAACTGCCGAACAACAGCTTCGCGACCAGCGTCGGCGCGCTGGCGACGGCGTGGCGCCTCGGGCCCGCGCCCCCCGCCCCCGCGCCGCTCCCCGCACCCCCCACCCCGCACAACGAGACGCAATGCGAGAAGTTCTTCCAGAATAAAGTTTCGCCTTTCCATCCCTGTTTCTCTGTGGTGAGCTAATTACTGGATCTAATTACTAGCTAATTATAGATAATGACAAGATTAATATTAAATCACAGCATAAATAAAAAATTAAAGACATTTATTTCTAAGAAATAATAAAAATTTTAATGATGATATTTTCATAAGTACCTTCGTAGTGTTGTGGTCGCTTTTTCGACGATGAGACGGCTATACATTATTATAGGTTTCAAGGTCGCGTCTCGAGGGGCGTGCCCGCATTCACGCTGTGATTCGGCTGGATTGAACCCAGAAAAAATGCCTTATGTACGCACTTGAGAAGTTGTACTTCTTTGGCATGTAGGAATAATTTATTTACTAAACAATCATGAAATGCTCGGGATACCGCACCTTGATGACGTCGTAGCCTAAGGGATAAGACGTACATTCGTATCGAGCGATGCAACTGTGCCGGCACTCGAATACCACAGACAAGTACCGAAATACGTACTTAACCCACGTTGACGAATCACTTTACCATGATTAAGGAACAACCTCATATAATCAAAGTCAAACACGCGGAAAAATTGTATAGGCATTTTTATTAAATAATTGAGTCATAGACCTCAATGTATACAAGTTGCGATGTCTATGCGCTCCGGTAACCGCTTTCCACAATGCGGCTCGTAAGATCATTCACTTGGTACCGCTATTAATACGAAAGAAGTATAACTTCAGGAATGATTTTACGAAAGAAGTATGACTTCTCGAATGTTTTGTAAGGGTCGTTTTGACACGTGTGTTGGTAGATCAAAGCGGCGCCGTTCTACTCAGAGTGCCAGGCGGGCGTGGAGGCGTGCGCGCTCGCCAGCGCGTACCTGGAACTGTGCACGCAGCAACACGTGCCCACGCACATGCCGGACCACTGCAACCAGTACGTACAATGTGCAGCATCATCGGCCGACAGAGGTCGCTACACCCCGCGGGGGGGCTTTCCCCTCCTCTGTCGGCTATCTTTTTTATGCGTTAGATGGGTGGGTGAGCTCACCTGGTGTTAAGTGGTTACTGGAGCCCATAGACCGGTGTTCGAATCTCAGGCGGGTACCAATTTTTCTAATGAAATACGTACGCAACAAATGTTCACGATTGACTTCCACGGTGAAGGAATAACATCGTGTAATAAAAATCGAACCCGCAAAATTATAATTTGCAATTAAATAAGCTGTAATGCGTTTTGTTTGAAGGGCGGGGCGGCCGTTGTAACTGTACCGAGACCTTAGAACTTATATCTCAAGGTGTATGGCGCATTTACGTTGTAGATGTCTATGGGCTCCAGTAACCACTTAACACCAGTTAGGCTGTGAGGTCGCCCACCCAAGCAATAATAAAATTTAAAAAATAACGTCACAACTATTTGCGCTTCGAAGGTGCACGACCCCGCACGGTGACGTCATAGACGAAGGGTCCTTCTACACGCTGGAAAACGTGCCGGAGTCGACGGACGTGGTGTTCATAATCGAAGCGCAGGTCTGCAACAAGAACGTGAGGAAAACGAAGAATCTGGATCTCTTCCTGGAGACCTTCGACATACAACTGCAGGCCGGCGGCCTCACCGACAACCGGTAAGCGATCAAACGTCAAATTTCTTATTCTTTTCTTACCTAAGCTGATGGTCTAGAGATACTGTTACGCGCTGGGGTTCGGGATAAATAAAATTTCACCAAAGTACAACTTAAAAACTGTATTCAACACTTAAAACACTTCACAAACACTTTAAACAGCTCAACAAACACTTTAAAACTCTCAACTCGCTTGTTCCGCTTCGCTTCTGATCCGTTCGCTGTTTCGCTTCGAGTAGTTCCGATTACTGATTGCTTTCGTGCCATCTCTGCAGCGCTTTTATAGTCTATAAGACATCCATAGAACATTCTGGGAAAGGCATTCGAGTAGCTTCGATGTGCTTCCGCATCTGACAATATATGGCGTTGTACTTCTCAAGCGTTCTCAACTTTACTAGTTCCATTGATATTGCAATCTATATATATATATATATATGTATGTATATAAATAATTGCTGTTCGTTAGTCTCGCTAAAACTCGAGAAGGGCTGGACCGATTTGGCTAATTTTGGTCTTGAATTATTTGTGGAACTCCAGAGAAGATTTAAAAGGTATATAAATATGAAAATGCTCGGAATTAAATAAAAATAACAAATTTTGTTTTCCGATTGATCTGTCCCCCGTGGGACGGATTCCTTTTGTTTGTTTTAAGTTTATTTTATACAAAAGTTTAGGTCTTTTATTTATCGATTGAGGCACTACGAAGTCTGCCGGGTCAGCTAGTACCAAATAAAACGGACCTTTAATTACAAAGATAAATGTTCCCCGAACCAAATAGTTTTTTAACCCTCGATTTAAACAATTAAAGCATGTTCTTTCCACGTCTATTATTGATATGAAACATCTATAGCCGCCCGTAAAACCGATTTCTGGCGTGGCGACGCATGCCGTGACGACGCCTCGCCGCGCTATATGATGGTATATATATACAGTCTATATGCAGTAGTGTGTACGGTGTGGCGACGCGTCGCCATGCGCAATCGACTGTGCGATTCTCTCCCACTCGATCCGGCGTTAAGCCATCTCTCTCGCTACACTGAGCTCGGATACCTATAGTGTATACTCCGTAGTGTATACAGTGTTGTTTACTACACTACACATGAGTCGTCTATTATCAAAGGCGGCAATCTGTACATTTGGACAAAAATTTTTTATTGATATGTCAATACAGATTTATTTGAATATAATCGTCTCCTTCAAAGAATACGGTTCAAAACCTGCATTAAATAAAGGTTAATAGTTAACCTGTTATTTATCTAAGATGTCGTTCCGAAGAGTTTTGTGACTGCCAATGGAATACAAAGTCAATAATTCGTTTTTCTGATTTACCAATCATTGTCCAAAAGTCTGATTGCCGCCTTTGATAATAGACGACTCACATAACCTGTGTTTTACTTGAAAACAAATAATTTTTTCGTAATATTTTATTTTATCATTATGACATATTTAGTTCCTATCACAATCTGTTCTTTTCTGCATATTACTTTTACAAAATAATGTCGATGTTTCACATCTGCCAGGCGTCCCGTGACGGCTCACATTTTTTTTTATATTTCAGGGAATACCAGCGTTATTTAATCCGTTGTTTTATGTAATAATTACAATTGCAGGTACGCGGTGGTCGGGTTCGGCGGGCGCGGCGTCTACAGACAGCCGAGGGCGGTGTACGTCAACAACAAAGTGTTCACTGACCCAATAGAAATATCGTCGCACTTCGACACTTTCCAAATCGGTGAGAGTACACTGTTTTTTTTGAACTTCTACTTATAAGACTTGTTCACATCATCACATTTTTTGGTTCTGTCAAGCTTTGTTGGGCTTCGGGATAAATAAAAATTCTACCGTAGTACAAATTAACACTGTATTAACGCTTAGATCACTCACAGAACACTTCAAAATTCTGAATTCACTTCTTCCGCTTCGCTTCAGGTGATCCGTTCGCTGTTTCGCTTCGAGTAGTTCCGATTATTAACTGCCTTCGTGCCATCTCTGCAACGCTTTTATAGTCGATACGACATTCCTATATTTGCCGAGAACATTCTGGGCAAGTCGAGTAGCTTCGATGTGTTTCCGCTATCTAACAATAGATGGCGTTGTACTTCTCGGACGTTCTCGACTTTACTAGTTCCATTGATGTTGCAATCTATATATATAAAAATGAATTGCTGTTCATTAGTCTCGCTAAAACTCGAGAGCGGTTGGACCGATTTGGCTTGGAATGATTTGTGGAAATCCAAAGAAGGTTTAAATGGTAGATAAATACGAAAATGCTCGGAATTAAATAAAAATAACAAATTTTGTTTTCCCTTTGATGTGTCCCCCGTCGGACGGATTCCTTTTGTTTGTTTTAAGTTTATTTTATACAAAAGTTTAGGTCTTTTATTTATCGATTGAGGCACTACGAAGTCTGCCGGGTCAGCTAGTTTGCTTATATAAAATATTGTGTGGTCCACGATGCTCATCTGATTTCTTAAAACGGACCCTGAGCGAACTAATCTGCGATCTCTCAGTTAGGTTATTAACTTTCAGTTTGCAATAAGCACTCATTAAATTACGGGTAGGTACCACCGCCCTGCCTATTGTTGCCGTGAAACAGTAATGCGTTTCGGTTTGAAGAGCGGGATAGCCGTTGTAACTATACTAACCTTATTAACCTTAGAACTCCAGTGTGGGATCCAGTAACCACTTAATACCATGTGGGCTGCTAGCTCGTCCGTCCAACAATGCAATAAATAAATAAAATATCGTTTTCGTTAATCTCTCGTGTACAGATAAGTTAGATTTGGCGCGCCCGAACAAGACCGTCAAGGCGGATATGTTCAGCGCCTTGAACTTCGCAACGAAGCTGCCGTTCCGGCCCGGCGTTCCGCGCACCTTCCTGCTGATGCCCTGCACCAGATGCGACTCGCAGTTCATGAGGGTAAGCAAAAAAAATGTTTGAAGTGAAACTTCTAATGCGACTTCCAAAGAGGTTGCGTTAAACGCTTAACGCTACCATACTAGAAAGAGACAGAGCGAGAGTGAATGCGTGACACTCGATCGCACGCGCGTAGTATAACTGTTACAGACCAGCGCGAGCGTTAGCAACGAGTAGCTCCAATATTCTAATTAAGTATTTAAATATATTTATTTATTTTTCTATCTATAATTTAAAATATATAAAACTGCAGTGGTTTTTACGGATGTTCCGTTATAACTACTGAACCATGCACCCGATTGACTTGAAACTTGGTATCCATGTGGAAAGTACATGTACTTAATGGATAGGCTAATATTTATATGAGTGTTGGACTCCCTATACCAGTTGCGGGGCCGTTAATGATGAGAATTTTTGTGGGAGTGACATATAATAATGCTAATTTTAAATACCCATCGAAGCGGACGAGTACAGCTAGTATAGTATTTTTTTATTGCTTACATGTGTGGACAAGCTCACAGCCCACCTGGTATTAAGTGGTTACTGGAGACCATAGACATCTACAACGTAAATGCGCCACACACCTTGAGATATAAGTTCTAAGGTCTCAATATAGTTAAAACGGCTGTCCCATCTTTAAAACCGAAACGCATTGCTGCTTCACGGCAGAAATAGGCGGGGCGGTGGTACCTACCCGCGCGGACTCACAATAAATATTGAAGATGTCGCATCTCTTATACACAGCATTCCCTATTACAAGAGCAATCTGATTAAAGGATTAAAAATGAAGAAAACCACAATACTACACAATATCGAAAAAGAAGTTTCACTTCATTCACGGGCACCAAGTTGCACGCGCCTTTTTTTTTGTCGCCTCTATGATTACGTCACCGTAAAACTTAAGCCTAAATGAAGTCACATGATGGTTAAAAGGACACTGTTCCAACTCCATACAAATTTGAGTTAACTTTTACGCGGTCGAGAAGTTAAATAATTCGCGATAGTCTTATCCGGTCCGGTTTTCTAATACAATCAGCGCTTATAGCTGTCCGGTTCCCACATTCGAAACAACAATTAGTCGTATTAGACTATTAATAGACAATTAGATTGCGACAAACAAATATACATATTATATACTTTTTATAATACACATACTGTAATAAGTGTTGCCACTAAGCAAAAAGCTTTGGCAAACGGAATTTTATTTTTTATGTTATTAGCTTAACAAAATTAACATGTTATTTATAGACCGCTGTGTCTCTTAAAATCATTCTGAAACCCTGTATTATTTTCAGTTGGACTACTCATCGATGTATCAAAGTTTGATGGAGAATTCAGTGACGCTTCATATCTTAATGGATGACGACTTCACGCTATCGAAGAAAAGGGCATCCAAATATTTGTTCGGTGAGTTTAGTCGATTCGAATCCGACTTGATTTCTTTATTACTATAGTAGAATTATTTTGTCCGTGCAGTTTGGGTCATAAAACATAGCCCGGCTAGGGCGGTGAGCCTATTGCTCGGGCGCAACGCCTCGATTCACCATTATCGATAAAAAACAAATAATCATCGAGACATTGTTATGTTAAGAGTCATTTGTACTTACCTGCAAATTATAGTACATTATGTCGAAGAGTAATGGGTTTTTATGCATTCGTTCTCTGAATTTATTTAGTGACACAATGGCTACTCCTTTGTTTTGTATCAAAACGGCAGGATTTAATCAAAATAATATTTGCACGTATTGTCAACAATGTGTTAAAATTTTCCACTGAAATAATAAATCCCGAAAAGTTACAAAGTGTTAATTTCTGCCGTTCTCGTTAACTTGCTGCTGTGATATGTGGTGCAAGTGTTCGATTAGTGATTCTTTCTTTCATTTTTATCACTAACCCACAAAATGACAAAACTAAATACACTATCGATAACGTTTATCGACAACAATAATGCGCATCACTATGCCCGTCCATAAGACTCGTGAGTGAAAGAGAGAGCGAAATACTCGCTTCACCACTCCGATTTTTTATGACCCAAACTGCACGGACAAAATAATTCTACTACAGTATTATTATTAGCAAACTAGCTGACCCAAAAAACGTTGTTTTGCCATATACATTATTTATAGGAAAATTGGTTTTTGGGTGGACCACCCTTAACTTTTAAGGGTATGAAAAATAGATGTTTACCGATTCTCAGACCTACCCGATGTGCACACAAAATTTTATAAGAACCGGTTGAGCCATTTCGGAGGAGTTTGGCAACAAACACCGCGATACGAGGATTTTATATATTAGATATAAAAAAAAAGTTTGATTAACAACATATGTATATATAAATATTTTTATTTTCAGCATTTTTTTTTTTTTATTTTTATAATGTAACATGATTCCTTAAAATTAATATTTTAAATACCAATTAGATTAAGTTAAATTATTATATTGTTTATTCGTATCAGAGATAAATGTGTCTACGACTAGTTGAATAGCGATTATAGACGGTATTTTAATATTGTCGGATGACATTGAGTAGGAAAAGGGGTTAATTCCGGAGACAGATGATAAATTTCTAAAAACTATGATCGAGATTTTGATATTTTTGTGTATTTTTGGTGTATACCAGGTGTGGACAGCACGCTGGCTTATACGAACAAGGATTACGAGAAGCTGGTCGGAGACGCAGCTCTCAGGAAACAAGTAAAATTGCCGAAAGACAAACTGGGACTGTGCATCTCCCTTGCTATGGAAACGAATGGTGAGACTAAAATTTTTTTTCAAGTGATTGCTTCTTATGGCTAAACAGCTTCGTTACTTATGAGACGCTTCGTGACGTAACGCGTTACGGCGCTAATCTGTCTAGCTTCTCTTTCTCTCACACATACGGCAGCGCTACTAAAAACGTATGTAACTCCTAACTATTTATGTACATATTTAAATCTAAATACTAATAATGTACATACACAAAATTATAATTAATATATTCATTAAATGTAATTAAGGATAATAGTACATAAATAGTACACTGTACTTTTGATATATATTTATTTTTTGGTCAATAATTTATTTTCACATTGATGATTTGATGGTGTATTAGCGACTTCCTGTTTTGTGGTTTAAACTGTTTTAATTTCATAGTGCTATCTACACATTTGTTTTATTTGATATTGTTTGTATAATATTTATTTAGCAGACACTTTCTTTGGCGAATTAAACCTTTTTTAATACGCTTTTATTAGCTTCAGACGTATGTATGTTAGTATGTAACGGAACATGATTTTGACCCCCTTCAAAACGTTTGATTAATTCGAAATTATATATAATATAATAATATATAATTTATGTAATTCGTGGTTTGCAGGTACGATCCTGGCGGGCACGAAGCTGAGTGCGGAGCGTCGCTCGGCGCGGCGGTTCTCGTCCGTGGCGGGCGCGCGTGCGGCGCGCGGGGCGGCGCGGTGCGCGCGCACACGCTGCGAGTGCCGCGCCGGCGCCACGCACTGCCGCCCCTGCGCCGACACGCTCAGAATGGTATAGTAGCTTGCTTCAATATTTTAAAGCTATTGCATAGCTTGTAGGCATTAGTAGGCAGCGGCTTGGCTCTGCCCCTGGCATTGCTGACGTCCATGAGCGACGGTAACCACTCAGCATCAGGTGGGCCGTATGCTCGTCTGTCTATACGGCAATAAAAAATAAAAATAAAAAAAAACTTTTATCGTGGCGACCGAATCAAGAAATTCCGTAACGAAAATAAAACCTAATTTTTTATTTTTATTTCAATATTAGTCAACCAGTTTAATATGTGATGAAGTAGATTTCTGAAATTGGTATCTACCTCAATTGTATATGTTTCAAAGGTATTATATTTTAAGTATATTTTACATGTAAATTGCTTATTCTTATTTATGTGTAAAGAACCAATTTTTTAATAATTATTAATATATTACATTGTGTATTAATTGTATGTATATTTACGGATATATGTGTGTATGTATGTATGTGTATATGTGTGTGTACATATATGTATATATATTTATGTATGTGTATATATACATATTTCACTGGATTGGTACACCGCGCGTAGTTAGTTTCTAAATGATTCTTGTCCACCTGATGGTTGTCTGTCTGGAAGAGATCGCTCTTAGCGATAAGACCGCCAATTGTACTTTTTTTTATTTAATGTATCGCACTGTTTATTTGTTTTTTGATGTACAATAAAGAATACTCTCTCTCTCTCTCAAAACCTAACACTCCCACTCCGCCTACCATGTAGCTCGCATTCAGCACATTCACACGTTACGCTTGTGCAGTGTTTGTGAATAAGCGCGCGGCGTGATGTCGCACTGCATACGCATCATGAAAAGTCTGCCCATCTCTCTCTCTCTCGCGTGGTCTAGCTTATGTGTGTGAAGGGGATAGTTAATGTTTTGCTTTTGTCAATGTTTATAAATCGATGCCTCCAATGAACACTAACTCAAAATTTTGAAATTTTCGTTTTTCACGCAAATCGCTTCACTATTTTAAAAGTATTACAAATTCATTATTAATGGGGTTCAAAGCAAGAGTAAATCAGCTAGTTACACAAGAAAAAAACCATAAAATCTTTATTATTGCAGATATATTTAACAACTTTTTTCGTTTAAACTCTCCTCCTGTAAACCTACGAATTTGGAGTTAGTGTTCATTGGAGGCATCGAAATATAGCGTGGTCTTATTTTATGATTGTTTTAGATAGAGAGAAACAACCAATATAAATATAACAATTTTATTTTCAGTGGGAATTAGCATTCTTCAGCACAGACGACATTGACGACTTAATTGACATGGCGATGGAGCCCCCCACCATACCGTCGCTTAGTTGATAATTTTTATATTAATTTTGTGTAAATATACATAATATATAACATTGTGTAAAATAGCTTTGTGTAGTTGATAAATGTTTTTAGTGATTTTGATTTTTATTGTTTTTTTTATTGGTATTAAAACGGTACCAGACCCCAAAAATGCATCAACTTGAAACATGACATTGAAGCTTCATTTTTGAAGTGAAAACTTCTTTAGAATCGTTGTGATTTCAAACCGGATGCAACGGAAAAAACGACAGGTAAGAGACACAAATACAAAAATGTGTAGGATGAAGCCAGCAAAGAGTGAGACAGAAATATACATACTATTTAATACAGCGCCATCTGTGAGATTTTTTAATACTAACGTGTGTATGAAAGGTCTTGTAGTGAATTTCAATTTAGGATTATACGTGAAATTAAAATATCAATTCACAGAGGGCGCTACCTTACAATTATTTACTAATGACAAAATTTTACATATACTTAAGACGTTTAGGATAATTGTATTTTAATTTTGGAAGGTTTCACTTCTACCACGTGTGAATTGCACACATTTTGTTTTTTTATTATCTAAAGGCTACCCTACCCTTTAAAAGGGAACGCATGTAAGCACCTACTCGTGTGCATCAATTAAATGCGGTTTCGTGATCACAATATGCCGATATGATACTCTGAGAATGTTGCTGCCTATAAATATGCCTATATTTATACGAGACGAGATATGAAGAGGTGTTTTGGCAGGCCGATATCTTTCTGCGGTGAACGCATAGGTTTTTGTTTACGTAATAATAATAAATTAATTAAATGGTGCACGTGAAAGAAGTGAAACTTCTTTTGTGGTGTGTAGTATTGTGGTTTTATTCATTTCTTATTCTTAAATCAAATTTCTCTTGTAATTCGGAATGCTGTGTAAGATAAGATAATATACCTAAGATAAGCGGCCTAGTTAGCGGAAAATTTAACTCAAATTTGTATGGAGTTGGAACGTTTGCCGCTAGGGGCGCTGTTTCAAGTACATACTAATTTGAATTAACTTTTACGCTATCGAGACAAGAGAGATCTGTGACAGGTATAAGTTAACTACGAGCGTATCCCAACTAGCATCAGTCAGCAATTGCCTACACTTGGAAGTAGACCCCAAACGATATGATCCCATTATTATTGATGATGAGTCACACGATTTATTGGGGTCTCACCTCCGTGTAAATTTTTCTACCTATGCTCATAGCCTTGAGAGGCTATGTCAGCGTAACCTAACAAGTAGGTGAGCTCACGGGGCTCAAACCGGAGTGATGCTAACACTGGCCCTAGCAAGAGCAGTCCTTCGCAGAATCTACCACCGGATCGGAAACGCGACCCACTGACAAGATCCGGCGAGAAACTCAGTGGGCTGTGTCTGTGGGTTAATTCGCTCGTCGAGCCCTTCGTCGCAAGCGACGGGTTCGACGAAGACGGTGACCGGGCACACTGTTAAGCAACACAAGGCATACAAGTCGTCGTGGCCTAAAGGATAAGACGTCCGGTGCATTCGTATCGAGCGATGCACCGGTGTTCGAGTACCGCAGGCGGGTACCAATTTTTCTATTGAAATACGTACTCAACAAATGTTCATGATTGACTTCCACGGTAAAGGAATAACATCGTGTAATAAAAATCAAACCCGCAAAATTATAATTTGCGTAAACACTGGTGGTAGGACCTCTTGGGAGTCCGCACGGGTAGGTACCACCGCCCTGCCTATTTCTGCCGTGAAGCAGTAATGCGTTTCGGTCTGAAGGGAAGGGCAGCCGTTGTAACTATACTGAGATCTTAGAACTTATATCTCAAGGTGGGTGGCGCATTTACGTTGTAGATGTCTATGGGCTCCAGTAACCACTTAACACCAGGTGGGCTGTGAGCTCGTCCATCCATCTAAAGAATGAAAATTTAAAAATAAATGAGGTTTCAAAAGGCATTGTCAAATGACAACCTCATAGGTAAAGAAAAATAATCTATCATAGTAATATATCACAGGATATGCATTGGACATTAATTAAATTACACCACTAAAACAAGTAGGATAAAATATAATTCAATTAATAATCAGTCTCTTCTAACTATAATCAAACAGTGTTCATTTTCACTTAAAAACAAAACTTATAAAACTATCTACATTATATAAGCACAGGAGTAAATTCAAACAGTCTAATAATATATCGATGTAACCATACTTTAAAAAAAATCGAATTATGCATATTTGAATTATAGTAGAATTATTTTGTCGGTGCAGTTTGGGTCATAAAACACAGCCCGGCTAGGGAGGTGAGCATGTTTCGCGGGCGGAACGTCATTATCGATAAAAACAAATGAGTAATCGATGGCAGGTACACGGCGGCGGGGTGGTATACGAAGGGTGGTGAGACATTGTTATGTTAAGAGTCATTTGTTGCCTACCTGCAAATTATAGTACATATGTCGAAGAGAAATGTGATTTTGTGCATGCGCTCTCTGAATTTCTTTAGTGACACAATGGCTACTCCTTTGTTTTGTACCAAAACGACAGATTTTATTCAAATACTTTGCTTGTTGGCAAAAATATACCAGCACAAGCACGTGTTAAAAATTTTCACTGAAATGAGAATAGATCCCGAAAAGATACAAAGTGTTAATTTCTGCCTTTCTCGTTAACTTGCTGCGGCGATATGTGGTGTAAGTATTCGATTACTGATTTCTTCTTTCATTTTTATTACTAACCCACAAAATGACAAAACTAAATACACTATCGATAACGCTTATCGACAACAATAATGCGCATCACTATGCCCGTCCATAAGGCTCGTGAGTGGAAGAGAGAGCGAAATACTCGCTTCACCGCTCCGATTTTTTATGACCCAAACTGCACGGACAAAATAATTCTACTATAGTCAACATAACAGTAGTTTATTTTTGAACTAACAAGTTAATCTTTCAAAACACATCAATATTAATTACAATTTAATCAGGAATCTGTATGTTTTGTTACTCACAACCTGTCAAATGTGTAAAGCAAGTGATAATTACATCTTTGTCACATTAAGAACACAAGTAAGTAAGCTGAAGTGATACTTTAAAATATTACAAATAAAATATTTTCAAAACCAACTTGAAATTATCAATAAAATATTTTCAAAACCAACTTCATAGCTGAAATTATCCTCTGTGTAACTTATATGCAAACAATAAACTTGCAACAACAAAAACTACAGCTGAGGCTTTGCACAACAAGCCATATAGAACCTTATTCTGTCCCTCAACAGAGTTCACTATCAGATTGTTCATAATGAACACCTGATTGCTCTCCTCTATGAATGTCGCTTGCTCTTCTGAAGACATTGTCGTCGCTATTTGGTTCATTGCTTCACGGAACTCATTTTTCAATTTATTTATATCTACAGCAGCTAAGTCAGTTACTTTGTCTACATATGTGTTTGGTTGTTCGTTTTCTGAAAATATCATATTACATTGAGAAGTGGACCTTGAGTTCTACAGTTGATATAATCTCCATCTTTCGTGAGTCTTAGACATAATTAAATGTAATTGAAATCAAAATGTTCTGATGTTGATTTTAATAGAAACACTGTTATTTTTGTATCTAGATTTGACACAAGCGGTTTCATGTTTAGCTCATTTAAGTACACTAAGCCACATATAACCCCACATATTGCCTCCAACCTTTCTAATGCCCACAATTTGTAAAAGTTGTCACAATATATCCCAATATCCCATGCATTAACTCTACACTTACTTTCACCAAATACCCTCCTCTTCTTGGATAAAATCTGTCCACCGCTCAGGAGTCCTAAATACAAATGATAGACATAGGCCATTAAGAGCTTGGGATTGTCTCTTTCCAGGTCTTGTAGATGTTGTAGATAGTTCTCTAGTGCCAAGGATTTAGGTATTGACCTCCAGTTGTCACCAAGGTAGTGTTGCAGATCTTGCTCAAATGCCTTCTTTCTGAAAAAGTATTCATTTTACACATTATACATATATGGTATTTGTTAAGCAGCTCATGTCGTGAGGATTAGTGATTTTTATCCAAAAATAGAGTTAACATATAACAGCTACAACAGACATCCCAACTTTTTGTTGGATTTGTAGGCAGCAGCAGTCAACCCACATGATGGTAAGTAATCACCTTCACACATGGACACGAGCCATGCAAGGAGAACAGTAAAACTACCTTCTATACTAAACCCTCGTAACCTTAATTTTTAGTGAGTGGACCAACACAATTAACTGTCACACTGACTTCCTTTTTTTTGGGGGTCAACATGCCAAATACATGTTGATGTTTAGTTAAACAATGCAATTATTAAATTGTATGTGTAATGTGAAATATCAATCTATTATACAACATTGTACAATTTAGATATTTAAAGGTTTCATTGTACATGTTTTAGTTTTGGTGAGATTTCTGTTTTTTGACCACAGACTATAAATCTGTAATCCTTCACATATTGTTTTAAATTTTTTTTTTTATTGCTTATATGGGCTCACGAGCTCACAGCCCACCTGGTGTTAAGTGGTTACTGGAGCCCATAAACATCTACAACGTAAATGCGTCACCCACCTTGAGATATAAGTTCTAAGATCTCAGTATAGTTACAACGGCTGCCCTACCCTTCAGACCGAAACACATTACTGCTTCACGGCAGAAATAGGCGGGGCGGTGGTACCTACCCGCGCGGACTCACAAGAGGTCCTACCACCAGTAAAGTCAAGTCAAGTCTTAATCAAACATTTCTTTAATCTTTAATACATAACCTCATTATTATACACAATAAAAGTACGATGGTAACTTAAAATGTACCAAAAACTCTTTATAAAGTGTCTAAATCGTACCTGTAAAGAATTTCATGGACAAACAGCTTATTAAATTCTGGCATATTTAATCTCTCTTTTGCATCTTCAAGATATGCAAAAATGTGGTAGAAGACAAACAGGCCTCCACCCCATACTGTATGGTCTCTCAACGCTGTAATAAAATATTTTAAATTCAATAGTGGAAATAACTTTTTCGCAAAAAATTCAAATTCAAAGAGATTTATTCTCAAAAAACTCCTTTAAGAATGAAAGGTAATTTCCAAATTTTTCCGACTACTTTTTAGTTGTTGATTATAATCTGCGCAATGAATTGTTTAATAGTATTATTTGCTCACATATCGCAAATTTCGCATTGACCAAGGCATCGCTGACAGAATGTATTTTCCGAGTCGCTTTTCTCATGCGTGTCGTGAATAGATCTTGTTCAGACATTTTCTTTTAGGATGAACAATTTAATCTTATATTCAACACAACAACAAACAAAGAAATACAGAATACAGATATTAAGTACTTTACTCTTTCAATTCAGACAATAACAATCTAATGAAATTTCCAATATCATTCTGATTTGTCATTTACCAGCTGATTTATTTTTTATTTTTTAAGTGATTTTATGACCTGGTAACTAAGATCTTTAAGTCATGTCTTATTTTAATTTATATTCTTATTTTTATGAAAAATGATAATATGGAGTGAAATGAAATGAAGAGGATTAATTTGAGACATTAATGAACTGGGATCAAATGAAATGAAATGAAATGATATGGGATGAAATATAATCTCAGCAAAATGGTAGTCATTTACTGAAATTTTTTCAGTTGACTTTTTGGAGGAACCCGAGAAGTTACGTCCAGCGGCTTTGTTTCATTTTCCCCCATTTGTGCACTATCACAGATATTAAACAGTTAATAAGCCACCGTTATTAATATACATAATACTCGGCAGTAAGAACCCACAGTAAGCTAGTGTTGTAATCTTTCTGACCAGCAAGACAATAAGTACAGCGGGCTTGTGATATAGTGTACTGAACTACTGAGTAGTAGCAGTGTATCGACCGTTATGAAAATCTGTAATTTGCTCGAAAAGAAATATTCCAATTTGTTGTACTCACTATTATGGATGCACGGCTGTTCGAAAAACGTTTGTCCAAATATAATGTATCGATTGAACAGAACGAGTTTTAACATTTGAAATTATAACAGGTTCTTACGAAAAATCCGTTCAAGTTTCAGCAAAATCAATCAATACATATAATAAAATCGTAACTGGTCGCTGTCTGTACATGGAAGATATCTCATGAAAACTGTTATAGGGGGTTTTATGAACGCAATAGAACCCAAAAAAAAGATTTTTAGATTTTTTGTCTGTTTATCTGTTTGTCTGTGCGTTTGTGCAGGCTAATCTCAGAAATAGCTCTGCCGATTTAAATGTGGTTTTTACTAATTTATTGTGGCAAGCTTTACTTAACATTTAGTATTTGTTTCATGTCAATCGGTTCATAAATAAAAAAGTTATGCCAATTTAAAGAATCACGTAGCTGGGCGTTTGTAGATTATTTACGCCTGTGCGGCCGCGCGGATATATAAAGCGTGCCGAGAGCCGCGCCGCTGCTTCCTTGGCGAACCCGTCGCTTGCGACGAAGGGCTCGATGAGTAAATTAACCCATAGGCACGTTTGCTTTCTTTTAACTATTAAAAGATTAGGTTGACACGACTTAATAGTTATAGTAACCGGCAAACATCTTGAGCAAATGACCTTGACTGCGCAGAACCGAATTTTAGATCACTTTGGTGGTGAGGGTGAGGCGCGACGGCAGGGGAAATCGTATCGAGCGCTTTATTGGTAGATCAGTCGAACCTTACGTCCCGCACCGCGCCCTCATTCCGCTTGCTCCCAAAAGTACGCTTGCGTACAGTGGAAAGTNAGTACTACACCAGTTTGTCACGGCATAGTGTATGTTTTATAAAAAATCAACAAACACTCAACAAATAGCAATGGCAACAAAGTCCACAAGCAATTATAACAAATAACTTAACGATTAATAACGATAGACTTTCCACTGTACGCAAGCGTACTTTTGGGAGCAAGCGGAATGAGGGCGCGGTGCGGGACGCAAGGTTCGACTGATCTACCAATAACGCGCTCGATACGATTTCCCCTGCCGTCGCGCCTCACCCTCACCACCAAAGTGATCTAAAATTCGGTTCTGCGCAGTCAAGGTCATTTGCTCAAGAAGTTTGCCGATTACTATACTACTCATTGTAAGAATGCCTCGAAAAAGATCCAACCTCTCCCAGTGCAGCAGCAATGCTAAAAGGATGAAATTAGTTCGATCACAGGAATCTGAAGCAGGTCATGAGGAAATACTCATTACATCTCAGGAACATCAGGCGAGGTTTCGTGTTAGAGAAACTTCGGTTCAGCGAGAATCTCGATTGAGTTCATTGTTCTCAAAAAAATACCACTCGAATTAGGGTGAACAGGGAACAGCGTGACGCAAGTTTGTCCATCGATCGTGAATCTTATACACTATCGCGTGAGTCTGAGACTTTCACTGATAGGGGATCCCGCCTGAGCTCCTTAGAGGGTTTGGACAGCAAATGCCCGGTTTTAGGAGACACCTGAAGAACGAGAAACACGTCTCACTGCTGATCGCGAGGCACATGCACTATCGCTTGAGTCTGAGACCTTTACTAATAGGGAAATCTGTCTGAGCTTTCAGAGGGCTCGGACAGTAATTACCTGGTCTCAGGAGACACTTGAAGAACGAGAAGCACGTCTCTCTGCCGATTGCGAGGCTCATGCACTATCGCTTGAGTCTGAGATCTTTACTGATAGGGAAATCCGTCTGAGCTCTCAGAGGGTTCGGACAGCAAATGCCCAGTCTCAGGAGAGACTTGCAGAATGAGAAGCACGTCTCACTGCTGATCGCGAGGCCCATGCAATATCGCTTAAGTCTGAGACCTTTAATAGGGAAATACGTCTGAGCTCTCAGAGGGTTCGGACAGCAAAAGCTTGCCCGGTTTCGGGAGACACTAAAAGAACAGGAAGCACAACTCACTACCGATCGCGTTTCCAGCGAGCCTATGCTTCGTGATGATAATTTATAAAGCCCAAGGTCAGACGCTAAAAGTTGTGGGTGTAGATATAAGTGTTAACTGCTTTTCACACAGTCAACTCGGTCCCACGGTTATGTAGCTCTGTCACATGTTAGCAATCCTAGCAACCTGTATGCTTTGATCCCCGATGGCTATACGTCTATGTCGTGTATAGAGAAGCATTACTTTAAATTAGATTTTTCTAAATACCCAAATGACGGTGCTTATGAACCAAAAGATATGTCCTAAAACTGCTGCCCAAAGTCGCTATTCCACGCGGACGGAGTCGCGGGCACAGCTAGTCCTACTATATAGTTTAGAAATAGTTTCGTTTTACTTTATTCAATTTCAACCCATATTATATCAACTACACCCGCACTGTCTTACTTTTCATTTAGCATAATATACAGACATTTTTTTTTTGCTAAAGGACTAGAATCTAATCCAATAAATATTAGTAAAAAATATATATTTCCGGTCAGTTCCCGATTCTCACACTTCGAGGCAAAGAGTTTGACTTTAATTATTCTGAAGTTCCGGTGCTTAATTAGATAAATTATAAAAGTAAACACATAATATAAGCGGTTACTTATTTAACTGAAATAGGAAAGTTCTTGTATCGGTGTGTATAGTGTTGAATAGTTCCGTCGATATGGGCGATGTAAGAAAAATAAAGGTAAGTAAAAAACTAAATTATTATATTTTTAAAAGCTAATTTCAATTCCTATACATGTTATAAGTCTGTGTCATATAAACCTTTTCAATCCAAATTCTTCTTTAGTTATATTTGTAATTACTACAAAATAATGTTGGTCTTATTTCATTTATTTTATGAAAAGAGTAGGTGTACTGCTTTGTTTATAAACTGATAAAGCTTATCTATTTGACATTTCATGTGTTACCTAACCCTAACCTTTTAAGTTAAGGTCTCGTGAAATCGTTTAAATAATAAATCAAAATGGCTTATGACTTAAAAAAAGAAGATGAAGTTAAAGATTATATAGAAAACATTGGAATAGAGTATCGCTTCGGTTGTTATAAGGAGCAAAAACCGGAAGTTTGTCATCTGCTAGCCGATTATCTAGAAGCTATCAAAAAAGACTTCGAAAAGGCCGCTAAAGTGTACAAAAGTAATTGTTTAGAATATAAATTCGGAAAGTCATGCCTGAAAATAGGTAACTATACATTAATAGGAAGGGGAAGGGAAAAGGGTGACCCGGCCGAAGCTCTAATTTATTTCGAAAAAGGTTGCGAATTAAATGACCCCGGTGCTTGTCTACATGCTGGGATGCTGCTAACGGCTACTGGACCGGGCGTTAACATACAAAGGGATGTCCCTAAAGGTAAATCAATATTAATTATTCATGATATTATCATAAAGTTTTCATAGACACAGATAACAATTTTAATTTAGGAATAAATGTCTTAACGTTAACACAGGTTTTTTTTTTTTTTTTAATTGCTTATATGAATGGACGAGCTCACAGCCCACCTGGTGTTAAGTGGTTACTGGAGCCCATCGACATCTACAATGTAAATGCCCACCCACCTCGAGATACAAGTTCTAAGATCTCAAGCATAGTTACAACGGCTACCCCACCCTTCGAACCGAAACGTATTGCTACTTCACGGCGGAAATAGGCGGGGTGGTGGTACCTACCCGTGTGGACTCCTAAGAGGTCCTACCATCAGTGATTACGCAAATTAAAATAATGTACGTATCATGCTTCTAATGTATATACCTGCTACTTCAGTGGAAATAGAAGCTGTTACTTCAGAGTCTTATTTTCATGTTAGGTTCGTGGCATGTCACCATCCATGAGAGAATTAGACATATTATGTTGAAATAGAAATATTGTGTTGGTTGTGTTGATTCTGCTGTATGTACCTTATTACTAATACCAACCTCGACAAGTTTTTGTATATGGCCATACTAAGTACTTTACTAGGACCAATTTATTATTATGAACAGGCCTATTGTTGGTAATAAGTCTGATATTAGGATTATAGATTGGTCTGTGCGTCGAGCAGTATTGGTTAATATCAACATTCCCCACAACGAGAACCTCATGAAGGCAAAAAAGGATAAATTAGTCCAATATTCTTAGCCCATCAGGTGTCTCCAATATGACATGTTAATTCAAGAATCATTGATCCAATAGTTGTGACAATGGACATAGTGATAGCAATAGATCTAAACCGCTGGCTTGTGTTATAAAAACGGCCACCAATGAAAATTTATTTTTGTATACTGATCTTTTAAACTCCAAAAGTGTATTTTAAATAATATGAATTTTTTGTCAACAATAATGCAACACTATTCATTAATAGAATTATTAAATTTCAGGATACAACTGCCTCAAGAAGAGCTGCGATCAAAATGATGATATGGCGTGCCACTACCTCTCCGGAATGTATCTGACTGGTGTGCCTAAAAACGTTCAGGATTTCAACCCGCATAATCCTGAAAAAAATAAAAACATAGATTATCTAATAAAACCAGATAAAAAAGAGGCGTTCCGCTTTGCGAAAAGAGCTTGTGAGTTAGGTAATATGTTTGCTTGTGCCAATGTCAGTTTAATGTATAAAAAAGGTGACGGAGTTGAGAAAAACCAGGATGAATCAAAACGATTCTTTGAAATTGCACAGAGCTTGCAAAAGGCGCATGAAACTACAAAAGAGATTAAATTTCAACAAGGTTTGGATGGAAAATAGTATTATATGAATTACTTGTTAAAAATCACATAGAATATTCGTTTGTGTATTGTTTAAAAATAAATTATTATAAAGATTTTGTTGTTTTATTTAATATGAAAATTTTGTCGTAATTATCTGAACACATTTGAATTCGAATGTATCTAATTGGTTGAAGAGGTCTTGGAATGTTTCCGTTATATTTACGTTATGTTTTCGTTATTATTTGTAAGAGTCTTCTAGATTTTGCAAGCATCCTATTTTTTTTTCCTACTTAAGCTGATCCTTAACTAGTAGGTGAGCTCACGGGGCTCAAACCGGAGTGATGCTAACACTGACCCTAGCAAGAGCAGTGCTTCGCAGAATCTACCACCGGATCGGAAACGCGACTCACCGAGAAGATCCGGCGGGAAACTCAGTGGGCTGTGTCTGTGGGTTAATTGGCTCGTCGAGCCCTTCGTCGCAAGCGACGGGTTCGATGAGGACGGTGACCGGAGCATGCATCCTATTGAGATCATGATTCGTTCAGTCCGGTATGTGTCGACCCAGTACTGAATATGAAGATTTTATGCCTTATAACGACCATAGATGGGGAGCATAAAAATTTCAGTCATATCCGATTGCATAATAATTACAAAGAAAATGGTGAATTATAAATTTAATATTTGTTCCCCGTGAACCTTCCGTCGTCCACAACTTAGTGAGTACTCGTGAACACTGTTCACATGACGTGCGGTTTTTGTCGAAATTTTTGTATAGGAGATAGCCGGACGTCTCTTTTACTTTTTGGGACAGTAAGATAACACTCCTGCAGTGGAGCTCGAGATAAAAGGCTCCCGTTGCTTGTTACCTTAGTTTCTGATCTTAGTCGAGACTTCTCGATGCGATTCAGAGTGAGAGGAAGGGGGCAAGTGTGAGTTACCGTCGAAACATTGGCTCGGTGTACTCTTGGTTCAACGGCAAACACTATATCGTAGCTATTAAAGCATTTTTCTACATATGCCTCTCCAATAATGGAATTTCGCTGTGAACAAACTATCCGGTCATCGTTCTCGTCGATCCGCCATCGGTCAAGGGTTCGGCAAGTAAATTAACAAATACAGCCCACAGAGTTTCTCGCCGGATCTTCTCAGTGGGTCGTGTTTCCGATCCGGTGATAGATTCTGCGAAGCACTGCTCTTGCTAGAGCTAACTCGTTCGACGACGCCGCGCCGGCTAAGGCTTAGCTTAGGAGGAAAAAAAACAACTACAACAAACTAGAGTACAATTAACCCTCTCGCTCACCCCTTTGTCTGGTGCGGAAATTCGATGCGCTGTGTAAAAAACTATTAATGTTACTTTATTTGATGACCGACATCTTGTTAGAGTTTTTGATATCTGTTCTTAACATTATTTTTGTCGTTTCTAATAAAATCATGTGGTGAGCGATACTCACCTCTCGAGTGCAAAGGGCAGATCGGCTTATCTGTAAGGCAAACTAGGCACGTGCCTAGGGGCGCGCGAGCTCAGAATTTTTAAATAAATAAAGAAAATAACATATCGACGATTAAGAACTAAATGCTGATCTATAATCTAAATCTATAATAGATTATATTGCGCAAGCATCGATATACCTACTCGTATTATGAAATATTGCGGGTTTATTTGTATTTCATTCGCGCATTAGCGTAAGTACCTACAAGGGTCCTGATCTACTAAAGTCTAGGGTTTGATGATACAACGTCATCGTAATTGCAAAAACAACTAGTTAAAATTTATAGCATTATGATGGCCATTTACGGCCGGTACAGGGGTGCCGATAAAGTGATTGCCTAGGGCGCTCTGGACCTTTAATCCGCCACTGGCAAAGGGTTAACACCATATCTTGATACAAGCGCATTGAAGCCTAAGTGTTTTTTTTTGTTTTTCTCAAACAGATCGGAATTATCGGAGGTTCGGGCTTCGATGATCCGACGCTTTTCGAGAATCAAATCGAAAAGGAGGTGGTCACGCCGTTTGGCAGACCCTCGGACGTACTGATAGAGGGTCAAATCAAACGGGTCCAATGCGTTCTGCTGGCACGACACGGCAGAAAACATCAACTTCAACCTAGGTTGGTCATAAACTTTAGTTAATATATCACGATTTCATGGGCGCTGAGCATACATACTCTCGCCTCGTCTGATTTCAATTGTCGGAGTATAATATATTATAGCATGCACGAGCAATCAATATTTTTCAATTACCAACCGTTAATAATTAAATTACAATTTGTAGAATTACGCATATTATGTACATTTCTAAAAGTTTTGACCGACCTAAACGTAATCTAAACGTAATACTGGTGGTAGGACCTCTTATGATTCTGCGCGGGTAGGTACCACCACCCTACCTATTTCTGCCATGAAGCAGTAATGCGTTTCGGTTTGAAGGGTGGGGCAGCCGTTGTAACTATACTTGAGACCTTAGAACTTATATCTCGAGGTGGGTGGCACATTTATGTTGTAGATGTCTATGGGCTCTAGTAACCACTTAACACCAGGTGGGCTGTGAGCTCGTCCACCCATCTTAGCAATAAAAAAAATCGAATATAGGTACAATATAATATTATCGTTGATATTCACAATTCGTATAGATACGTGATTAAAACTAATTTTGTGGTACCAGTTGTCCGACATCACTGACGGAATACCTAATAAATAAATGATATAATATTATAATGACACTAAAAATAACTAGATTAAACCGTAAAATTTGTTTTAATTTTAATCTATATACTGTAATATCTCTAAATACTTTTAATTTTAGCGATGTGAACTATCGAGCTAATATTTGGGCACTGAAGCAAGTCGGCTGCACTCACATCCTCGCCACGACCGCCACCGGGTCTCTAGTTGAAGAATACAGGCCTGGAGATCTGGTCATATTGGACGATTTCATTGATAGGTTTGTTTTTAGCTTGTCGACATTAACCTATGAAAACGAAGTTACTTAATTACCTGTATATAATAGCATTCCCCATATTTACCCGTGGATATCATAGAGTATAAAGGGTGTCTAAGGGATAAACTAGAGAATGGATATGAACCATGTTCAGCATAGTAGATTCGCCAATCAGGCTGGTGGACGAACCGGACACTTCTACACGCGACCCTCTATTCAAATTTGAACCCTGACACTAGTTATTATGGCTTTTAATTGAGCAAGTAAATAGTTTGTGATAATCTACAAGGGTTTTAAAAAAAAAAAAATGTTCATAGTGAGTGCGCGTTTTTTAACGTTCTCGATAGCGTAAAAGTTAACTCAAATTTGTATGCAGTTGGAAGAGTGCTCCTAGCGATAAACGTAGACGAACGTTCCAACTCCATAGAAATTTGAGTTAACTTTTACGCTATCGAGAACGTTAAAAAACCAGCTTTTATAACTAGCCTTGAGAGATTATATCAACGTAATCTAACAAGTAGGTAAGCTCACGTGGCTCAAACCGGGAGTCTTGCTAACACTGGCCCTAGGAAGAGCATTGCTTCGCAGAATCTACCACCGGATCGGAAACGCGATCCACTGAAAAGATCCGTCGAGAAACTCAGTGGGCTGTGTCTGAGCGTTAAACTCGCACTAAGCACACAGAGCGCTTAGTGCGAGTTTTTTAAAGTTCTCGATAGCGTGAAAGTTAGCTCATATTCGTAAGGAGTTGAAACGTTTGCCGCTAGGGACGCTGTTCCAACTGCATACAAAATTGAGTTAACTTTTACGCTATCGAGAACGTTAAGAAACTCGCACTAAGCACACCGGTTTCGGTATTTTCCATTGTGAAACTATTTCAAGGACTTGGGGTCGGAAGTGCACGTTTTACGACAACACGGAGGGGAGTCCGCGCGGCGTGTGCCACCTGCCCATGCGGCCGGCGTATTGTGAGAGGGCGCGCGCCGCACTGTACAGCGCGGCCAAGTCCAGAGGGTACTCGTGCCATGAAACCGGAACTGCGGTTGTCATACAGGGACCCAGGTGAATATATATCATTCATTTATACATACAGTTACGCGCTGGGGTTCGGGATATATAAAATTTCACCAAAGTACAACGTAAAAACTGTATTCAACACTTAGAACACTTAAACACTTCACAAACACTTTAAAACTCTCAATCACGTAGAGATATATTTTGGAAAAATAAACACTTAATTATCAATATTTATAAAACTTTAGTATTTGTAAGTGACTCGAATGTTTTTTTTTAAAAAGTCGATTAAAAAATGGAACAATTGGCTAAAATACCGAGCAACTATTGGCCGTAATCGGTAAGAGAGATGAATTAAAATAAAATCCTAGTAAACAATTATGGGAATTCAGTATTATTTCGATGGACTTTTTGGAAGTACGCGAGAAGCCATGCCCTGGCTGGATGTGGCCTTTTTTCCTACGTATCGTTGGTAGATTAAGAGGCTATTCCAACTTCACGTGGACCCGTAGGTGAGATCACGGGCTCAACTGGAGAGAATTTGCTAACACTAGCTCTAGCAAGAGCAGTAGGTACTTCCCAGAATCAATTAAATAAGTGGAATTGCGACCCACTGAAAAGATCCGGCGTGAAACTCAGTGGGTGGTGTCTATGAGCTAATTCACACGTCGAACTCTTCGTCGGAGTAGACTGACTTTGTTTTATTTACGCATACCGATGCACTTTCACAGATTGTTATACGGTTAATAAGCCATAATTATTACGAGTTAAAACTTAAAGAAACCCTTTAAGTATGAACAAAACAAATGAGTGACTTTTCATTTAACTGTATATTAACTGTGCTCTTCATTTTGTTCTGAATTTAGATTCTCAAGTCGCGCCGAAAGCTTGGTCCATAGACAATGGGGTGGCCATCTTGTAAACATGACAACTGTCCCTGAGGTAAGTATTGACGTATTCAAACTTTTTAAGCTTAAACTTGCGTAGATTATTTTCTATTTACGATTTCCTGTATTTCGAATATTTCACAGTTTTCGTGGCCACAAACGACTAAGAACTTCGGTAATCTACCAATAATTGTACTTGTCTTCTTAAAAACCAAGCAAAACTCAATAATATTCATTTTTAAAATTCGAATTACCATTTCGATACCTAGCTATCATTAATGAAAAAATACAGGACACACTCTTGATGACGTCACAGCTNCTATAAGTGTCATTAAGTACAAACTATCAATATTTAAGAGTACTTTAAATCATCATTACATTTTTTAAACATTTTTTGTTTTTTTTTTTGTTTTTCAAATCATGTAACAAAACGTTTGTGCAGAACAAAATGTCACATGTTATGAACATGATTGTGGGTTAATCGTTTCTTAAATTTCTAAATGTTTATAAGAATGCTAAGAATAATTTAGTATTCACTTTAGTGTGTGTATTATCTCTACAATGCTAGTTTAAATGACAATTATTATATGACGAAGCATAGGTAGTATTTATAGATGTAATATTTTCATACAAGGTCATGATCTGTCACGATCAACTTTAAGCAAGAACTGCTATCATTAGAAACAAACGAATTTCAAACAAATGACTTAATTGACATTGAATGATTTGATTATCTAGACTTAATTAACTTTTAGATAACTTTCGATTTAATGTTAATAAGTACGCTAGTAGGATTAATCTAGAGGAGTTATTGTTATTCGAAGTTTTATACAATTGTACGTTCATACAATCTTTTAACCGAAAATTGTTTGTAATATAGGGAAATTAAATAGCTTACAGAGAATTACAGCTTTTTATTTNTATTCAAACTTTTTAAGCTTAAACTTGCGTAGATTATTTTCTATTTACGATTTCCTGTATTTCGAATATTTCACAGTTTTCGTGGCCACAAACGACTAAGAACTTCGGTAATCTACCAATAATTGTACTTGTCTTCTTAAAAACCAAGCAAAACTCAATAATATTCATTTTTAAAATTCGAATTACCATTTCGATACCTAGCTATCATTAATGAAAAAATACAGGACACACTCTTGATGACGTCACAGCTAATCTAATTGCTTTGAATATTCCTGAGCTCCTCACATATGATATATTAAAACCTTTTTAAAAAAAAGGCTGCGTGTACTTACGTACGCGCGTAAGAAGTTATACTTTATTTTTATGAAATTTATTTCTTTTTTTTTTTATTTAAATTTTAATCAATTTGAAAAAAAATCGATTAAACAACATCCTCAAACACGCATATTGGACATCCCTTTTCTTGACATCGTATAAATTCGGTAATTCTCGGTACGGTTCGGAAAGTTCACCTGCGGCTATATTCAGAATTTTTCATAACGCGCCTAAAGAAGTATAACTTCAAAACCCTCTACTTGTTATTGTCGCGCCACCTTAATTTGCTCACTTTTAGCGGACACTTTTAGTACACTGAGATGGTGCTCCTTACCCGCCATGGTTCTGTGTTGTATTCAGACTTTCATTTTGACATTGACAGGTTGTGTTAGCTAAAGAAGCCGGCTTGAGTTACGCTGCCGTGGCACTAGTCACAGATTACGATTGTTGGAGGGAAAATGAAAAATCCGTAAGTATAGCTTAAAAAAAAATCTACAAAAATAAAACTCTCTTTAAGCTCTCCCCAGTTGCATATCAAATTTCATTATCCCACCCAAACGCGCCTCATTGAATGTCAACTGTCTTATTATTAATAATAATGAATCTTCCACAATTTCACGTCGCGGTTGTTTTCATTCAAACGTCAATAGCTTTTTTAAACTCCTCCCTTAATAATATTCTGAGTATTTTTAATATTGTAGCTTTTTTAAAAGAAAGTTAAGAACGTTTCATCCTTATAAATGGTTCTGAAATAAAGAGGACATGATAGCATAGTGAAAGAACTTCACTTACATATCTGAAAAAATAGTTTAATGAAGTGAATAATAATGCTGCCACTGCACAGTAAATTTAAAAAAGATCAATTTGTTATACATAATGATTTCAAAATCCACAATTCCTTATGTTAATCAAGTATATTGTTAGTCATTTTGAAATCAATTACGTAAAACTGTATAATTATTCTCATTCAGCGAATCGACATGTCGATTATTGACATTCATTGTAAAATTAATAAGTAGGCACATTGACTATCAAGATTTATCCGTACCCCTAATTGCCAGTGAACTTAGAAATTTACGATTTGCAACCCAATAAGTACTCTTCGGGAACCCTAAATTCTAATTCTCGAAATTTCTAATTTTTCTATGTATGGTATGGTTGTGTGTGACGCACGCAACCAGTGATGTTTTGAAATTCCACGTCTAAAAAAGTATGTAAACTTTACAACATACAGTGTGCTTAGTGCGAGTTTTTTAACGTTCTCGATAGCGTAAAAGTTAACTCGTGTTTGTATGGAATGGGATCGTTTGCGTACGTTTGCCGCTAGGGACGCTGTTCCAACTGCATACTAAACTGGGTTAACTTTTAGGCTATCGAAAACGTTAAAAAACTCGCATTAAGCACACAGATACATTAACAGTGCAAGTTTTTTTTATTTTTTCGCATCGAAACACAGGTCTCGGTGAGCGAAGTTCTGGCAACATTCTCGAAGAACGTTAAGAAGGCTGCGGATGTTATCGTAGACGCAGTTCAGATATTAGGAGCTGATACCGACCTCCAATACCTGGACGATCACCAGGTACATAGTATATATTTGTTCTACATAAATATACAGTCAAACCTGGATAAGCGAGAGTTCAAGGGAGCACAATCTCATTCTCGCTTATAGAGGTTTCTCACTAACCCGAGTTTCTCGCTAATGCTCCCTCTGAATTTCATTTCGCGATTTTCCGGATTCAAACGCATTCACTATTTTGAGTTTATCACTTAATGACAGTACTTTAATTTTCCGTTTTGACATGATGCAGAACAGAACTTTTCTTCGCAATTAATTAACGATAAACTGAGTAAGTTCGACAAACAGGACAGTACACCAGCACACGTGTCCATTCGAAAAGAATGCGATAAAATAACAACGTTATTTAGTTCCACGAAATAGAATAGGTTCAATATTGACGAGAAAACAATTCAAAAATAAAAATCGGTAAAAAAACTTTTAAGTTAAACGGTTTTATTTTATGTGCACTGAAAACTACAAAATAAATAAATAGTTACTTACCTATCAACCTACGTAGGTCATCTCGGTCATTAATATCTCTGATGGTAGTGGTTGTCATAACATGAACCATGTCAGCGGCCGAAAGGCAGTTCATGAAAGAACACTAACACCAGGGTTTGCTTGGTAGGTAAACTAAGCACACACTATAACAAGTAGGTATTTTGACCTTCTAGTTCAGAAATATTTTAGTACTAGGCAGAATAGCTTTTAGGCATATTAGACTAAAATAAAAACGTGGGGCCCCTCTGAAATCATACCTATGGTAGAGCATATCTTATACTTTGGTAGATCATGAGCTCGGCGTTCGCTGGTGAAGCCGCCACGGCTGGTTATTGATGGTCAAAACCTCCAGTTACGATTATAGTAAGTCGATTCAGCGGACCCTGGACTCCGGAGCTATGAGGTTTCGGATGCGACCGGGATAAGCCGCTAGGATGATGATGATGACGATTATAATAAGTCGATACAATCCACACTTAGTATAGTAGAAAGTAATACAGAAATAATAATGGGCCCCACGTTTTTATTTTAGTCTAATATGCCTAAAAGCTATTCTGCCTAGTACTAAAATATTTCTGAACTAGAAGGTCAAAATACCTACTTGTTATAGTGTGTGCTTAGTTTACCTACCAAGCAAACCCTGGTGTTAGTGTTCTTTCATGAACTGCCTTTCGGCCGCTGACATGGTTCATGTTATGACAACCACTACCATCAGAGATATTAATGACCGAGATGACCTACGTAGGTTGATAGGTAAGTAACTATTTATTTATTTTGTAGTTTTCAGTGCACATAAAATAAAACCGTTTAACTTAAAAGTTTTTTTACCGATTTTTATTTTCTTGTTTTTAGTATTTAGTGAAATTGTCTACCGAATATTCCTCATTCTATTTAATTCATTCAGTGCATCATTATTACATGGTTTCTTACCTGATAATTTAGTACAATCTAATTCCTCAATACATAGATAGCCCTTCCAGAGACTTGACTCGACTTAGAGCCACGTATGCTTGTCCTTCCTCAAACAATTTTGAGCCCAAATATACTACTGCATGGTCGACGGTGCTGCCCTGCATTTTATGGACGGTGGATGCCCATGACAAAACTAAGGGCAACATCCTTCTTTCAGCCGTACCATAATTGAATTTTGCTGGAAACTGTATGGCTTTAGGGTAAATAACGTGCATGCCGTTACATTGCACGCCGGCAAATCCCGAAGTGAAAACGCTGTGGTCACCTTGATGCCATGAAGCCCGAATAATTCTAGCAACGTCATTAATACTAATGAATACATTTGGAATTTCAATTCTTTCAGGTTCACCGTTTTCAGGTATATCTGGCACACTAAGTCGTATTAAGTCTTGTTCACTAATCTGGACATTTTCGTCAATGCGTACATCTCTATAAAGTGGGTTATTTCTAGTTAACCATCTTAAAGCGCTGTAGAATTTTTCGCGAGATATTGTGAACTCTCTTGTGATGTTCAAATTCTCCAAACGTTCTGTAACTACAACGATACCCACCTGGCTGGAAGATCTTGGAAGCATATTAGGTAATCTTTCACTGACCTCAAAGATATCTTGGGCAAACAACACTGCTTGTCCGCGGAAACCGTACTGCCCGTATAGCCCAGTAAATTTTACGATTTTAACAAGCGGGATGATTCTACACAGCAATCGCTGCTCTGCTTGCGTCAGCGCTTGAATCTCATCTGGTATTGAACCTGGATCCAGATTATTCCAGTACGCCTTTGATGGTGCTATTGTTTTATTACTGGTCACATGTGTTTGGCAGCGCGAACATAAAAGTAATGTTGTTTTTGAAGACAGTTCTGCAGGTAGATATCCTAATACAGCTGTGTTGTAACGTACAGTATGAATTTGGTTAGGATATCAATGCTTCGTGCAAATGTCACAAACGTGTATACACGATGTGTTAATGGCATTTTCAAACGCTTGTACATGATTTTCAGCTCTGCGTTGCTGTGCACGCTCACGTTGGTTATTTAACCTGTCGTGGCGTTGCTCAGGTGTTTCTGAAGCTTCTAACTCCTTTCGTCTCTCACGCCGTCCTGTTAACCTGGCCTCATGTTGCTCAGGTGTTTCTGACGCTAATAGCTCTATTTGTCTGTTACGTTGTAATCTTAGCCTGGACTCATGACGCTCAAGTGTTTCTGACGCTATTAGCTCTCTTCGTCTGTCACGTTGTGATGCTAGCCTAGACTCATGACGCTCAGATGTTTCTGATGCTAACAACTCTCTTTGTCTGTCACGTTGTGATGCTAGCCTGGACTCATGACGCTCGGGTGTTTCTGACGCTATTAGCTCTCTTCGTCTGTCACGTTGTGATGCTAGCCTGCACTCATGACGCTCAGGTGTTTCTGACTCTACCAGCTGCCTTTGTCTCTCACGTTGTGCTATTAACCTGGTATCATGTTGCTCAGGTGTTTCTGTTGCTAACCGTTCTCTTCGTTTCTGTAGTCAACTGTGGGTTTCATTTTCACTTTCCTTTGCACGTTTCGTTCTATACTTTTCTTTTGCCTTTTCGAGCCTTCTTTTTCGTTGTGTAGCAGTTTCGTTTTTATTTTTGTTTGCTTTTTTATTTATTGTTACCATGTTGTTCCCACGATTAAGGGGCATTTTGACGGTCGACCCCGCCAGAAGTCCAGCAAAGGGGCAAGGCTTAATATACAACAAGATGCGCCCAATCTTGAGGGGGAAGCGCTGACGACATTACATTTTTACCCACCCTAATGCCATACAGTCCTCGGCACGTTTTAACCTATTACCTTAACTTGGGTGGTATAGCTACCGCTTACTAACGAGGTATCTAATTACCTATTTTTTTTTATCTGCCCCTCTAACGTCACACAATCTTGGACGCAACTGTTCTCGACACGACTAATCATGCCCCCACCTAATACGCCATTTTGTAACTTGTAACACCTAATACGAAATTTTGACATAATGACAGTATTCTGCTAGTGTAGTCCTATTATTTGATACCCATATTGTGGTGGTTGTGGAAAAATATGTACCTAGTCCGCCATATTGGAACGGCGTCCATCTTGAATTTTAAATTTTGACATAATCATCGTGTTTTACTAGTGTAGCCCTTTCATTTGATACCCATATTGAGGGGTTTAAGGAAAAATATGTAATCCGCCATTTTGTATCGGCGGCCATCTTAGATTTATAATGTCATTGATTTTATTATATTGTATTGTCATCTAAATTAAATGTGTGTACCAAATTTCAGATCAATCTGACAACGGGAAGGTGCTTAAATTTCAATTTCTAATTTTGACCCAAATAAATAAAAAACAAATTCCGTACAGGTCGAGCTAAATAAAACCGTTTAACAATGGTAGGAAGTTCCACAAAAGTTAAGAATGAGTCATAAAATAGCAGATGTTAAATTTGTAATTTGTTTTTTCACTCGTTCCTCCTAAATAAAATAAATCAATAAAGCTCGACTGTCGCTTATAGAGGTATAGATAAGTTGCAGTCTCACTTACGGAGGTCCATGAGGGAAAAACGACTCTCTCTTACAGAGGTTTCTGTTTCTCTCTAATAGAGGTTTTAGCAGCTTAAAATGACGGGTCCTGGCTATTACTCTCACTTATAGAGTTTTCTCACTTATCCAGTTTTCACTTATCCAGGTTTGACTGTATAGGTAAATAGTCGTAATTGAAGTCGTCGTGGCCTAAAGGATAAGACGTCCAGTACATTCGTGTTGAGCGATGAACCGGTGTTCGAATCCCGCAGGATACCGATTTATCTCATGAAATACATACTTAAGAAACTTTCACGATTGACTTCCACGGTGAAGGAATAACATCGTGTAATAAAAATCAAACCCGAAAAATTATAATTTGCGTAATTACTGGTGGTAGCACCTCTTGTGAGTCCGCACGGGTAGGTACCACCGCTCCGCCTATTTCCGGCGTGAAGCAGTAATGCGTTTCGGTTTGAAGGGTGGGGCAGCCGTTGTAACTATACTGAGACCTTAGAAACTCATATCTCAAGCTGGGTGGCGCATTTACGCTGTAGATGTCTATGGTATCCAATAACCATTCAACACCAGGTGGGCCATGAGCTCGTTCACCTATCTTAGCAATAAATATCTATTTAAAATATATACTATATACCATTCTTGCCAAAGTATGGATTAAATTAAAATGTCATACAGACTATTTTGCTTCTCAAATTGTTTTTAACTAAAATCTATAAAACTAATTACCGTTTCAGGAACTCGTCAAATCGGCCATAATGCTCAAGGACTGACGGACCGCCCGCACCATATTTCTATACGTATACATAAAAATAAAACGCATTTAATTTTCACAAATCTCTTTTATTTACCTAATACTAAATAAAAATCATACAAAAATCATTTCTCGACTTTCACGCGTACGGACAAACGAACAGTGCTGTTTACGTTAGTGGTACGTCGGACCGGGCGCGGTGAGCTCGCAGCGCCATCGATGATAAGCTGTCACCTCTCTAATCTTATATCTTTAAACGAACAATTCTTGTATATAAATATATATATAATCTGAATCTCGGAAACGGCTCCAACGATTTTCATAAAATTTTAGTATACAGGGGATTTCGGGGGCGATAAATCGATCTAGCTGCGATTTATTTTCCGAAAATGTTGTTTTTTCGTGTTTTTCAATAATCAACTTTATCGATAATCAACTTTATGACTCTTCCCGACATCTATTGGCGAATAATAATACAATTTTTTTTAATTGAGAGCAACTAACTGCTTTAAAGACACAATAACATTAAAGCTACTTCAGCAGATGGCGTTGTTAAGCAACCCGAAGCCAATGAGTGTTTGGTTTAAGGTTAGACCAAGAAAATGAATTGTTCATTTATATTATTTCCGTCTTTTTAACTCACGTGTTCACTTAAAAATGCCTAAACGATCTTGGAATATTTCATCATTTTATCAATATGTAATTTCTAAAAAAAACCAAATTTATTAAAAAAAAAACCGGACAATTCATCATCTAGTGTTATAATTACCGAAGTCAAGTTTCCCCGTTTTCGCTAAAATTAAACATTTCTACCATAGAGCACACGTGCGATAATTCACAGTACACCCGATGCCAAGTGTCTATCGGAAAGTATAAAAAACAATGTGACATCGGCTTTATGTTCAATTAGCTGAATCCCGCGATGTTAACCGCGGTTATTGAACCGCGTGTGACGCCGCGGTACGAAGCTAGTCTAAAAAAAGTAGCCTAAGTTACTCATATCATCAGCTATCAGTGAAAGTCTCGTCAAAATCGGTCCAGCCGTTCCAGAGATTAGCCGGAACAAACAGACAAAATAAATGTTATTTTGATGATTTTATAAAAAAAAATCGAATATTAATTTTAATAATTTTTTGTCTACGAATTAGCTGCGAGCTCACTTTCCACCCGGCATTAAATGGTCACCGGTCCATGGACATCACAACGTGAATACCGTCACCCGCCTTGAGGTTCGAAGTCATGACTAATATGCAAGGGTAGTAGCCCTGCCCTACAAGTGTAAAGTGTTTCGCTTCATGATCCGTATCCTTGTTGGAGAACTTGAATGTAAAATATTTTTTGAAATGTTTAAAAAGAAAAACATTACGCACCTTTACAATTGATGTGGCTTATCCAAAAAAATATTTTTTTTGGTAAACACCAAAAATGTATAATAATTAAAGTTTTTTTTTTATATTTTAGTTTTTCAATTATAATACTTTGGTAAGCGCTTCATTTAACGCGTATTAGCGTTCTTTTCTAAACTAAAAGGGGCTGTTTAATCTATATATTAATATGTGAAGCAAAAACTTTGTATCCCTTTTTACGAAATTTGCACGGACGGAGGAGTATGAAATTTTCCACACTTATAGAGAATATAAAGAAGAAGTGCACAATGCTAATATTTTTTTTAAATAATGCATAAAATATACATTAAATCAATAAAGAAAACGTTACACACACTACATACCATGTATTTGATGCACACACGCATGCATACTATTTATTGTCAAACTTTTGTTCTTGACGTCTGTTGTCAAATTGAGATTAAATATTGTTTGTCTTTGTTAATATTTTTTATAGTGTAGTCTTGGCGAAATTTGTGATTATAGAAATATAGAATACAATCATAATAGTGTGCAAACTTACAATTCCAATTAATTATAGTCGAATTTCGACTACTGCGGGACCTCTAGTTTTAATAAACTCATAGACATGTTTAATGGCCGTTCAAAGTATAAAACTCATTTTCTTAAAACATGTTAGTTAAGCCACTTTAATTCTAGAGGTGCAATTATAGAATCAACGGTTACATTGTTAACGAATCTGTCCAAATTCACAAACACTCATGGATTGCATATCGATAATGTTCAAAACATCGATTTTTTTCGAACAGAACATAAACATCGATATAATATCGATATTTTTTTCAACACTATCCTCTTTATTGATAAATACGTACAGCGTATTTATTTTCCAAACCCAAACGATTTTCATGAGTAAAGATGAAAGCTCTCAATTAGGGCTGGCACGTCTTAGTAAATTTTTTTTTAATACAGCACTGTCAACCGATAACTTATCTAAGCATTACTTACGTATTTAATTGTTTTTATTCTTATTTTGTGCAAAACATTGATTAGAAAAACATTCGAAAATTCTTCGTCTTAACCTAAGAGTTATCTTAAAATTAAGATATCTATTTTATATTGTTAAAATGCATCCGCTTTTTGAATCCGATGAACTGAAAAGAACAAAGTTTAGAATGAGAGACATGATTGTAACTACTATTATTCGATGCCTCCAATGAATACTAACTACGCTAACTCCAAATTCGTAGCTTTACAGGAGGAGCGTTTAAACGGAAAAAGTTGATAAAATCGTTATTATTGCAGATATATTTATGGTTTTTTTGTGTAACTAGCTGATTTACTTTTGCTCCGAACCCCATCAATAATGAATAATTATAATACTTTTAACATAATGAAGTGATTTGCGTGAAAAACGAAAATTTCAAAATGTTGAGTTAGAGTAGTGTTCATTGGAGGCATCGATTTATTCACGGCTCATCTAGTATTAAGTGGCTAGCGCATTCCAGAGACATCGTTAAGTGAATTTGCCGATGATCTTGAGACATGAGTTTCAATAATTTCAAATATAAAAAACTCCAGAGGTGTCAAGGGACACCCGGATGGAACGAAGTTCCTTTCGATTAATTAGTGAAGGAATTGTAATTTTTTTTTAAGTTATAATAATAAATTACGGCATTATGAAGAAGAAAAAAACAATACTATGCTATGAACTAAATTACTATTGTTGAAACGCTATCTCGAGAAACTGTACTCATTACGCGGACCAATCGGATACGAGCAATGTCACGCGATAAGCGTCTACACGTTGATTGGTCAGAATGACGGATCTAAAAAGTGTCGTGACAACTTTTCGTAAGAATTTTTTCCGTCTAGCCCCCTTTCACAACGCGCGATAAGGAACTTCGTTCCAATTTGTCCTAGATTTTTGTTTATTGCTTAGACGAGTGGATCAGCTCACGGTCCACCTGGTGTTAAACGGTTACCGGATCTACAACGTAAATGCCGCCACCGTCTTCGAGACAAAAGTTCTAAGGTTTTATTTATAACAGAACAACGGCTGCCCAGCTCTTCAAACCGAAACGCATGACTGCTTCACGGCATAAATAGGCGGGGTGGTGGTACCTACCCGCGCGGACCCACAAGACGTCCTACCACCAGTAATCAACTTCCAAACTGCTTCGTGACAGAAAGAGGAGGGTTGATGGCACCTACTCGTGTGGGCTTATAATTCGTCGCCAATAACCGGTCTATAGTGGTTTTTACTAAAAAAAATCGGTCACCGTCCTCGCAAATAACCTCGTAAATTAACCATCAGACACAGCACACTGAGGTAGGCAGTGGCTTGGCTCTGCCCCTGGCATTGCTGAAGTCCATGGGCGACGGTAACCACTCACCATCAGGTGGGCCGTATGCTCGTCTGCCTACAGAGGCAATAAAAAAAAAAGCTCATCGCCGGACCTTCTCAGCGGGTCACGTTTCCGATCCGGTGGTAGATTCTGCGTAGCACGGCTCTTGATAGGGGGCAGTGTTAGCGATACTTCCGGTTTGAGCTCCGTGAGCTCACCTACACTCTAGGGTAATGCTGATATAGCCTCGCATAGGTAGGAAAAAATGTTTACATGGGTGGAGAGAGGTTTATTGAATAGGCAGAATAGGGTCAGAGCACCTTACTGGTGGTAGGACGTGTTGTGAGTCCGTTGTGAGTGCCTATTTCTGCCGTGAAGCAGTAATGCGTTTCGGCTGAAGAGTGGGGCAGCCGTTGTACTGTTACAACTGATACCTTAGAACTTATATCTCAAAGTGGGTGGCGCATTTAAGTTGTAGATGTCTATGGGCTCCAGTAACCACTTAACACCGGGTGGGCTGTGAGCTCGTCCACCGATCTAGGCAATAAAGAAAAATTAAAGAAAAACATGTCTCTACATTTGTACTATATAGTCATGTATAGTACAGGGCACGCGCGCATTCACATCAGCACTTTTACATTGCTTTACACAAACCGCTTTACCGTAGTACAAAGCGCCAGTACACGTTCAACACTCATATACAGCGGTACTCACCACATCAACATACATAGTTTACTGGTGGTAGGACCTCTTGTGAGTCCGCGCGGGTAGGTACCACCATCCTGCCTATTTCTGCCGTGAAGTAGTAATGCGTTTCGATTCGGAGGGTGGGGTAACTGTTGTAACTATACTGAGACCTTAGAACTTATATCTCGAAGTGGGTGGCGCATTTACGTTGTAGATGTCTATGGGCTCCAGTAACCACTTAACACCAGGTGGGCTGTGAGCTCGTCCACCCATCTAAGCAATAAAAAAAATAAAAAAACATTGATAGAATTAGTTACTTGTTAGCGAAGTATATAACAAACGGATATCCTTTGACTATCGATGATTTCTCCCTATATAAATCTCAAGTTGTGTACTCAGCAGCGCATACAAGGGCCTCGTTGGCGCGTCGGTCTACCGAGCAACTCTTAGTTAATTTGCAAAAGTGTACAGCATTAATACTTTCAGCGGTAGGCAGCGGCTTGGCTCTGCCCCTGGCATTGCTGATGTCCATGGGCGACGGTGACCACTCACCATCAGGTGGGTCGTTTGCTGCGGGTAGGTTTTTTTTTTTGCATGGCTGGAGATAGTTTTACGCAGAATAGGGTCAGAGCACCTATCGATTCATTGGACATGTGAGAGGGCGGTCGTGTTCTCGTGCATCAGCTGCTCCGTTACCGTTCAGTTCTTGGTCCAGGGGTTGCGCGCGTGCTGTCCCGGGATCAAGTCGAGCAGGTACTGGCGCTGCGCCTCGGCCACGCGTTGCATCTCGGCGGCCATGGCGGCGTTACTGCCGCCCGACGAGCTGCCCTTGCCCGCTGCAACAAACAAACAAACACTCCGTACATACGATATATTACATTTAAAAAAAAACCACATTCGTTAGTGTAGTTTAACTGAGAAATCACTCTTTTTAATACGCTTTTATTAGCTTCAGACGTGTATTTGTATGTAACGGAATCTTTGAACATGATTATGAACCCCTTCAAAACGTCAGATTAACTCGAAATTTGGCATACTTATTAAGGACCGATGACAAATCAATATTTAAAAAATATATAAAAAAAATTGAAATTCAACTAAAAAGTTGAAAATAAATTTGAATTAAAAATAGTGTAAGAAAAAATTATTTTATTGTATTACTAGCTGACCCGGCAGACTTCGTAGTGCCTCAATCGATAAATAAAAGACGTAAAAGGAATCCGTACGACGGGGGACACATCAAAGGGAAAACAAAATTGTTATTTTCATTTAATTTCGAGCATTTTTATATTTATTTACCTTTTAAACCTTCTCTGGCCTTCCACAAATAATTCAAGACCAAAATTAGCCAAATCGGTCCAGCCGTTCTCGAGTTTAAGCGAGACTAACGAACAGCAATTAATTTATATATATATATATATATATATATATAGATAAAAAAGCGTGGGATGCTTTTCAGGATATTAACAAAATAACCCTTCTACACATATATCTGTTCATAAAATATTTATAACTACTGCTGCCATGCACCTCACACACCTTTTTTACCGTAAAATATTTTTTCTTACACTATTTTTAATTCAAATTTATTAAAATTTATTTTCTTTTTTTTATTTGGATTTTCTATAAAAGCGTATTTTTTTAGTTTTTTTAAACTATTATTTATTTTTAATTTTTTAGTTAATTTTTTTTTGCAAATTAAATAATGGAATAATCTTATCAAATTAGTGTATTGTCATTGGTCCTCGAAAAATCTACAAAGTTTGAATGAAAACTGGCCTGACAAACATACATACAAGTGAAGCTTATATAAAGCGTGTAATAAATGTTAGGTGGAGTAATAAGTTTTTACGCACTTTTGAAGCTGATTTATTGGTCAACCCTTTAGTATGCTTTTTTTAAATTTTGATGTAAAAAAAAACCGCGATTGCGTATAAGATGGTGGTATAAGTCAAGTATGCGGCACATATTTAGGAATGTCACCGTGATCAATAGGGTTAAGACTGGTAGTGATCACCGGCTGGTACGCGGCACCCTAAATATCGACATTAAGCTGGAGAGATCGCGTATAGTAAAGTGTGGCTTGCGACCAACTAGGCAACAAATCTCGGAGCCCCCAGAAAACTTCCAATTGGAAGTCAAAAACAGGTTTGACGTGTTGGAAACTGACTGCGATGTGGAGATAGGCGTACCAACGAAATGGTGAAAATTCTAAGAGAAGTGGGCATCAGTGGGCAATAAATACTTTCAGCATAGCAGAAAAGGCCAAGACACTAAACTCTTCAACGAGACCCTGCTATTGATGAAACAGCGAAGGGAAACTGCAGATGCTGCTCCGTCAGATGGAAAAACTATAAACACTAAAATCAGAAAGCTGAGTAGGCGTGACCTTCGCCAATTCAACACAACAAAGATAAAAGAGGCAATAGAACAAAACAAAGGCACCAAAGTGTTTATACGGCAACAACAACTAGGCCGAAGCCATCTGACGAAGCTCAAAACTGCCGATGGAAGAATTGTTGACTCAAGATCAGAAGTCCTCACTGAAGTGGAGAGCTACTACTGTAGTCTCTATGCCTCACATGCTCCCAAACCCTTTGCCCACCCAGAGAATGATCACCGAGCCCCTTTAGTCCGCCACTATACGGAAGACATACCCGACGTCAGTATAGAGGAGATAAGGGCTGCTTTGGAACAGCTTAGAAAATATAACAGAGCTACAGGGGATGACGGACTCAGTACAGAATTGTTGAAAGCAAGTGGTACACCAGTTCTCAACCAATTATGTACAACGTTCAACACCGTCATCCAAAAAACGACTACACCGGAAGCCTGGAGCAAGGGTACTGTCATTCTTTTCTTTAAAAAGGGAGACCGTACTCTGCTCAAGAACTACAGGCCTATTTCACTTCTTAGCCATATTTATAAGCTGTTCTCGAGAGTCCTTACAAATCGCTTGGCCTCTAGACTTGACGAGTTCCAACCTCCGGAGCAGGCTGGGTTTCGCAAAGGCTACAGTACGGTAGACCACATCCACACGCTGAGACAGGTTATTCAGAAGACTGAAGAATACAATCGTCCTCTGTGTCTCGCGTTTGTGGACTACGAAAAAGCCTTCGACCCCGTCGAAACTTGGGCTGTTCTGGAATCCTTACAGCGATGCCTAGTCGATTATCGGTACGTTGAGGTGTTGAAGAGTTCATATAAAGCCGCCAAAATGACAGTTCAGATCCAAAGCCAGCAGACAAACCCGATTGAGCTTCACAGAGGGGTGCGATAGGGTGACGTTATATCGCCGAAGCTGTTCACTGCTACTCTCGAGGATGTCTTCAAGACTCTGGACTGGAGTAAGCTGGGCATCAATGTCAATGGCGAGTATCTCTCACACCTCCGATTTGCGTACGATATCGTTATAATGGCAGAGTCGCTAGAGGATCTCAGCTGTATGCTAGGTGAGCTCAATGCCGCGTCACGACGTGTTGGTCTGGGAATGAATCTGGACAAAATTAAGGTCATGTTCANTGCTCTCGAGGATGTCTTCAAGACTCTGGACTGGAGTAAGCTGGGCATCAATGTCAATGGCGAGTATCTCTCACACCTCCGATTTGCGTACGATATCGTTATAATGGCAGAGTCGCTAGAGGATCTCAGCTGTATGCTAGGTGAGCTCAATGCCGCGTCACGACGTGTTGGTCTGGGAATGAATCTGGACAAAATTAAGGTCATGTTCAACGACCATATCATTCCTGGACCGGTAATAGTCGAATCTGCGGTACTCGAAGTTGTGTCTGAATACACCTATCTAGGCCAAATTATTCAGCTGGGCAGGGCCAACTTTGAGAAGGAAGCTGATAGGCGCATACAGTTGGGCTGGGCTGCGTATGGAAAACTCCGTCACGTCTTGAACTCAGCAATCCCGCAATGCTTAAAGACAAAAGTTTTCAACGCTTGCGTGCTGCAGGTCATGACATTTGGCGCTGAAACGTGGACATTGCCGTAGGTTTGGTCCGTAAGCTCAAAGTCGCTCAGCGTGCTATGGAAAGGTGTATGCTCGGAGTTTCTTTGATGGATCGAGTCAGAAATGATAAAATTCGTCAAAGAACCAAAGTAACCGACGTAGCCCTAAAGATTAGCAAGCTGAAGTGGCAATGGACCGGACATACGTGTCGCAGAACCGATGGCCGATGGAGCAGACGTATTCTGTAGGCTTAGTGCGAGTTTCAAAAATCGAATCGAATGACTCGCATCGAGTGTACGCTCTTCACGGTGAAACTTGCGGAGGTCTGAGTGCGAGTTACTCGATTTGCAGGACGTTTATTCATCTTGAGAAGCGATAGTTGTTTCTCTTCTTATATTGGTAGCACGCAAGGTTTTCTTTAAATCGTTTAATTTAAATGCCAAGCTTTCTAACGATATTTATAGTTAGTCGGGTAATGGGTAATGTACCTGTGGTTAGTTCGAGTTTTTTTAATTACTAAGTCGATGTTAATGTTATGTTTAATTGGTGTGAGGTTGTATCAGTGCCACCTAGGGGGCCATCCATAAAGTACGTCACACGTTAATGGGGAGGGAGGGTATCACCGAAGTGTGACATCGTGTGACAAGGGGCATGGGGGGGTCAATACTTTTGTGACGTCACATGTTAAAATTTAAAATACTAAAACGCAAAGTTTGTATGTGTAAAAAAAATTAGAATGTTAACAAACGCGGACACGGCTCGTTTAGTTTACTTTAGTTACTTCCACAGTGTCATGTCCTATGGCATTTTGCTATGGGGCAATGCGGCCGATGTAGAAACGATATTTATTCTGCAGAAAAGAGCTATACGCGCTATTTATAACATGCACTCAAGGGAATCCCTGAGGGAGAAATTTAAAGNTTGATTTGATTTGAATAATAATATTGTTTTTTAAGCTTTTATCTATTCTAATGGTTTATACCTACACATGAGTCGACTATTATCAAAGCCGGCAATGTGACTTTTGGACAATTATTGGTAAATCAGAAAAACGAATTATTGACTTTGTATTCCATTGGCAGTCACAAAACTCTTCTGAACGACATCTTAGATAAATAACAGATTAAGTATTAACCTTTATTTAATGCAAGTTTTGAACCGTATTCTTTGAAGGAGACGATTATATTCAAATCAATCTGTATTGACATATCAATAACATTTTTTTGTCCAAATGCACAGATTGCCACCTTTGATAATAGACGACTCACATATATTTTTTCGGTTAGAAAATTTTATCGACGTCTGGCTAGTTGTAAATATTAATCATTGCTTTTTTTTAAAGAGTTGTTTGATGAGAGAAGGAATGGGATAGAGTATTCTTTATTGTACACAAAATGAATAAATATTGCGAAACAATATTAACAAAAAAACGAGTACAAATCTTGGTCTTATCGCTAACAGCGATCTCTTCCAGACAACCATTAGAGAATTAGATTAGAGATGGGCAAGAATAATTTCGAAATGAATTGCACACGGTGTACCTATCTACTGAAATATATACACACACATGTNATAATCGTCTCCTTCAAAGAATACGGTTCAAAACCTGCATTAAATAAAGGTTAATAGTTAACCTGTTATTTATCTAAGATGTCGTTCCGAAGAGTTTTGTGACTGCCAATGGAATACAAAGTCAATAATTCGTTTTTCTGATTTACCAATCATTGTCCAAAAGTCAGATTGCCGGCTTTGATAATAGTCGACTCATTTACGACCATGAACAAAAAATGATTATTATTTCAAACTAGCTGACCCGGCAGACTTCGCAGTGCCTCAATCGATAAATAAAAGACCTAAACTTTTGTATAAAATAAACTTAAAACAAACAAAAGGAATCCGTCCGATGGTGGATTTTTATTTAATTCCGAGCATTTTCATATTATTTACCTTTTAGACCTCTGGACTTCCACAAATAATTCAAGACCAAAATTAGCCAAATCTAACTAAGTAAGCCAGACTAACGCAATTCATTTTTATATTTAAAGAAGGTAGATTATGCGGAACGTCAAGAGTTACGTTCTAAAAAGTATCAAAAGAGACTTGTTAATTGGAATAGAGTATAGTACCTATTTATAGGTCAGAAATAATTGTTGATGTATAATGAAATTTTATATTGTTGGCGTCGAAAGAATTTACATAATCAACACAATGACATGTTCGTGTTATTTAATTTTAAATCTACATGATTTTTTTACTAACTTATACGAAAACGCAAAAACAAATCATGTTTAAGTTATTCGACTTAGTAATACAGTCAAGGTGGAATCTTCTCAACGTTAAAATGATATGAAATAGTACTCACCTTGTGTAATGTAATGGCGAATATTTCTCAATAGTCGATGTTACATTCAACTTTATTAGCGCGTTAATACTATTTGCCACCTTAACGGAGCATGCTTATCGCGTTATCGCTTTTGAAAAGCCAAGGTTTTCTTAAGAATCGTATAAGTTAAGCATTTGTGTTGTTAGCCAAATTTATTGTTGATTTCTTGGATGATTTTCCACTTCGCCTGATACAGATTATGATGTTTATCAAGTAATTTAGTGTTAAATGTACATTTTTTTTATGGCTTAGGTGGATTGACGAGCTCACAGCCTTCCTGGTTTTAAGCGGTTACTGGAGTCCATAGACATCTACAACGTAAATGCGCCTCCCATCTTGAGATATAAGTTCTAAGGTCTCAAGTATAGTTACAACGGCTGCCCCACCCTTCAAACCGAAAGGCATTACTGCTTCACGGCAGAAATAGGCAGGGTGGTAGTACCTACCCGTGCGGACTCACAAGAGGTCCTACCACCAGTATGCTGATCTCTTGGATGATTTTCCACTTCGCCTGATACAGATTATGTTTCTTATATGTTTATCAAATAATTTTGTCTTAAATGTACATAGATAATAAAAACCCTAGTGATACACGTTTTTTTTACAAAACATCTATTGATCATGACCGTATTAATAAATAATCAATAATTATGCACTTATAAATATGAAAAACATAGGCATAACGCTACATCATATGTATTTTAGCCAAATATTCGAATTATGTGCCTGTCATTTAGTCTACTTAGGGTCGATTCGACCAAACTTCAATTTATACTCGAGTAACTATACGAGGAATAACCTATTCCATGATTTTAATCTCGAGTAAATCCATAGTCGTTTTTCCACGTATACTTGCGCTAGGAATAACAATACGCGAATAGCAGAGTGAATGGTGAACAAAAATAAAATCCGGCAAATAAATGTTGTTGTTCAACGGCATAGTGTAAGAGCATACAAGGTGTCAACTCGATTTTACCGTATTTTAGTGTGAAAAAGTAACTGTAGTGTAAGATATCTAGCTGTCAAACGTGTTATTTAAAATTGTTGTTTGTTTGAGGGAATTGTCAAGTTTTGTCGTGTGGTTTTATCTTTTTTCGTTAGCAATTGAAAATGAGTGAGGATAAGCGTAAACGCAGTCCTAATTGGCTATCGTCTGAAAAGGAACTTCTGTTGAGCCTAGTTGAATTTAATTTCAATTTTATAGAAAATAAAAAGACTGATGGAGTTACTGTAAAATCAAAATTAGCTCAGTGGCAAATTATTGCAGACCAATACAATAGTAGAACAAGCCACTGCTTTCGCACAGCAGAAAACCTAAAAGCCCAGTGGGAGAGTATCAAAAAGGTAGCTAGAAAAGATGCAGCAAATAATAGGAGACATATGATTCAAACAGGTTAGTATAATATTATAGGTATAGTAACCGGCAAACTTCTTGAGCAAATGACCTTGACTGCGCAGAACCGAATTTTAGATGACTTTGGTGGTGAGGATGAGGCGCGACGGCAGGGGAAATCGTATCGAGCGCGTTATTGGTAGATCAGTCGAACCTTGCGTCCCGCACCGCGCCCTCGTTCCGCTTGCTCCCAAAAGTACGCTTGCGTACAGTGAAAAGTCTTTCGTTATTAATCGTTAAGTTATTTGTTATAATTGCTTGTTGACTTTGTTGCCATTGCTATTTGTTGAGTGTTTGTTGATTTTTTTGTAAAAAATACACTATGCCGCGAAAAACTGGTGTAGTATTCAAAAGAAAGGGTAGAAAAATTGTGTACGACGTATATTGCTTCATTATAAAACATCCGTGAGTACTGTTAGGTGCATTATTAACGAAGCTAAAGGCTCTGGCTTGCTCGCCGTGTTTCGGACTCCGGGTAAGAAAAGATCAAGGAAGAAGAAAGTTACCGGAATGGATAGTTTCATTCCATCTGTAATCAAAAGATGTAATAATAACTACATAACAAGCAGCGAAACTCCGTACCGTAGAAAGGCTTCGAAAAATTTAAAGAAGATATAAATTTTAATGGCTCGGTATGAAGTTTACGACGAATTATGAAAGAGCTAGGCTTCAGATGGAAAAAAAACAGAAAATAATCGAAAGCTGGTAATTGAAAAAAGTTACATTTGATTACTACGAATCGAATATCTTCAAAATATAATTTGATGGTCAAGATTATGATAACGAAAAAAAAATTACAAATACCAGCTTCGCTTCAACTGAACCAAGACCTGGCAACAGCTCTAGTTTTGACTTAATAGAAGGAATATCTATTTTACCCCAAGATTAAATTATTACAATT